CTCACAACCATCTGTAAAGAGATCTGGTGCCCTCTTCTGGCCTTCAGGCATACAGACAGAATATTGTATACATAATAAATAAATAAATATAAAAAAAATTTCATTTCTGGCCACTCTATAGTTTCAAAGGCAATCACTTAAGAAAATTCCTTAAGGAAAATACAAAGACAGAAATGCCCATAGGAAGAATGAGGTATCTGCTTTCATAAGTGTCTGCCATTGTTACCCTTTGTGACCTAGACCACAGCATCTGAAGAGAGAAACTCGTTCTTCCTGAGCTTATGACCTTCAGACACGAGCTCTGCTTGCTGCAGCTATCTAAACATATCTCGAGGAAAAAATATAGAAACACACTTTCTAACCAAGGCATTTCACTTCAGAGTCTTAATTCTCCCTCCAGATTCTTCCTGTGTAAACCAATGTGACCTGGGATTAACTTTCTGGCTCTATTCCCCGGAAACCGAATAAAGACAGGACATTACCTGGCAAGAGCACATGAGAGGAAAGGCCTGCTGATGCACCTTGGCCTTGAGAGAACTATAATGAAACCCACTAGTAAGTCACAGCTGGGATGTCACTGTGTAAAGTGACCATTGGGGACATCCCTGTGGAGTCTGAAAGGTTAGTCTGTGGAACCACTAAACAGATCCCCGCTCCTCTGTGGGTCACAGTACTCTTAAGCCAAACTAGATCTCACATTCATCCGAGGGACAGTTTTGTGTTCCTGCTCTGCAACGGAGGGGGCGGCACTGCCGACAGCAGCTGGGTGTAACACAAGGAAAGCACCAGTTCTGCTGTCCTCACACGGCCTGGTGTGGGTTTGAGAGCGTGACTGCTTAGCTGAGCCAAGAATGTCTGCTACCCCACCACTCTGCAGGGCATGCATAGCAGTCGCTCACCACATCTTTTCTTGAGGCAGGGTCTCACTATGTAGCTCTGGCTGACCTGCAACTCATTACACAGACCAGGGTAGCCTCCCACTCACAGAGATCTATCTGCCTGCCTCTGCCTCCTAAATTCTGAAACTAAAGTGTGTGCCACCATGCCTGTTTTCTTTTTTAATATGAAAATTTAGGACTAGAAAATATATCTCAGAAATAAAAAAAAAATGCCAAGCACGCACAAGATTGTGGGTTCAATCCCAGTACCACAAAAGCAAAATGACAACAGCTTTTAAGTCTGGCTTAGAGTACACATCTGCAATCCCAGCATTCACAAGCAAGAGGGTTGCTGCAAGTTCAAGACCAGCTTGGACTACATAATAAGACACTGTCTTAAAAAAAATATTTATTATTTAAAACATAATGTTCAGTAACACAGGCCTGTTCTGTTTGCATAACTGAATACTGTGCAGCCCTTAACAGTTAGGAGAGCCAAGGGTGCAGTCTATGCTACTGATGATGTTCCACCTTACGCCAGAGCCTGTCTGAATCTCAATTCCAAAGTAATTTTGGAGTTACTTTAGCTTGATTTACTTTAAGTAAATTCATTCTCCTTCCAGACTCTCTCTATACAAATGTTTATACAGAAACACATTACATAAAATTGAATTATGCACATGAATTATGTTAACAAAGATAAATACTGAACAAGACTGAACAGACCTCTAGCAAGCGCTTTTCCCAGTGGTTGAGCTCAGTGCCCATCCCGCCTTGATTTTCAAGTTCCATTCCCTCTAGAACTGGGCAGTTAAAATGCTTCCGTGCTTCTTCCTGGGAATTAGAGAAACAAATACCCACAGCATAAGACGACAGCACTCCTTATCACAGGGTAGGATAAAGCGGTGTGAAAGAATCGGTTTGATGAAACAGAACCTCTTTAAAATACAGTTTTAGGGGCTGGAGAGATGGCTCAGTGGTTAAGAGCATTGCCTGCTCTTCCAAAGGTCCTGAGTTCAATTCCCGGCAACCACATGGTGGCTCACAACCATCTGTAATGAGGTCTGGTGCCCTCTTCTGGCCTGCAGACATATATACAGACAGAATATTGTATGCATAATAAATAAATAAAATATTAAAAAAAATAAAATACAGTTTTAATATAGTCAAATATTTTGATATTATTATCACATTCCTCTTGGCTAGAAAACTATTATTTCTCTTAATAATTTCTTCTCTCTTTGAAGGTTGATTTTAAAAACTATTTATGTGTGTGTGTATTTGTGTGCAGGACCCAGGCAGGAGGGTGTCGGAGGTTCTCAAAGCTGAAGTTGCAGGCATTTGTGGGATTTCCAGCATGCTACCTGGGTGATGAACTCCGGTTCTCCTGGATGCACACTCTACCCACTGAGACACCTCTTCACTTTCTGGCTTTAAGGGACACACAGTTTTTACATGCACGTGCTTGTTACTAGAGGCAAGAGACTAGGAGTTCATGTCATCATAGCCTACAGAGAGTACAGCCTGGACTACATGTGACCCTGCCTCAACAAACACCAAAAGTCACATTATAAAAAATAAAATTAGGCCAGGTGGTGGCGCATACCAAATTTAATCTCAGCACTCAGGACACAGAGGCAGGCAGATCTCTGTTGTGTTCGAGGCCAGCCCGGTCTACAAGAGCAAGTTCCAGGACAGGTTCCAAAGCTACACAGAGAAACCCTGTCTCAAAACACAAACAAACAAAAAGACTATTAGGATGACTGTTTATAATTCTGATATCAATAATTTTTAAATTTCATATCTATTATAAATTGGTAATTTACAATTATACATTGTAATGAAAAAAATTTGAAATGTATACCCTGGCAATGCTGAAGCATGCATGGGCAGCCCATAGATGGTGGTTCTATTGAACTGTCCATACTGGGTTTCATGGTCTAAGTTGATGAGGACAACTGACCAGGTCTCTTCCTCACACATTGTTATAGGGTAGAGTACTGTCATGATTTATGAATATTATGGAATAGTTAAATCAAGTTAATTATCATATCTATAAGCTCTAATACTTATTTGATTTATAATCAAATGATAATATTTAAGAGCAAGAATATGATCAAAATAATTTTTTTTTTGATTTTTAGAGACAGGGTTTCTCCGTAGCTTTTGGTTCCTGTCCTGGAACTAGCTCTTGTAGACCAGGCTGGCCTCAAACTCACAGAGATCCGCCTGCCTCTACCTCCCGAGTGCTGGGATTAAAGGCATGTGCCACCACCGCCCTGCTTCAAAATAAATTATATACATGTGTGAAAATGCCATAATGAAGCCCACTGTTATGTCTATTTGTGTGTCTCTGAGTACAGGTCTGTGCATACAGTACCCATGGAGGCCAGAAAAAGACATCAGATTCTCTGACACTGGAATTACAGACAGTTGTGAGCTGCCATGTCGGTGGTGGGAACTGAACTCAGGTCCTCTGAAAGAACAGTGAGTGCTTTTAACCACTGAACCAGTCTCCAGCCCCACCCTAGCAATTTTTAAATGTGCAGTATTAACTTGTTCACTATAGATCTGATAAAAAAAATTGATTTTTAAGAAGAAAAAAGCCCTTCTTCCTCCTTGAAATCCTATACCCTTCCTTCCATGCCCGCCCCTGTCATCTGTAACCCCACCTGAGGCCATTCTGTGTGTCCACTATCTGACTGTAGTTAGGGCCTGTATGTAGTCCAGGCTGGTAGCTGTGATGACCTTGACTTCCCTTCCTTCACCCCGAGTACGGGGTACACAGATGTGCACGACACACCGGCCCACTTTATGGAGTACTGGGACTGGACACAGACTAACACTAGGCAAGCACTCTGCCAACCGAGTCCGCGCCAGCGTGCCCTGTTTCAGACAGCATATGCGAGCACCGAGTGCTTCCCGGTGTGTGCTTAGCTTACTTCACTCACACAATGTTCTTGAGTGCCATGCATGTCATAAGCGACAGTGTCCCTCCACTTTAACTCTGTATATACACAACCATTCTCACTTATTATGTACTAACGGACATTGAGGCAGATCCCAGAACTTGACTATTGTGACTTGTGCTGCATAAATACGTGAGCAGGGACATCTGACAAACTGGATTTCACACTGGATGGTTGAATATCCAAAAGCAGGATGGCTGGATCTTGTGGCAATTCTACTTTAGTTTATGGGAGTTTTCCTTAATGGAGGTAGCTATCACATGCCCAACAATAGGGCATGTTTTCTCCATAGACCAACCAGTGCCTCACGTCCTGTCTTTTTGATAAAAGTCACAGGAATATCTATTGGAGTTTTATTATTTTCCAATAGTTAGTGATGCTGAACATTTTTATATATCTATTGGTTCTTTGCAGGTTTTTTTGCTTTTTTATATATAAGTTTCTTACTGTTTTTATTGAGCTGTACTTTTTTTTAAGCAGGTGTGGTGGCACACGCCATTAATCCCAGCGCTCAAGAGGCAGAGGTAGGAGTTTGAGGCCAGCCTGGTCTACAGAGCGAATTCTCAACAGCCAGGGATACAAAGAGACATCCTGTCTAAAGAAAACAAACAAAATAAAAAGCCTTCTCAGGTCCTTTGCCCATTATTTGTTGCTGGTTTTACTTTCCTTTTAGGAGCCGCGGTCACACTATGTAACCTAGGCTGGCCTAGGCTCCATCCTTTGCCTCAGCATCCAGTGCTATGATTACAGGCATACACCATGACGTCTGTCTTCCTGTCCATTTTGCAAGTAAGGGTTTGTTTCCTTGCAGTTAGAGTCTTATGTATTTTACAGTAACTTCTTAGCAGACATATGGCCTGCAGATATTTTGTCCCAATCCAAAGACTTCTCACACCGCCGACTGTACCCACTGGTGTAAGCTCGTTCTTTTCCAGGTTAACAGTTTTTAAAACAGCTCAGTGGTTCTCTTGATGATAGCATATATGTGGGGCAGTCTGACATTACTCAGAAACATCCCAGCAATGGCAGTCTTCTTGATTTTTAGCCTTCAATAATTATAACAAGGGATTTCATATATGAAACTGCTACCAAACCACACAGAACTGCATTTATGCATCTATCACTTCAGGGTTGCTGGAACATTGACATCCTCCAAACGGCTGCATCTCCTGAGTCATGATATCAGCTGGACCCCTGGTTATTCACCTCATCTTCTTTGGCAGGAATACCCAAAACTGTACATAGTGAAAGTGACAAATTCTTTCCCATGTCAGATTTTGGCAAAAAGAATAGCTCTTAGCTCAGTGTGTATTCTATGGGCCTTCTTGAAGCGTCAGCTCACTGAATGAGCCTTTCAGGTTGGGCTATGGTCTTTTAAAGCCATCCCCAACAAAGCAGGCACCAGTGGCTATCCTCCTCTCACTGAACCTGGAGCTAACCCACTGTGTTAGACTGACTGATCAATCACCTGACCTCTAGGAATCTGCCTGTCTCCACTCCTCCATCAACGTCCAGGGTTACAGAAAAGTACTAGCCGTTTTGCCCCTGCCCCTGTTTTTTTACCATGGGGGTGCTGGGGATCTGAACTTAGGTTCTCATGTTTGTATGGCAGGAACCTGCAGACTGAGCCATCTCCCCAGCCCCACAAAAAATGCGTAATAATGCTGCTTCTCCCTAGGCACAAGCACCTCTCACCTCCTGTCTTAGAGCAGCAGGTTGGATGGGGATGCACTGCCAAATTTCCACTTCCTCCCTTCTGTCCTGGCTTGATGCTTTATTAAATTGTCTTCCTACATTTTCTATTACAGACTGAAATTTCGGCACTCACTCTTAAACAGAAATGGCCAGTAAAGCAGGGACCATGATGAAAAACGAGACACAAAGAAGGTACTCACAACAACACGAGGTGTCACCAGGAGATACACAGTGTGGCGGACTATCTTATTATTTCGCACATTCCACTGCCGCTCCACTTTCCGAACTACTTTATCACTCCACTGGTACAATCCCAGGCTGTAATGACACAAGAAAACGGTCGTTCTGCCAGGTTACTACAACTGTAAATGTGAAAGTACTTGTAACATACGAAATTAAACACTTGAGAGCTTATTATGTACCACATCCATGTAATGTACTTATAAACACTTTATTTTCTTTCTTGAGACAGGCTCTCACTATGTAGCCCTAGCTGGCCTTGCATGCACTACGTAGACCAGGCTAGCCTTGAACTCACAGAGATCCACCCATCTCTGCCCCCCAACACTTCAGTTACAGGCATGTACCACCACACCCAGGCTCATAAGGATTTCTAACCGCCTCTTGTAGCGGCTTAGGGAGATGAGTGAACCTGTTCTAAAGTTCACATAGCAATGCTGAGCTGGGACGATGACTGCATTGTTTTCCCGCTGACTGTGGAGATCCAGCCCAGGATGTTGTAGATGCGAGGCAAGCTAACTAGACCCCAGCTCTCAATGGCTTCTTCTGACAAGTTTATTGCATTTAAAGAAAAAGACAAAAAAGAGGAGGAAGAGGAAGTAAATAAAGAAACCAAAGCAGAGACAGACCCAAACATATAAGGAAACTGAGCAAAAAAATGTTGTCATATTAGTGAAAAATGATTTAATTATTGTGCCCTGAAACTGGTTATCCATCAAGGAAAAATATTATTTCATGTCATCTACAAAATTAAATTCTAGAAAGTTCTCAGGAAAATAGCAGAGTACACATCTCTGAAAACTCTGGTGTGAAATCAACAAGAACTTGGCCAAATCAACTTTTTCAGAGCCTTGGAAATCAGCAACAAGCTGCATCAATCTGAGAAGCACTTATTCATGAAAGATGGACGAGTTTCATGAAGAACAGGCAGCTCCGTGGTCCCATGCCCTGTCTACAACTTCCAGGCCACTGTGAAAGCAAAGACCCAGGATGGTGGGAGCATCTGGGTTTTAAAAGGGCATTATTCTCTATTCCTCCAGAGAAATGCTGTCTAGATCCAAGGACACAAAGAGATGGCCAGTCATTTAGAAGATGCACTATGTAACTAATTCTCTGAAGAGGGCTGCAGTGGCTGCAGTCACATTAGATGAAGGAGACGTGAAACCAAGTTCCTGTTAGAGACAAGAACATCCAACAATGATAAAGGGGCTTGCACAATAACCCAAAATATATCCACAGAACTAAAATGCTACTGCAGATGCAGCTAGGCTGGTTCAGTGCTTGAGCTCCCCAGCACTGGGTAAAGTGGCTGTGGTGGCACACCCTGTAATGCGGAATTCAAGGTCATCCTTAGCTGCATTTAAGTTAGAGGCTAGTCAGGCGTGTTAGGCCCTTTCTCGGGTGGGGGGGTGGGGTGGGGGACCAGTTCCTTTCACATTTATTGCATAACATATCTACTTCCAATTTCGAGATTTTGGTGTTTTTGAAAGAGGCACCTTGCACTCGGGAGGCAGAGGCAGGCGGATCTCTGTGAGTTCGAGACCAGCCTGGTCTACAAGAGCTAGTTCCAGGACAGGCTCCAAAACCACAGAGAAACCCTGTCTCGAAAAACCAAAAAAAAAAAAGAAAGAAAGAAAGAAAGAAAGAAAGAAAGAAAGAAAGAAAGAAAGAAAGAAAGAAAGAAAGAGGCACCTTATTTTGGACCTTATTTAAAAATGAATCCAGTTCACCTGGGCAGTGGTAGCGCACGCCTTTAATCCCAGCACTTGGAGGCAGGGCAGGCGGATCTCAGTTAGTCCTAGGCCAGCCTGGTCTCCAGAGAGTTCCAGGACAGAAACTCTGTCTCAAAAAACAAATGGAAGGAAGGAAGGAAGGAAGGAAGGAAGGAAGGAAGGAAGGAAGGAAGGAAGGAAGGAAGGAAGGAAGGAAGGAAGGAAGGAGAATGCAGCCCAGTGTGGTGAGGAAGTCATGGCAACAGTAGTGTAGGGCAGTTACATTTGCTCTGTGGGACCAACCCAAGCCGGTCTCAGAGGTCCTGAGGAAAGGACAAAGAGAACTTTAGCTCTGTGTCCTTCTTCAGCAGTGGACTTGGCAAGGTCAGCCTAGGGCTAAAGCCAGTGCCTCATAGGAGTCCAGGATGCCGTTTCTGGGGTCCTGACTCTCCCATAGGTAGTGGTTACGGTATAAATGATGCTATATTTCCTAATAAACTTGCTTTGCATAAGTCATCAGCTTGTGTAAGACCACCTGGTACCAACTATTGCTTTCACCTTCTTTATTTCTTATCCCTGACTCTCCCACTCAGTACCTTGCTGTTTAGGATCCTTATTCCTATGGGGGGGGGTTGCATTAATTTTATTTCTATATTTGGAAGACAATATTTAAGCACAGTAAACAAAGCCAGCAAGAAAACAACAGCTTTTAGTTCATTAATCAACCAACATTCTGTTTTCCAACATTCTTCAAGGGTACCAGTCTCTCTCAAACCTCACTCCCGTCTGTCTGCTTTTAAACAGTCTCTCATATAGTACAAGCTGGCCTTGCTCTGTAGCAGAGGCTAGCCTTGAGCTCCTTACACTACTGCCTCAGCCTCCCAGATTCTGGGAGTACAGGTACAAACCACCAAGACCAGCACAGGAATGGTTTCCCAGACAGGCTAGAGGCGAACCCCATTCTTCATGCCTAACATGAATTTACTACTCTAGCATCTGCATTTATACTGGAAGATTTCATAAGGTATCAGCTTGCCTTGACCCCTACACACATCACTCTCCCACTGCACAGAGTTGCGCTGTTCCATCAGGGCCAGCATTCTTCTCAGAGAGCGGCTTCTTCCATACCACCAAACAAAAAGCACACTCTCGGAAAAACATCCATTTAGACATTAACATTTGTCTCTTTGTTGTCGTCCTCCACCACTTTGGTTCTTTGAGATGAGGTCCCCGTACCAACCCAGAACTGATTACGGGGCAGAGGCTGACCTTAAATTTCTAATCTTCCTGCCCCCACCACCCACTGCTGAGATCACAGCTGGGTCTCCACCACTGCCTAGAATTCTGCACTTTATACTTACTCTAAAAACACTAGAAATAAACCAGGTGTGGTGGTGCACGCCTTTAATCCCACTCTGAGTCTGAGGCCAGCCTGGGCTACAGAGCAAGTTCTAGGACATGCAGAATAGAAAAACCCTGTCTTAAAAAAATTCTAAAAATCAACAAATACATGCTTAAAAAAATAGTAACTATTTTATTGGAGAACTTTGTAATTAAAGCAAAATATACAAAAAGCAAATAACATAAGGATTAATTAAAATTTTATCTTTTAATTATGTGCCTGTGTGTATGTCACTTATGTGCAGGTACCAGGACAATCAGAGCAGGGGTCAGATCCTCTGGACCTCAAGTTACAAGCAGTTATGAGCCCTGTGATAAAACTCAGGTACTCTGGAGAAGCAGCAAGTGTTCTTAACTGCTGAGCCATCTCTCCAGTACCAAGTGTTGGCTTTTTTTATTCAAAATGTATTTATTATTATCTGTGTATGTATGTATGTATGTATGTGTGTATCATGTGTCGTTAGGCTTGTACAGGAAGCTCTTTCCCTGCTGAGCCATCTTGCCAGTACCAGATGAACTGCTAATGGCTACCCTACATCAGACCCTGAGAAAGGGACTGGAACAGTCAGCACCTGGGAAGGTTTCCCTGTGACACTGCCCAGTGACAGCTACTTTACTGCAGTTGGCAGACGGTTCCCTAAAGTAAAGCCATTATCCTTTTATTATTGCCAGTACTGATTTCCATATAAATGGACTATTTGAGTTACTTTGCTTTGTAGTATACCTGAGTATGTTTCTGCATACAGCAAAGGTGTAATTTGTTTTTTGCTGATGCTGGGACTGAACCTATGACCTCACATGCACATACTGACCCAGCCAATAATGCACTCTTTTTTAAGTATTATGTAGTTTTCAGTTTAAAATAAAAAAAAAAAATTTATTTATTTATTTTACAGTGTTTTGGCATGGAGGGCACCAGATCTCATTACAGATGGTTGTGAGCCATCATGTGGTTGCTGGGAATTGAACTCAGGACCTCGGGAAGAGCAGCCTGCGCTTTTAACCTCTGAACCATCTCTCCAGCCCCCTAGTTTTCAGTTTTTTTACACATATTATAATTTACTTATTTTGATAGATTTTGAGGTGGTTCATATTATTTGGCTGTTAATCATAAAATTGTCATGAATATTTGCATGTGTTATTATGGATATGAACCCTTATTTTAGATATTTATTTTTATATACATCACGCTGATGGTTATTGTCCTGGGACTAACTGATAAACTGCTTTCAGCATTGCTTGTTTTAGGCTCAGAACACTGCTAATTTAGTAGGTTAAATAAATAAAACCCCCACAGCCTAACTATCAGTTATAATATGGTGGGAAGACACCTGAGTGGCAAGGGGTGTCCTCTGGACACACCATCTGAAGTCCGTTTTGTCTTAGTATCCTCAGCTCCTTTAGGTTGGCCATGAAGTCACCGTCATTCACTGCACGGGCAGTGTTGTGATTCTCAGGTTCTAGCACCCTCTAAAGAAGAGTAAGAATGAAAATCGCAAATACCTATAGTTGAAAGGCGGGAGGCCATCTGCAGACCGTGAGGTCAAGGGAGTTCCATCTTGATCATGGTAGAATGCAAAAAGCCCAGCAGAGAAACCCTGGAAGGAAGAATTCAAAGCGCCCTACAGCAGGATGTTAAGTCAGAGCACAGACACAGCAGCACCCAGCATCCAGGATGCTGACATAGTCATACAGTAGGATGCTCAGTCAGAGCACAGACACAGCAGCACCCACCATCCAGGATGCTGACATAGTCATACAGTAGGATGCTCAGTCAGCGCACAGGTAACTGCATCTGTCACGAGGAGGTGTTAATATTAGTCACAAGAGTGCCACGCAGCTCTGCAGAAGTTACCCCAGCCTTCAACAGCAAGTCAGTGAGCTGTATTTACAGTTTAAAACACTTGACTACTGCTGTAAACATTTTAAAAGATTATTTTTATTTTTATTCATGGGCATCTGTCTGTGTGAACATACCCACGTATGTTCAGGGGCCAGAAGAGGGTGCTAGATGCCATGGAGCTGGAGCGAGGGTGGTTGCAATCTGTTCCACGTGGCTGTGAGAACTGGCTGGGTCTTCTGAAAGAGCATTATGCATTCTCCAGCCCACTGATGTAAACGCTCAATACAAGGTTTTCCAAATACACTCTATGTTTTAAATCTGCCTTCAGGTTCTACATATCAATGCTATGATTATCATGCCTCCAGGCACACACTACAGAGCGTGGGGAATTACACTTTTTAATTCATCTGTGTGGTTTTACAGGTATTTTAGTGTCTTTCCTTGTTGGAGACCCTGTCATGGATCATTTCCAAATGCAGAACAAAAGCTGAGAATATAAAACTGGAACAATGAATTACAGGGCCAATCCCTACCACGTCAGTGGCCTTTATTTATAAATATTAGACTTAAGTATTATCTATTTATACTAAACACAACCTAAGGCACCATGGACAATGATAACAGGGACATTTTAGTGCTATCTTCTTCACCCAAATTTACTAAGTGTCAAAACTGCAGCTACTACTACTAAAAATTATTATCAATATTGAATGGTGTACGGAGCTGGGGATCAAGTCTACTCCTAACAGCATCTATAAAAGCTCAGCATCTAGCCTCAAACTGGCACTATACACACACACATATATCTACAATTTATTTCGTGTGTGTGTGTGTGTGTGTGTGTGTGTGTGTGTGTGCATCAGAGGCAGTCAGTTGGCAGAATGGCTGTCCAGTGAGTATGAAGCCCTGGGTTTGCATACACTGGGCACAGTAGCACACACTTGTAATCATGGTCAGCATCTCAAATGTAAGAATTGCAGGCCTGAGTCAGCACATCTGGCTCGAAGATGCTTTTCTTTAGAAGTTTAATCATCTCTTCCAAAGTCCTACTTACCCAATGGCAATGTTAGTTTAATTGTAAATTATACCAGCTAGTGAAACTCAAACCTACTCCCATCCTGACCATTAAAATTCCCGTCGAAAGGAACACAACTAACTAGGTTTTACCGAACATGACCCTAGGCATTCACATGTCATTGAAAGCATGTATTAAGACCACAGCACAAGCAATAAAGCAACAGTCTGAAGGAAGTGACAGAAGTCAATAGCATTTACCAGGGCATGAATGATCTCATGCTTCACTGTGGACAGCATCCCAATAAACTCTTGCGGTTGGGTGGAGATCATATTTGGACACAGGTTAGCATATCCTGCTATCGGCCTGTTAAAACAAACACGACATTTTCTACTATATTCCAGAGTAGTAATTACAGTATTTGCTAACCTATACTTCTCTACAGAAGACAGCTCAAGGACATGATTTGTTTACTATCAGACAGCTAATTCGAGCTTCCCCCCCCCCCCTGCTTTCCAATGGCACGGAAAGCAGCACCTGTTTTTGAGGGGTACAGAGGCACCATAGAGGCTTTCAAGTGCTCATCACCCTGAACAATTAACTCCATGTATCCTGCTGTCTTTCAAAGAGGTGGCAAACAGACAATATGAAGGAACCCAAACTTTTCTCTACCCTCGCTTTAACCGCCCACTGTGGAAACAGCATAAACCTCACTAAGTTATAGCTGTCTACTTATAACAAACTTTTGTCCTATTTAAATAGCTGGAATCGCAGGCCTGGGCCATCAGGCCTGTTTAAATGACCTTTTGGCAGGGATAGGTCCACACGGCTTTTTGCTAGTACGGATTTCTACCCCCTCCACTTCTCTTTCTCTCCCTTGTTTCCCGGCTGAACTCAGGGCTCACACTGGCTAAGCAAGCGCTCTACTACAACGCTTCATCTCCAGCTCTCTGTTTTCCATTTTGATATAGGATCTTACTAACTTGCCTATACTAAACCAAGCATGCTTGCAATTCTAGCACCTGGGAAGTAGAAGCAAGAGGATCACTTTGGAGTTCAAGGCCAGCCTGGAGTCTGCTGGTGAGTTTCACATTCAAGCCAGGTAGTAAGTGAGCTCCAGGCAGCCTGGTCAGTGAGACCACTTCTCACGGAGGCAGGGAGCAGGACCAAAGACACTGCCGCCTTTTGCTCCACACCAACACTCTCCAAAGAAACCCAATCTTTCCCCAGGTGTGATTAGTTGCACAGTCATTCTTACAAAGACCATTTATTCTTTCCTATTCATCCACATCAAACGGCATCGTTACAGTGCCACAGCTAAGTAGAGAGCAGTGTAACAGAACAAACACCTCTCCTTTACAGGACTCTCGTGCCTGACTCCTCCCTGAATTCTCTCAGCAGAAGGCCAGCAGGACCAGTAGGTGCTTTCAGCATCATGAGATGCAGAAATGAGACGATCTAATTTAGATACATGCAACTTGGGACTTTTATATCCTTTTCCTCACTCATCCAGGCTAGTCACCTTGAACCTCACAAAGAAAGTTCAACGCGGCTTTTATAAATAGTTTTAAAAGCTCACAGTAGAATAGAATATGCTCAAACAATTAGAAACATATAAGGAAGGCTGAAGAGATGCTCAGCAGCCGAGAGCATGGGCTACTCTTCAAGAACTGTTCAGTTCTCAGCACTCACACAGTGGCTCACAACTTGTCTATAACTCTGCAGCCACACAGTAAATAAGTGGTATACAGACACATATGCAAACAAAACACCCATATACATTAAATAGAAACAAACTCTTTTGAAAATAAATATATAAAGAAGACAGTAAAAATATTGTTACCGCCCCCCCATCTCTTCTAATGTCCAGCATCAGCGGCTACTACTGTCAACAATACTATGCATGTTACTTTTCAAACCATTTGAGTTTGCCCAAGACTCAACAGTTTCCTCTGTCTCCTCTAACCTGGGACATTCAGTACTGCAGCTATGACAGGACACCCTAAACTGGGATGACTGGAAATTCTGTATTTCAGAGCTTTTTCCTTAGAATATCCAAATACACATAGGTACTCTGTCTTTGCAATGTTGTTTTAATACTTTATATAAAAAAATGTGATTTTGGCCGGGCGATGGTGACGCATGCCTTTAATCCCAGCACTCGGGAAGCAGAGGCAGGCGGATCTCTGTGAGTTCGAGACCAGCCTGGTCTACAGAGCTAGTTCCAGGACAGGCTCCAAAGCCACAGAGAAACCCTGTCTCGAAAAACCAAAAAAAAAAAGTGATTTTGTATATATGCAATCCACATGGTTTAGTTCAAATTGAGGGAAAGAACTAGATTTTGAAGTACAAATGAAGGTGTATGTCTCAAAAATATTCCACTGCCTTTAACCCCAGCACTCGGGAGGCAGAGACAGGCGGAGATCTGTGAGGGTGTTTCAGTATTTATAGTACCAGGGATTGAAGGCATGTGCTACCACCCTCTGGCTAAATTTATTTTTATTTATTTTTAGATTCTTTTTTCATTTTATGTGTACAATTGTTCAGCCTGCATGCATGTATGTGCACATATGTGACTGGTGTCTGCAGAGGTCTGAAGTTATCTGATCTCCTAAAACTGGAGTTAAGGACGGTTGTGAACCACCCTGCAGGTGCTGGGAACTGAACCTATGTCCTCTGCAAGAGCAAAAGCTTGAGCTCTGGATCACTGAGGCATCGCTCTGGGCCCTGTATTTTCTAAATAGATGCAGATGAGCCTGAGTATGGGTGTGTGTGTGTGTGTGTGTGTGTGTGTGTGCGTGTGTGCAGTACTCCCGGAGGACAGATGAGGGCACTAGAGCATCACACAAGGCAGCTGTGAGTGGGCCTGGTGAGGGTGCTGGAGACGGAACGGCGTCCTTTGGAAAAGCAGCATATGGTCTTAGTCACCTAGTCATCTCTGCAGCCCCCTTAACCTATCTTTGCTGGGTTCTCTGTAAAGCAGTGAGAAGAAGAAACAATCCCACTGTAGTGGCTGACGGCTTTCACAATACACGCTTACTTCCTCAGGCCCTTCAGGAACTGGAAGCATACATCTGTAACCCACCACTCAGAAGCCAAGGTGAGAGGATCGCTAAAGTTCAATGCCGACTGGGGGCTACTTAGCAACACCCCAGCTCAAAAATAAACGAATACACAAACACACCAAAGAAAAAAATAAACTCTTTAAAGTTGAAATGCACACAAATCAAGCATGCTAACTTCTGAATTTCACACTGTAACACTCTAAGTCAATGATTCTCAGCCTTCCTAATGCTGCAACCCTTTAACACAATTCCTCACCCTGTGGGGACCCCAGCTGTAACAGTATCTTTGTTGCTACTTCATAAATGTAATTTTGCTACTTTTATGAACTGTAATGTAAATATTGTTGGAGCTGGAGGTTTGCAGGAAGGGTCGCAACCCACAGGCTGAGAACCACACTGCTCTAGGTCACGTGAGAGTTTCTACTTTCTTTAAGTAGTTTTCTGGTGTGTGACAGGCAATCTTTTGCATATGTAATCAATTTTTATTGACTTACCCAGTAATTAAGATGTTAAGTTGGTAGGAAATACAAGTAAAATACTAGAATATTCTTATATTCTTACAGTGTAAGATGTTAAAGGTAAAATTTAAAGTCCAAATTGGTTCCTTGGATAGGAATTAATATGACAATAAAAATCTCAGTCTTTTGTGTTTTGTTTATTAATCAGAAATTCTCTCTTGATAGTATTCTTTTCTTGGAGTTTTTTGGAATGAAGAAGGCAAAGAGAGGTTGAGAGAGATGGCTCAGTAGTTAAGAGCACTGATTGCTCTTCCAGAGCGCCCAGGTTTGATTCGCAGCACCCACATGGTGGTTCACAGTTGCCCCTGACTCCAATTTCAGAGAATCTGATGCCTGACCTCCTCAGGCTCCTGCACACATGTGGTGTAAACACACACACACACACACACACACACACACACACACACACACACCTCTACCTCAGGTTACATACCCACAAAGAATAAACAAACACTTTTTTTTTAAAGAAAAGAGAAAAAAATCAAGGGAAGTTTTTTGCTTTCTTTTCTTGAACAACTTATTTCTTAGTCCTAGAAGCAACTGAGTAGATACAAAATTCCTCTTCCGGTACACTAAAGCATTTTGGGAAGCAGCCTGGGAGGAAGACTCACCTGTCCATTTTCGCCTCCTGCTGACAATAGGCTGCGTAGGAGATGATGTTTTCATGGCTGCACCGTTCAGTGGCCAGAGCACCGACATAGAGGATGAAGTCTGCATCCTGGACCCCCTCGTGGTCTAGCACACCCACTGCTCCGCAGGGCCACTTACCCTCTCGGCACACCCTGCATTGCTGCACACAGGAGCACAGAAAAGGCAGGGCAGACTTAGCTGAGCAGCACTATCAGGTGACTGCAGGCTGGAGATGCACATCACTCAACTCTCACTTATTCTCCCTCAACTCTCCCCCAAATCAGAAACTGAGCAGGCAAGCATTGCAAACCTACAGTCCCAGGACTTTGGGAGGCTGAGGCAGGAGGATCCCTTAAATCCATACCAAGCAATGAGGCAAGATTTCTGGCTCTTAAACCATAACAAGGACCACAAATCCCACCTCCTTTTCTCTGTTCTGTTCTTATCTCTTGTTAGAAATTTTTCCTAAGGCGAGCTCTCTGCCAAAACAAAAATCCCAATCAAGCCAAATCACAACAAGCCAAATTAAAAAATATCCAGGTTTAATGGGATTCCTGCACTCTCGGGTGGCCCCAAGGGGGAACCGGGAGGGGCCAGGACCTGGCATGCTGGGATTTGGAGTCCAGACCAATACACCTCTTTTTAGTGAATTTATTTCACTAAAAGTTTTAATTTATACTCAATGAAAATAAATGACCGCTATTTATAGAGGTCAATAAACATGGATGCAGAGAAAAAGAAACAAATGCTTTTTAAACCCCGAGACTAAGCTGAGCATAGTGATGAAATCCTTTAGTCCCAGCACTCGGGAGGCAGAGGCAAGCAGAGCTCTGTAAGTGCAAGTGCGAAGCCAGTCTGGTCTACAGAGGAAGTACTAGGACTGTAGGGTAAAAGGGACAACTGGAGCACCCTGACTCTGAACCCAGAGTCAGTAAAAGAAACATACCCTGGATCTGAGACCTGGGCCAGGAAAAGAAACATCTTTATCCCTGAACCCAGGATTAAAGACAAGTGCCCTGACTCTGAAACTAGTGTCAAAAAAACACACTGAAGCTAGAGAGATGGCTCAGCGGTTAAGAGCTCTTGCTGCTCTTCCAGAGATCCTGAATCCAATTCCCAGCAACTACATGGTGGCTCACAACCATCTGTAATGAGATCTAGTGTCCTCTTCTGGGCAGGACACTGTGAATACACAATGAATAAATAGACCAGAAGAAAGAAAGAAAAGAGGGAGAAAGGAAGGAAAGAAGGAAGGAAAGAAGGAAGGAAGGAAGGAAGGAAGGAAGGAAGGAAGGAAGGAAGGAAGGAAGGAAGGACACTTTGTCTCTAGAATCAGAGCCAGTGAAAGAAATATGCCCTGGTCCTAAGATTAGAGTCAAAAAGCTAAAAAGGACCAGTGAAAGAAACACAGTTTGGCCCTGAAATCAGAGCCATCTCTGCCCCTGACCAACTAACCAATCCCTCCCCAGGGAGACCTGGGAAAAGTCTGCCCCTAAGAAAACCTATATAAACCTCTCCGCCCTTCCAGTTAGCCATTTATCCCTCCCAGGCAGAGGTAGCCTCTCTCCTAGACTCCTCCTTCCCAAATAAATCTCTTTCTCAAGAGTCGCAGGTGCAGAAGAACCTGGCTGGGACATCACCTAGGGAACTGAGCTGAAATACTTGCTGGGACGTTCCCCTAAGGGCCTGAGCAAGGTGGAGCAGAACAGAAGAACCTTGCTAGGACGCTCCTTAAGGAGGACTGATTGATCAAGGCTGGGCAGAAAAAAGTAACAACTTTTTTTCCCCCGGAGCTGGAGGAGATTGCTACATTTCTTCACCTGCTTCCCCTTTAGCAGAGTGTTAGCAAAAAAAAAAAAAAAAAAGAAACATCTTGGGCCAGATAAGCCGCAGATCAGCTAGGACATTCCCCTAAGGGAACAGAGCAGAGCTCAGCTTTTTCTCCAGGAGAAAAGCAGGATCACTGTATCTTATGGGGAGACCATCCCCTACCGCACCCCAGCTTCAGGTAGTCTGGGTTCCCTATCTATAGTCAGGGCACCTTTGCTCCACAGCTGAGCACCTTTTGCAGCTTTGCCCCTCCAGAGCTGTCCAACTGCGGCTCTAAGTATAGCCTGGCTTCCCAATAAGTCAGGATATCCCTGCAACACTACAACTGTAACACATTTCCCTATAAGGACAGCCAGGGCTACATAGTGAGAATCCATTTCAAAAACAAAGGAAAAAAAAAAAAAAAACCAAACCAAAACAACAAAACATACCCCTGTAGCTAGGTGTGCTGGTTACTTCTACTTCTAGGCCAACTTGCTACAACCTAGACTCCCAAGAGAAGGCAGCCTCAAATGAGGAGTTGCCTAGAGCATGCTGGCCTGTGGGAGGTTAACTGATATAGTGGGCTCAGCCCACTGTAGGTGGTACCATCCCTAAGCAGGCGGTCCTGAACTGTAGGTAAGCTGAGCAAGGGTCCAGCTATAGTTCCCTGGAATCCCAACCAAGTCCATCTTTAGAATGCTCGCCTTGACGTCCCTTAATGACCCGGAACTGTAGGCTGCAAGAAACCCTTTTCTCCCCAGTTACTTCTGGCCAGGTATCTGTCACACAGAATGTGACAGAAATGAAAGTTGAACATACCCACCCACCCACACCCACACATACACACCTACACCCACCCACACCTACACCCGCCTACACGTCATTTGTGCTTGCAGTCTAAGGTGATATCCCTCTCTGCTCATCTCACTGTGCTTTGCAACAGCTGTAAACAGTCCCTCTTGTTAAAATGCCTATACCTGTAAACAGTGAGGGGCTGGTGAGAGGCTCAGCAGCCAAGGGTGTGCACTGCCAGGCCTGAGCACCAAGTGCGATCATCAGTACCCACATGGTACTGCAGCCCCTGGAGCTGGAATCACGGGTGGCTGGTAGCCCCTCACGTGCACCAAATGCACCAGTCTAACAATAGCAGCAAATGTTCTGTCTCTCCAGCTCCTCCCCCAATCCCATCACATGTAACCCTTAACGGAAACCATTAGGAGCTGGAGAGATGACTTAGTAGTTAGTGGCACATACGGCTCCTACAGAGGACCCAAGCTCAGTTCTTAGCACTCATGTTAGACTGCTCACATCTGCCCGAAAGTCCAGTACCAGGGGATCTGATTTCTACGGCCTCTATGGGCACCTATGCTCATAAACATATATACATATATGTTTATTATTAAGTTAAAAATAGTTTTTTTGTTTTTTTAAAGAAAGAAAACCAGGGCTAGAGAGCCAGCTCAAAGGTTAAAAACACTGGTTGTTCTTCCAGAGAACTCAAGTTTGATTCTTGGCACCCACAGGGCAGTGCACAACTGTTTTTTCAACTCCAGTTACAGGGATCTAATGCCCTCTTCTGGCCTCCCCAGGTATTGCACACATCATTCAGGCAAATCAGTTATTCAAAATAGAAAAAAATAAAAATACAAATTAAGCATTTTGAACTGTATCTGGATTGTTTAGTGTGTATATTCCTCCAGATACTCCTTTTTCTTATTTATTTTGCTTTTTGAAATAAGTCTTGCTATGTAGCCCAGGCTGGAACCAAACCCTCTGAGAGCCTCCTGCCTCTGCCCTCTAAGTGCTGTGACTAGACATTATTGCTGCACCTGGCTCACTGCATGGGGTTTTGTTTTCTTTCTGCATATGCGATCTGTACTTTTCAGATAAACAAGCTAACCAGACCTACTTACTGACTTCCAATTTTTCTTCTTTCAGTTAAGAGCTTAAATATCACTTCAAGTCAGTACTGACTGACTTCATTTTTTAACCATTCCATTTTATAGCTGCACTGTAATTTAATAACCTAAATAGGTCTAGTTATAATTTCATAAAGAACACTCCTGAACACATATTATACAATTGCTATTATGCCTTTTTTGAAACAGAACCCTGCAAGGTTGCCCCAGCTGATCTTGAATTCATAGGCTCAAGTGATCCTCTTGCTTCGGTAAATCTGGAGGCCTGTGTCACTGGGCCTGGGCAGCTGCTAGTATTATGGAATAAAGTTCAAACTTGGGTTGAAGCTGACAGTTTGTATTTTAGGACACATTAAATTGCCCATTTAAAGTGCTAAAAGAAATGTTCCTGAAAAAAACAAAACTACAAAAAAAGACAGTTTTCAAGTAAACAAGCAGCCCAGGCACAAATGTGGACGGGTCAAGGAAAAGATCACACAGGCTTGCAAAGCCGTGAGGAACAAAGCCAGACCCCTAACTGTGCCCAGTTGTTGGTAGGAAATGGAGTCTCAGGATGGTGGAGTGCTTGCCTAGCATGCAGAGCGTCAGGCTGGCTCCAGAGCGCCACAAAAACCAAACAAATGAGTTACTGTGCCCTGGCGCTGTCACCGGAAAGTTTGCTCCGCTTGCTCCGGGGACTGGGCACCTCCCGTTTACTCTGGGAGGGAAAGCCCTGCTCAGCGCAGCGAGCCTTACCTGGAGATGCTCCTCGGGCACGGTAACGGGGCCACACTTGGTGTGCACCGCACACTCCCCTGTGCAGTACCTGTGCGGATCATTCTCCTTCCGGAGGTACTGGTTTGTAGCGCATTGTCTTTGTGTTATCCACACATCAAGAATCACAGGAAAGAAAGAACAGTTCACAGCAGTTAAAATACAGCCACACGCTGGTAGCCACTGTGCTGCCTGCCACCAATCACCTTTTCTCCACCACCACGGAACCCAACTCTGAACCATCAGCCCCAAATAAGCCCCGCCCTGGTCACGGGACTTTATTAGCCAACAGAAAGTAACTATACACCTACTACATGACTTCACTAAGAATGGTTACTGTTAACTAGGCAGACAGTTCACTAAGACTTCAGTTTTTAGGGAGTCCTCTTGACTTGGGGTATCAAACACCTCATAAAACAAATAGTACAACCATGTGGAGGAGGAAGGAGGCGTGTCGACAACAGCTTACAGTGAAAGGGGTCATTCAGCAGGGGCTTCTTCAACCCTTTTAAGTTCTGTTTCTAAATACACGTAATAAAATTCCACTATTAATGTCATGCATTGCCACATGGCAGAAAGGGCAGTCACAGAGCTAACTGGACGGAGAAAGTGATCACTGATGTCTCATACCTGCTAAGTAAGATCCTGCCGGCAGGTCGACGAACCTGAAATGTTTTCTCTAAGTAAGAAATAGCTTGGGGGAAGAGTTTGTTCTAGGTAAAACAGAAAAACTTAGTTAGAATCACAGTCATGGGATACAGTGTGTTTAAGAAAATAAGCATAGAGTATTAATGGCTTTAAGACCGAGGAAGAAAACTCCTAGGGTTCTAGAATACAGACACCTGTCTGAGGTCATGTGATGGCAGAGAGTGAATCCAGGAGGAAAAGACAGATCGTGTTCTAGTGGGGTTTGGGAATACAGCATTAGGAACTTTCCCAGTTCCAACTCACCCACCCGAGAAAACATAACCGCAGCTACTGATGACTGAGAACATTAATGAGGATGTACACTCCAACTACTAGTAACTATTTCAATTCAAGGTTGTTTTAGATTCTGGTATTAAGGTGGCTTATGTTAAGAAAAATCTTATGTAGAAGCTCATTAAGTCTGTGGGCCATAGAGAGCTGGCTTAGTATGCATTGTGAGGCTCCACCCACAGTTAAGGACCGGTGAGGACTGGCGAGACGGCTCAGCAGGTAACTGCACCTGTTGTTGAACACTGAGAATCCTATTTCCATCCCAGGAACCCACGGAGCAAGGGGGATCAAACCCTGAAAGCTGTCCTCTGACCGTCACTGTGCCTGTTTGTGCACAAGCATGTGTGCATGCACACACACACACACCATGAGGAGGTGGACTCTATGTAAAAACAAAAACTAAAAAATCTCTGGAGCCGGTGAGATGGCTTAGTCATAAAGGCATGTGCCAAAAAAGCCTGATCCCTGATGGACGTAATTCAGCCTTGGGAACTGTGACGGAACGAGAGCCACTTCTAAAATTCAGCCTCTGACTTCTCTGCGTACTCCTATACTCACATACACACACACAGAGTAAAGCGGAAATAATAATGCCTCGGCCAGGTCACACTGCCACGCCAGTCAATCCTCATGCAGAGAATGCGAAACTGCCCTTTGTGCCCACCCTGTCCTCAGCATGCTCTGCTCCCTCAAAACTTGACAGACTGACGATACCAAATTATAAAATGATTAATTTAATGTTAAATTCTAAGTTTTGCTAAGCATTATCATAAAACACCGTTATTAAAATGAAAAATACATTTACTACCAAAATCTTTTCTTCATTCACAAGCCAGTCACGTATACATTGTTCTTTTTCATGGGAGAATTAGCACATAATAAAATGTACCTGTCTAAAGTATCTACTTCACGAGTATTTATTATTACATACCTTTACAAGGTATCTTTTCTCTGGGAGCAGCCTGAAAATGATGAGAAAAACGTAAGAACTGGCGCTCTAAGGGGTGGTGACGTAGCTCATAAGGGGCGGTAGGATACTCGCCTAGTGGGAACTTCTACCACACAAGAAGAGCACGGCCACCCTAAGTCACAGCACATCCTAGCTCTCTGATTATATCTCAAGGGCCCTAGGACATTCCCCCAGAAGCACACAGTTGCATATTTGGGAGCTTGTCTTCCCGAGTCTCAGCTTATCGCAGCGGGTCTGTGAGACATCACCCTGTGCCCAAACACGGAATGAAGTCTAATAGCACACATCTCGCTCACGCAGACGGTTAGGCTGGAGAAAGACACGGATCGCTCTACTTCAGACTCGTCTGCCTGCTGTCTGGACCGCTCTTGGATGACATCCCATTACATACAGCATCTACCTAGCAAATAATTCTCCAAACTTCCTTATTATTGTTCATATTTGCAGCCCCTCTTATTTTTCCTTTAAAAACTTACTGACAAGTGTCTTCCAGGCCTTCAGGCAAGTAAGGCTGAATTTGTTCTCCTTAAATTATTCACAATAAACAGATTTTAACTACATACTATGGCCTTTGCCTACTCAGAATAAAACGTGATTTCAACTCAGTTCTATTTAGAGTTACTTCTAGTTCTTTTAGAGTTATTTCTAGCTCTATCTATAGATACTATGTTAGATAACCACAAAAATATCTTTACTCCTTAGACTGACAGGAGAAAAAGATGACATGGTTGAGACAGGAAGATGGGGAGTTAGTGTGAGGCCAGCCTGGGCAACATAAGGAGCGACAGCTTGGGCAGCACGGTAAGATGTCTCAAACCAACAATACACGAATGGCAAAGGAGCGGCAAACTTACTCTTCAATGCTTGCATCGTAGACAGTCTTGATTCGCAGGTGCCCATCAGTGTCTCTCCTGACCACATGATTCGTCTTAAGATGAACCTTACTTATGACCTAGAATAAGGAATAGTTTGAAAACTCTTTTAAAAAGGTTGTTATGACATTTTTCTTTATATAAGTAGAATTTAAATATAATGTGTTTATTTAACTACCCAATTGAGACCTAAACAAAATTAATGAGCCAAGTTTAACTACGATATACCCCTAAAGTCCCTTACTTTACATTCTAAGATGTTAGTCCTGCACACCCAATGTTTCCCAAGCAAATGCTATCGTCCGACAGATAAGTATTTTGAACTTGAGTGACGTGAGTAAATCACCATAGTAACAGCAGCTGCCAAAAAGGCTTGGGCTTTGCTAATATTTGCAGTTTGTCACATAGAGTCTAGTTTTGCTGATTCCAAGTCTTTAGAAAATGACAAGAGAGGCAGACCATTATTCCCAGCACGGGGGAGGCAGGGGCAGTCTATTTCTGTGAGTTCAAGTCCAGCCAGAGCTCCAGAGTGAGTAGGGAGACTTTGTCTCAAAAAAGGAAAGAAATGAGCCTTGTCTCAAAAAAGGAAAGAAATGACTAAGAGACTAAAAGTGTAAAAGTGTAAGCGTGCACACGCGTGTGCATGTATGTGTACACCCAGATGCACATGTGTGCACACAAATGTGGCGGCAAATGCCCTCCACCTTGTATTTTGAGACAGGGTCTCTCACAAGCTTGGAAGCTGTCACGTAGGATAGGCTGTTTGGCTAGTAAGCCCAGCAGTGCCTCTGTCTCTGCTTCCTCAAGGCTAGGGTTGTATGTATGATATTCATGTCTGTTTCAGTTTTTTTTTTTTTTTTTTTTTGGTTTTTCGAGACAGGGTTTCTCTGTGGTTTTGGAGCCTGTCCTGGGACTAGCTCTGTAGACCAGGCTGGTCTCGAACTCACAGAGATCCGCCTGCCTCTGCCTCCCGAGTGCTGGGATTAAAGGCGTGTGCCACCACCGCCCGGCCTCTGTTTCAGTTTTAAACCAGGTTTTAGAACACTAAACTCAGGTCCTTATGCCTGAAAGGGAAGCTCTTCACCAAATGAGCTATCACCCCAGCTCTAAAGAACCTTAGGTCACTTTTTAAAACTTCATACAAGAGAGTGCTTCGTTTATCTTTTCCCTGGGTATCATTTACATGACCCCTACCCCTTAGGAGAAATAAAAATTACAAAGGTTTAGGGGCTGCAGAGATGGTTCAGTGGTTAAGAGCACTGGCTGCTCTTCTATAGGACCAGGGATTCAGTTCCCAGTACCCTCATGTCAGCTCACAACTGTCTGTAGTTCCAGTTACAGGGGATCCAACATATAGAACAGGCCACAGACAGACTGCAGAATCCAGAACATAAAGTTTAGCACTAACATCAAAAATGGACATGGGAACTGCTGGCTTCCGGAAATGGAATGGTAGTTTCATATACATCATATATTATCACATTTGGAGGAAATATTTGAAAGGAATATGACTTGAGGCTAAATCCCAACACCTGGGAAGTGGAGGCAGGTAGAGGCTACAAAGTCAATTCCAGGCCAGGCTGGGCTGCATGAGCTGCTGATTCAGAAAATGAAACCACAAAGGAATACTATCTGAAGGCACTGGAGGACGAAAAGGCACAGCTTGTAAGAACCTACTTAATATAGAAACTGGGGACTGGAGAGGTGGCTCAGTGATTAAAGAGCACTGGCTGCTCCTCCAGACGACCTGGGTTCAATTCCCAGCACCCACATGGCAGGCAGCTCACAACTGTCTGTAACTACAGCTCCAGGGGAACCGACACCCTCACACAGACACACATGCAGGCAAAACACCAATGCACATAAATAAACCTCATCTATATAGTGCACTTCTGATTTATAAGGCTACTTTCCCCCTGGGAACACACCCCATTCTGGTTTTGCATAGGTGACAGAATGCAGACAGTCTTACAAGCTTGCTGGGTAGAAGTGTTCAGATCTTCCAGCACCACAGTTACAGGAGAAAGACTGCCAGAGGGGCAGCCCACAGCGAAACTACCTAATGAAGACTCAACAGCCATCAGCACAGTGTGACCCATGCTGAGGAAGAGGAGCAGAAACTAACCCTATGGACCAGGTGTGTGTGTGGGGGGGGGGGGTTAAAAGAACACTGACTTAAATGAAAAGCTCACTGCAGAAGCTAAAGGACCAGAGTCAGGAATGATGCTGCACTCTGGAAACTGAGGCAGGGGGATTGGGAGTTCAAGGCCAGCCTGCTTGAGCTACACAGCAAGTTCAAGCCAGTCTGGACTACAGTCTTAAAGAAAAAAAACCTAGAGACAACAAAAATATCAGATGGCGTTCAGAGGGGCTATTCGATGAGACTTAGAAGTCAGTTTGAGCTACACAGCGGATGCAAGGCTAGCCTGGTTACGGAGACCCAGTCTCAATAAAATTCGTAAAATAATGCAGCTGAAAGACAGTGTCATGATAAACGCTACAGCCCTGCAAGAAGGCACACGGTGTGTGAGACAGGGGCAGGCATATCAGACCTCCAGCATCCTCCAGCTCACAACTAGCCAGGGCTGTATGAAACCCTGGCTCACAAAAACGGCAAAGCAAACAATCACAACACAACCACTTAATAGCCTGGCTCATAGAGTAAACAGCCTACACACCACATTCTTGGAAATGACTACAAAACCAGCAGGCTGAGATTTCTGAGCTGAAATGGTTTTTCTCGGTAAAGCTTTCTTGATACAAGCGAACCGCCAATCACACCATGCAGTCCGGTCTCAAGTGCTTGTCTACTCGCAGAGGAGCAGGAACCACAGGATTGCCTCCAAATGAAGGACTCAGAACAACACAAATGTTATCTCAAGGTACTTAGGACTAAATTACACTGCAGGGCAGGTCCGAGAGCTAAGTGTAACCGGAGCAGAACTTGGTTAAGCGCCAGGATACAGGGCAGATAAGGCGTTCTGTGGAAATGGAAAGAACATTCTACTGGGCTGGTTTGGTTAGGCAGATCTGAGGTTGAGACCTGAACTAAGACCAAAGGAATTTAAACTGGGAGAGAAAGAGGTGGAAAGAGGAGCAGACTTTGCAGGGGTAGGTGGATGGGAGAAAGACAGCACAGCGATAAATAACTAGAAAGCAAAGCCGGAACTTTGTCTCCAGAGACCTCTCAGCAGTCCTCAAGAGCAGTTGTCTTGTTCTCCCATAAGCCGCTTCAAGTCTTCAAATAAGCGGTTCCCGGTGTGGTGCTTGGGGGAGCAGCATCAGGATGTAGGGATCAGAACCGTGGGGATCCATGCCAGACCTCCTGAGTCAGAAAGTGAGGGAGTGGGGCAGCAAGCTGTTTTAACAACTGCTTCGGTTGCTTATTCTGGTGCTCGCCCAAGTTTGCAGGGCTCCTGGCTAAGAGGAACGGGAAGAGGACAAGTGTCTAACTCCTGCGCTCTGTCGGGAGCAGGGGCTGACGGCGGACCGGCGCCGGCTTCCTCCTGCAGAGCACCTGCAGTCCACCGCCCCGGACGCCACACCCTCCGTGCTACCCCAGCACGCCCTCGCCCGGCCCGCTCGCGCCCCGCTGCGCCCTACCTCAGTGTCGGAAGGGACGTGATGCCGACACGGCGGCGAAGTGCTCAGGGAGACGGGAGCAGCCGCGGCGCCGGCCGGGAGCCCGCCCAGCACGAGCAGGACGCCTCGCACCCACAGGCAGCCGCCCCAGCGGCCCCGCGGGCCTGCTCCCAGGCCGCCCGCTCCTCCAGCCCCAGCGGCCGCCATCTTCGAGCCGGCGTCGTTACCATGGAGTGCGACGCCTCCCCGCCGCCGCCCGCCCTGGCTGCGGACAGGTGGCGGGCCCTCAGCCGCCTCGCCATTGGCGGGCATTACGCCGGGTCCGGCGGAGGACCGGGGCAGCGGCGTCCGCGCGAGCGTCGAGCAGGCCAATGAAGGCCGCCAGGCAGCCCACGTGACCCGGGCTGTGGGAACCCAGGGCTAGCGGGGATTAGTGCGGATCCGAGGGGCGTGGGGGGGGGGGCGGAAGCCGCTCGTCCTACTTCATTCACCAGGACGCTTATGGTCTACTGAACCAGATGCCTTTCAGTCCTTTGCAGCCCCATCGCTTAAGCTGCCTAGACAACCGACTAGGGTTACGGCATTTGTCGGGCAGTATTAATCCAGGAAAAGTTGGGTCGATCCTAACTACGTCATGTTTGAAGTCTTTGCAAAGCTCATTTCCATGTCATAAGCCATTCCTTACACCTTTCTCTACTTAGCTAAGATGCCTGATTCTTACGAAGCACTCCACAGGGCCTCTTACCCAGTGTTACTGCCCACAGCGCCAAACGCTTCAACTCCTGTTCATTTACAACAGGCTGCGCAACCTTGTGAACGCCTATTCATCTACTATCATTGAAACCTTCAGAACCAACTGCTTTTAAAATGGAAATTAAAAAATTAAAGAATTACCGTTTACGGAACCCACTCTACTTCAGTTGTCAAAACTGTAAGATCACAAATCCCACCTGACTTCAATTTAGTTGCCAAGATAACCCAAAAATATTAATCTTTTCACACCGGTTAATTCTCAGTAACGGAAAAACGTTCATTACACTACCCCTGACCTCTGGTTTCTGTTCACCCGAGTTAAAAGGTTGGCTCCATTCACACCGTGTTTTCTTTAAACACATACGTTACACGTTACAGCATACTTTCTCTACTCCTGAGATTGCTGGTCACATCCTAACTGAGCCTCAAACACAAGTTGCTTTGACTTTTTGAAAAAAATTTCCATTGGAATAAGCTCAAGACTGGCACTTCCTACCCTTAAAACCTAGATTTCTCCAATGTGAATTCCCTTAAGGATCTAGTGAGCTAACCTACATTTGTGACTGGATTGAGAACATATCTAATTCATTTCTAAGTTGCTGCTCTTTTGGAGAACACACTCCCAAATAGGACTTGCAGAATGTCAACTTCAGCTGGAACCAGTCTTTCCCCCAACATGGCTCCTAGGACAATCATCTTACCGTGGGAAGGACTCAAGACACTCTAGTGCTAATAGTCCAGGCCCTTTGCAGTTCAGACTGGTTAATAAAACCGCTCCTAGCAACCACACATGAAGATGTCTTCATGTCTTGTACATCCTCAAAAATACAAGTAATTTACATCTGTGCTTACTCTTTTAAAAATATGCACTGCACTTTAAAATCAAGGAAAGCCGCGGGGCGGTGGTGGCGCACGCCTTTAATCCCAGCACTCAGGAGGCAGAGGCAGGCAGGCAGATCTGAGTTCGAGACCAGCCTGGTCTACAAGAGCTAGTTCCAGGACAGGCTCCAAAACCACAGAAAAACCCTGCCTCGAAAAACCAAAAAAAAAAAAAAAAAAAAAAATCAAGGAAAACACACCCAAGCCATGCCATCCAAGTGCTTCATTAAGTTCCATCCGAGACCTAGTATGAGTCAATACTTCAGTCTAGATTCACCCAGCATGCCCAGCATTTAAGCATATAAAACTTTGAGACAGGCTCTCACCACACAGTTCTGGCATCAAACGAGTACACCACTTCACCCAGCAAAACTTTTCGTTTTTTATATTTTTCGAGACAGGGTTCCTCTGTGTAGCTTTGGTTGCCCTGAAACTCTTGTAGACCAGGCTGGCCTAGTCAGAGATCCATCTGCCTCTGCCTCCCTTTAGTCCCTCTGTTGGATTGCCACCACCTGGTGACAACTTATCTTCTAAACATATGCATCTGCCCAGTACTGACCATTATATAGAATTCCCTTCCACTCTGAAAATGCCAGACAACTCCCACTACCTTAAACACAGGGAAAACTTTTAGGACAGTTCTGGTGAAAAAAAAAAAATACAAGAGCACAAATCCACTTTTATTTATTTACTTTTCATTGGTTTAAATCCGGGATGGGTACAGCATCTGGGGGAAAAAACAAAAACATTAGGTGAATATTGTGTACATCACTGAATACACAGTAAGGATCAATATCCCATTATCCTATTACTCATCCCCAAAATGAACTTGGTCTATATCCTGATAGTAAGGAAGTTTAGTTTGAATAGCACCTGGTATTTAGGAAACGTGTAGGCACCAACACTCAACATGTTCACCTAGCTGTGCCACATCCATCTTCTTCAATGGCCTTTCACCTCATTTTGAGATAGGCTGCTCTCAAGGAGAACCCACAGTTCACTGACACAGGAAGACACTGGGTCTTCCTACCAGACCCAGTGCTGGCATTTCAGACATACTGCCGTGTCTGACTATTTTGAGGCTTCTGGGGAAAGAACTTAGGACTTCATTCTTAGCTTTTACTAACTAAGCCATCTCCCCAGTCACAAGGACCAGTGCCCCTCCCATACTTAAGCACAAGGTGTTAATCCGGCTTCTGAACTGAGCTATCATCCCCAGCCCCCAAAACAGCATTCAAAGCATTAATAAAAATCTCCAGGGATGGTGAAATGGTTCAGTAGGCACAGGCATGACACCAAGCCTGGCCATGTGAGCTCCATGTTTTTGAACTGCCAAGTTGAAGAGCTGACCCCCCCCACAATTATCCTTTGACCTTCACATACTGCATACCCACACACATAAACATAAAATAGCCCCAAAATGTAAGTATTAATGTAAGGTATGCTGGCACTCAGTCTAACATTGCCACCATTTTAGTGTACTACAAATGGACCCTAACTAAAAGGAACAATTGACAAAAATCTTTTTGTTTTTCTGCATAACAGCTCTAGTTGTCCTAGAACAAGCTCTGTAGACCAGGCTGGCCTCGAACTCAGAGATCCTTCTGCCTCTGCCTCCTCAGTGCTGGGATTAAAGGCACGACCACGGCCCAGCTTTTTTGTTTTGGAGACAGGGTTTCTCTGTGTAACAGCCCTGGTTGTCCTGAAACTTACTCAGAGATCGGTCTGCCTCTCTCTGCCTCTGGGATTAAAGGTGTGTACTATCACACCTGGCTAAATAAATCTCATCTTAAATCTACGACCAGAGCCCATGCCCTGAGACCTAGAATGAGCATGCTTTCCACACATTTTGCCAAAACTGATATGACAGACATGGTAAACCATATAGCATCCTCCCACTGCCCCCCCAACATGTATGGCACAAGAGGAGCCTGATAGCAATGGCCTGAAACCCCACGGACTTGGGAGGCTGAGGCAGGAAGACTTTTTTAAGTTTAAGGCCTGCCTAGGCTAGGGTGCAGTTCAAGACCAGCTTGATCAGTTAGACCTTGTCTCAAAATTAAATAAAAAAGATTAACCTTGTCTATATAACAAGTGCCAGGCCAACCAGAACTACAGTGAGACCTGTTTCCAAGACACGACCTCAAACCCGTCCAAAACATCTCCCTGCCAGCTAGCTTTAGCTCTTAATTCATCCGATCACCCGCTTTCACTTTGCTTTATTCTACCAACAACCAGATGCTCCGTAACTTTTCACTTAAGTGACATTCACACAAGTTTTACACTCACAAAAATCTTTAGTGGTAGGTATAAGGTTCACCCCTCAAACTGACTGTGAGGCATCAAAAGGCAAATAAATAAATTTGTTTTGTTATCTGTACTCACCACACGGATTCTGTGTCCAATGGCTTTTGCAGGAAGGTTGCTTCGGAATTTGGCACGGACCATGCCACTGTTTCCATGGGCCCGAGTTACTTTCCCCCAGATCACTCTGGTTTTGTTTGGTTTGCCTCCAGGTGTCACTGTTTTGCTAGTTATGGGTGACAAGAAGCAGGAGAGCTCAGCGCCAATACAATCTGACACAAGCTCACTAATTCCCTAGGAGCCCTGGGCTTTCAAGATTTCCACACACAATTCCATAAGAAATTAAAAATACCAAACAATTTTCCTAAGATCATAACCACTAAAGACTGCGTGTGCTAAATACATGAAAACCTTGGAAAGACACGGGGGAAAAGCCTACTTGGGATAAAAGAAACAAGTGGAGCCTTGGATGCACAGGTTATCAGAGGACTGGAGTCCTGAGACTCAAAGGCAGCCCCCCTCTGCCTCCCAAGTGCTGGGATTAAAGGCACACACCACCGAGGCCTTCTGTTCACTTCCAAGTAGAAAAAGAGGGACAAGAGAACCCGTGCAGTATCCATTTTAAAACACACAAAATACTCCGAGGGACGAGTATGACTCGAAATACACGTAAAAGTATTCAGAGCAAAACTAAAGGTATTAACAGCTGTAGTCTTTAACCACGTTAGAGCCGATGCTGCCTAAATCCAATACCACCGGCCAAAAGGTGCCTCTCCAACTTCCCGTTCTTCATGCCCTGCCTCTAAGCAGAATCAACAAATCAGCATCAAATTTTCACTACCGCGTCTACTTTTCCAGTAGGAAATCATCAAGCACACTTACTTCTTTGCTTTATACACATAAGCGCATCTCTTGCCCAAGTAGAATTCAGTTTCATCTCGGGCATAAACGCCTTCAATTTTAAGGAGAGCCGTGTGCTCTCTCTGGTTCCGGAGACCTCGCTTATAGCCAGCAAAAGTGGCCTTGCACCACAGCCTGGGACACACAGAGAGTATTGTCAATAAACGTTGCGTCTTTCCATTTAACTTTAGCAAACCGCCACGACTTGCTTGAAGTAAGCCCGACTCAAGCTCTCTACAGCAGTATCTTCTCCCCCTCCCGCATTATTTTAAATTTAAGGTTTAAAAAGAAAGGAAAACCCAACTATACTGAGTCGCATACCTTCCAGACATACTGTCCTTTAGAAGTCCTGTTCCCAGCAGGCCTGAAAGCAAACAAGATCTCACATTAGAGCCACGGAGCGCGCGTTCCCACTTGTCACCTCCTGATCGCGAGCACGCGGGATGAACCCGGGAACATTCCAAGTACTGGGACCTCTTAACTCGGCCACGCATCTTTACGAGCAGAGCCTGGCGAAGTACTGTGACTTCTGAGAATGAATGACAACTTTCGACTCCGAAACGCGGGCAAACGCTACGTGTGGGTAAGACTCGCTGATGACCTAACTTCTAGAAACTCCGTACGGAACCCAGAGGCAAAACTCCGCCGAGCGCACAGGGCACCCACGCCAAGGCCCGGCTGAGCGGGGCCAGCAGCCTCCAGGACCCCGGCTCCCGGTAAACCGGGACGGGAGAAGCGAACCCCCTCACTCCTCGCCGAGGACCAACCGGGACCGGCCAACTCTCCTCCCCAACACCATCAGTCCTTCATCTCCTCCATCCCGCCCTCCCTCTCCCTGGAAGCCCCAGAAACCGATGGCGGGCAGGGTCTCCGAGATGCAGGGGCGTCTCGGTGAGCGATGCGGATGAACCCACCCCAAAAACCGGACCCCAAAGCGCAGCAGCACGAACGGTCCCCACCTCCACAGGCGCCAAGATGGCCGAAAGAGGAAGGCAAGGCCCGCCGCGCGGCCTTGTGGGAGGCTCGCCCCGCCCCTCGCCGCGCTTAGGCCGCTTGCGATCCGCCGGAAAGCCGGGGTCAGAGAGAGGCTCGACTCGGCCAAGCCGCGTTCAGGAACCTTACAGTCTTTTGCTGTTCTTTCATCTTTGTAAGCGGCAACACGTATTACTTAAAAAAAAAAAAAGGCAAAATTGTAGTCGACTAAGTTAAAGTCAAAGGTCCTACCAAAAATGGGGGCGGGGAGGCCTGCGCGTTGCCATAGCTACGCCTTAGTTTGGGTCCCGCCTCCTGCCGGGCTGCTAGAAAGGTGAGGAAAAGCAATGGGGTTTGCTTTGTTTTTCCCCATCTTCCCAGAATGAAGACTGGGATCCTATCATAGAGGAAAGAAAAATCTGGAGCACGAAGGCAGGGGAAACGCTCCCTTTTCTTTGTTTTTATCTCCCATCTAAACTTTATCTTTGAAGAAACAAACTGGACGGGCTGGAGAGATGGCTCTGCCTTTAAAGGCAAGGCTTAACCAAAAATATAAGAGACAAACATGGCATGGTAACCCTTGCCAGCTGATCTCAGCACTCACTCGGGAGGCTCAGGTAGGAGGATCCTGTCACAAATTCGAGGCTAGGCTGAGTTAGAGAGCGAGGTCCCATTTTAAACTACAGCAAACCACGGGTGGCGCGGTGCTTGCTTGTAATCCCAGGATTCTGGATGCTCAAGCAGGAGAATAGAAGTTCAAAAGCCATTGCCAGCTACATCGGGACTGCAAGGCTGCCTGAGCTATGTGAGACCCCTTCTTAAAAGGGGGGAGAGGGAGCGGGCAAAGTGAGAGATATTTTCACTCTTCCATTCTTTGCTTGACTTGTCGGGTGAGGGTGAATTTTGTAGACTCAGATTCACATTTCCTAACAACTCCATTAATTGGGGCTGACTGGTGGGCTCTCATGAATTCAGCAAGTAATTCACTTCATGACTGCCACTATGGAGAACGGTGTAGGCTTGAGGGCATTGTAGTAAATAAACACTTCTCCCTCTTGCAGCCCACATGGAGGAGCAAACTGAGCACGCTGGCTCTTGTGTCTGTAAGTCCTGCACTTGGAAGGCTGAAGTTTGAAGATAGCTCTCTGTTTCAGGCCAGTCAGAGGTACATAATCTGTACAGTGATATCCTGGGCTACAGAGTAAGACCCTCCATCTCACTCCTGCCCCCCACAAAAAACCAAGACAACAAGCAGACAGAAAAAAAAAAGATAAAGATGGGAGAGGCACACACCTGTAATCCCAATGTTATGCTTTAGATAAAACGCTACAGTTCCCCTAGGGGGTAGCCAGCAGGTCCCAAGTAGGGAGCCACACTGGTGGGTGAGAGACAGAGATAGATGTGCCACACAGAGTGTGAGGTTGGATATTTATATAGTAGGTTTGTTGTGCCCAGATTACGACCCCCAGAGAGAGACCACCAGAGAGGCCCAGACTGTAATAAGCAAGGATTAATCAGCACAATACAAACATGTTTGGATCTCATCTCCATCCCCATTACAAAGAGGTAGAGAGGAGTTGTGTCTCCTCTGTGGGGTAAGCTTTTAAAGGCATAACCACAAAGAGAATCTCTGAAGATGCTTTGGCACGGGTACAAGGACTTGCTCCCTCCCATTCTGTTAAGTCAGCTTTTTCCTTGTTTTTAGAGCAAGGCCACTGTTCTTGAGTTAGGCCATCTTTATCAGCCCTTACCAGGTGGCTGGCTGGACTAAGTGACCTTGTGCTCTGAATCTCCTTTGTGGGAGAGGGGAAGGCCACTATCTTCCTGGGAAAACGTTCTGCTAGGAAATTTCTTCTTGCCCCTTTGAGAATAAGGGGTGAGGCTCCTACAGGTTAGGGAAGGGAAGGGGAAAGAGGAGAGGGAGGGAGAAGAAGGACGGAGAGAGAGGCAGAGAGTGAGAAAGAGAAACGAGGGGAGGGGACACAGCAGCAGCTACCTCTTCAGGAGAGAGATGGAAAAGGAGATTGCCTTGGCGGGGCTTGTCTCCTAAAGGGACAGGACAGACCATTACACCTAGGATTTGAGAGGCAGAGGCAGGCAGATCTCTGTGAGTTCGAGGCCAATGTGTTCTATAGCTATCCAGTTACAGGATAACCAGGGCTACACAGAAAAACCCTGTCTCAAAAACCAATACAAAACCAAATGTTGAGGCCATTTGGAGGCCTGGCCTCCAGCTGCTCCTCCCTGTTAGTGACCTTTTCTTGCCCTTTTGATTTGAGCTTCTGAGAGCTGTGTCAAAGTTGTTTACCAACCCTGCTTCCTGAGCACACCTTGCCCTGGCCTTGACCGAGGATCAGGCGGTGGTCTTCACCTGTTGACCCACCTGGCTGGGTTAGGTATAAACACCTGTTGGCCCACCTGGCTGGGTTAGGTATAAAACTTCCATGGTGCTGTTCAATAAAGGGCTTCTTCTACCAGCAGCTTGAGAGGTGTGTATGCGTGTTCAAACCTGACGTCCTTCGGTTTCGGTTCCAGGCCGTGCAGGCATGGCAACCAAAAGCCTGTTTATGCATACATGTGTATCTCACTTATGCGTGGGTGCTTTCAGTGGTGAGAAGAGCCTTAGACTCCCTGGAGCTGGGTTCACTTGAGTTTCTTCTTAAAAGGATGAGGCTGGAGAGATGGCTCAATGGTCAAGAGCACATATTGCTTTTGGAGAGAGGTCTTGGGTTCGATTCACAGCATCTACATCATGAGTCTAACAGCTGTAATTTCAGTTCTACCGAATATTCTGGTCTCCTGCATGTACGTGGTGCACATAGGGATGAACTGGCACAGACATAAGTAAAAAAATAGCATTAACAGTAAAGACAACGTCTCATGCATCTTGGGCTGGCCCCACGCTCCCTATATTAAGCCAGGGATGGCCTTGAACTCATGATTCCCCCCCCCCCTTCACTTTCCAAGTACTGGGATTACAGGCTTTTGCCACCTTGCCCAGCTCCAAAGGATAATAACTTATTAAACTGATTTTCAGGATTAATACAATTTTTCTGAGGCTGGAGAAATGGCTCAGAAGTTAAGAGCACTGGCTGCCCTTCAAAAGGACACAGGTTCAATTCCCAGCAACCACATGGCAGTTCACAACTGGATCTCTGGTTCCAGGGGGGATCTGACACCCTCACACAGACATAAATGCAGACAAAATACCAATGCACATAAAAATTAATTCTTTAAAAATAAATTCATTTTTTTCTAATATAATCTCAATTTTTCTAAGTCAGGGCACAATAAATTCTATCTGACAACAGGGTAGATTCATTTAATTCAATATAGAGGAGAGAATTATAGAAAAAAGTAAATAACAAAATTAATCTGTTCTATAGTGATGTTCAATTCAAAATGAGAATACAATGACACATGCTAAAATCGTCCTTAAATTACCTGAGGAAGAGGCAAAAGGCTGCATGGCACATACCTTCTGTTTCGGCGGACCAGTAATAAGCCTGCACTCTGTGTGTCTGCTCTACTAAGGAGGAGACACACCACAGCTCTTGTAATTCTGTCATTGTTTTTCTCCTAGTGAAAAAGCATGAGAATAAAGAGAACGGAATTCAGCATTCCCTTGAACCAATAGTATTTCTTTCCCATTTCAGGTCACCGCATTCTTGTGAAATTATAAATCTATCCGAGAGGGCAGCAGAACTAAGGAATAATGGAGGGGTATGCTCAAAATTCCAGTTTGTTTGTACATATAGTATTACATTATATGTAACAATTGATTTCTATAGATTATCTGTTGCTATGTAGCAAACTGCTGTTGTGGAATATTACTTTAACAAGGCAAAGATGTGTTACATTTGTTTATCCTGCGGAATATTACTTTAACTATGCAGAGGTGTGTTACTTTTGTTTATGCTGCATTTGTTTCCCCTTGCCTGCCTAAGGCCCCTGATTGGTCTAATTAAGAGCTCAACAGTCAATAGCTAGACAGAGAAGGGATAAGTGGGGCCGGCAGGGTGAGAATACACAGGAGGAGACATCTAGGCTCGAGAGAGAAGAGGAATGAAGAGAATGGGGGAGAAAGAGGCCAGAAGCCAGGCAGCTGACAGACAGGAGAAACAGTGAAAGATATACAGAAGAAAAAAAGGTAAAAAGCCCAGAGGCAAAACATAGATGAAGAGAAATAGGTTAATTTAAGTTAAAAGAGCTAGCCAGAAATGAGCCAAAGCTAGGCCGAGCATTCATAACTAGTAATAAGTTTCTGGGTCATGATTTGGGAGCTGGTTGGTGGCCAAAAGGAAAAGCCTGGTACAAACTGCCCCCAAATTTAATATCCTAAAATATAAAGGTGTGCCAGTTCAGAGTTCCCGCGGGTCAGGTGTTCAGGAACAGCTTAACAAATGGCTCTGATCTGGGGTCTAGGCTACTTAGTCCTCTCATTGCTGGACAAATGCCGGACAAGAAGCAGTTTAAGGGAAGGAATCTAAAGCTTTGTTTTGGCTCACACGTTGCGGGGAGAGCCTGTAACGGAGGGGAAGGCATGGCTGTAATGGAGTAAATGGGACTGGTCCCATGGCATCTACAGTCAGGAGGTGGGGGGGGGGGGGCTGCTGAGACTCAGCTCCAGTTCTCCTTTTTATTCAGTCCTTTAAAAAAAACTATTTTTATTTTATGTGCATTGGTGTTTTGCCATGGGTATTAGGTCCCCTGGAACTGGAATTACAGATTACAGACATGTGGGTGCTGGGAATTGAACCGGGGTTCTCTGGAAGAGCAGTCAGTGCTCTTAGCCACTGAGCCATCTCTCCAGCCCCCATTTAGTCCATGTAAGGTGAGTCTTCCCATTTCAAGTAACCCTGTCCTAGAAAATCCTCCACAGCCATGTCTGGAGGTTTCTCTGGTGAGTCTAGAATCCAGTCAAGTTGACAATATTAACTAGATGGTTAAAGTTGGCCAGGGGCAGCTTAAGTGTCCCTGTGACAGACACCCGGCTTCCCTGGGAGCTAGCCTTGGTGTGAGAGGGAAGCTGCCTGCCATGCTCTGGAAATCACACTCTTCGCTCACCAGCCCCTCAGTTTCATCTGCTCAGTGTAGGGAAAACCACACACGCATGGGCATAAAGACCAGAAAGAACTGTTTGGACCACCTCGGAGGCTGGCTACCAAATCCTGTCTTTCAGTAATCATGAAGCACTTTTGATTAGCATCTAAATACATTACTTTCAAATAAAGTCAATTGTGGTTCAAATTCAAATTGTATTAGCATAGCCAAACAGCATAGGCCGTGTGGATTTAGCAGCCAGTCCATTGTCTTTGGTCGGTCCTACTAGAGGGTCTTTGCAGAACCCCCTGCCAACGCCTGCCTTATGTTTTTCAAGAGGTTGTGTTACAGGACAGTGAACCTCACAGGCATCAATCTACTTGCTACCCGCGTTTTGGAGGTAATATTTACTCATTGGCCACTGACTTCATCTTCCTTTTCTCCTGGCCTCAGGGACCAGTTGGAAGCCCTGGACTTCCCTTCAGAAGCTTTGCACACTGAGGTGACCATGGTGGTGACAGGAGAGCCGCCTGGTGCCATGGAGGAAGAGCTGGATAATGAGGAAGAGGAGGAAAGCTCCTCAGAAGTCATAGATTCGCTGTACCTTCTGGACGTGCTGAGGGTGTCTGCTATTCTGGAGGACATCGTTGACCAGCTGTCCATCCTGGGCTACATCATTCCCGTCCAGTACGAAAGAAAGCAGAGCGTCAACCAGGTCAGCACCCTGGCCCCCGTGCCTCCTTGTCTCCCTTCCTTTTGACCTCTCCGTTGTTTGTACTGCTTGTGGCATTAAACTTAGCTTGAGAAGCAGCACCTTTACATCAGATAACAGGCCTGATTCCAGTTGTTTGAGGTCTATGTCAAAATGGAAAACGTGGCGGGTAGCTCAGGTATGCTTCTGTAAAGCTTCTGTCCAAGAGCCCAAAGTAAGTCCGTGCAAACACAGCACCGACAGCCTTCAGTGTACACAGACTCTGGATCTCTGAATTCAACCAACCTCTGATTAGAAAAAAAAAAGTTTGGAAAAAGTTTGGTCTTTCCCCTTTGTCACCATTGCTAAAGAATTCAGTATAACAACTGCTGTACCTTGTATTCGCCACTAGAAGGCATCTAGAGTCTACTTAAAACAGAGAGCGTTTGCATAGATCGTATGCTAACATTGAACCAGCTTTATTTAAGGGGCTTGAGAACCCAGAGGTGCCCCGGAACCTATCCTGTGGATGTTGTTGGGCCACTGTGCGTATACTGAGATCGGATGTCCCTGTTGCCTTGGTTGCTAAAAGTCAACTGTATACTAGGGGGAGGAAATACATCTGGATCATATCAACAATGCTTTAATAAAAAATAACTCTTGTTGCTGAATATGTTGCAGCCTGATTTTTTGCAAATATCTGGGCACATTACCATGTCAGTTGTAAACAGAGACTGCTCGTTTGTTTCCCAACCGCCCAGCCCAGAGTAATCACACAGAAACTATTCATTTACAACACTGTTTGGCCAATGGCTCAAGGGTAGCTAGCTTTTATATCTTAAATTAACCCATTTCTATTAATTTATGTATCACCACAAGGCTCTTACTTACCAGGTAAGGTTCTGGGTGTCTTTCTCCTTTGGCAGCTACATGGCATCTCCTTGACTCCACCTACTCTCTCTAAATATCTCCTTTTGGATTCCCCACCTGGCTTTACTCTGCTAAGCCACTGGCCAAAACGCTTTATTGATCTACCAGTAAAAGCAACATATATACAGAAGGACACCCCACATCCGTTGGTAGTTTTATTTTCAATGGTGACTAGGACTTCTGGGCCCCATTGAGCGCCTGTCTGTAATCCTAGCACTGACAATGTAGAGACAAGAAGATTGCAGGGAGTTTGAGGGCAGCCTGCTCTACAGGTGAGTTCCAGGCCAGGCTGCTGAGAGGCACAGTGAGTAAAGGCACCTGGCATGATTCCGACCTGAGTGTGAGCCCTGGGACCCATGGTTGGAAGGAAGAGCTGATTTCTGTGAATTGTCCTCTGGCTTTCCCTCCCACTCCGGTCATATGTCTGCCCTACTCCAAACAGAAAGTAAATGTAACAAGACAGGGTTTCTCCATGTTAACAGTTCTAGCCGTCCTGGAACTAGCTCTATAGACCAGGCTGGCCTCAAACTCACAGAGATCTGCCTACCTTTGCCTTCTGAGTGCTGGGATTAAAGGCATGTGCCACCACTGTCCTGCTCATAAATGTAATTTAAAAAATATTTAAAAATATATTTTTGCCAGGTAGTGATGGTGCATGCCTTTAATCTAGCACTTGGGAGGCAAAAACAGGTAGGTCTGAATTTGAGGCCAGCCTAATCTATGGAGTGAGTTTCAGGACAGCCAAGGCTACACAGAGAAAACCTGACTCAGAAACACACACACACACACACACATTTTCTTTAAAGAAATCTCTAGGCTTGCCAGGACTACATAGTGAGATTTCCATATCATAAAAGAAACAACAGAAACCTAACTTGACAGGGAATAAAGTCTTTTAAATTGTCAGTGACATAGGTTATAGATAAAAAATGAAAACAATTCATAAATAAAGTTTTTAAAATTTGCCAGGTAGCCAGGAGTGTGGTGCATGCCTTTAGTCTCAGAACTAAGAAGGTAGAGGCAGGCAGATATCTGTGAGTTCGAGTCCAGCTTGGTCTATAAAGTGAGTTCCAGGGCAGCCAGGGCTGTTACACAGAGAAACCTTGTCTGGAAAAAAACAAGCAAACAAAAATTGCTGGGTGGTGGTGGTTCATGCCTTTGATCCCAGCTCTTGGAAGGCAGAGTTAGGAGGATGAATCTCTGCATTCAAGAACAGACTGGTCTACAGAGCAAGTTCCATGACAACAAGGACTACACACAAAACCCTGTCTTAAAAAAATTAAAAATAAATAATTTAAAAAACATATACTTTGTACAGAGTATATTATTTCTGATCCTACGACTAGTAAAATCCACTATGTTGGAAAGAGAGCAAATTGCTTCCCACCCAGAGAAGTTCATACTAAGAGAAGAAAACTAAATTTTCCTCTAATTACCCTTTAGTTTTTATTCCTTAAAGATTATTATTTTTAATTTTGTGGGGACCATGTGGCTTGGATGCTTGGGAGTAAATTCAGTTCATCTGCAAGAGCAATTTATGCTCTGAACGTAAATCGCCCATCTCTCCTGCTCTCATTTTGTGTGTCTTGTGTCTATGTCCATGTGCCTGTATGTCTGTGTGTGTGTCTCTGTGTGTGTGCGCGTGCATGCTTGTGCGTGTGCACACACAACCACATGTGGAAACCAAAGTTTTTATTTTTTGAAACAGGGGCTTTTACTGAACCTAGAGAGAGCTAGCTCATTTGGCTAGACTAGCTAGTCAGCCAACTCCCATGATCCTCCTTCTCTTTTCTTCCCCAGGGCTGGGATTACAAACAGGAATAACTACATCTGGGTCTTTGTTTTATCCATGGATGCTGGGAATCAGCAATATGGGATTCCCTCTGCATGGGTGATTACCATTAAGGAATAAAGAAAACTGGCTTGGCCTGATAGGGTAGAACAGAGCTAAATGGTAAAAAACTAAACATTGGGAGGAAGAAGGCAGAGTCAGAAGGAGAAGCCATGGAGCCGCCACCAGAGACAAACACTGGAACTTTGCTGGTAGGCCATGACCTCGTGGTGATACACAGATTTAAAGGAGATGAGTTAAATTAAGATGTAAGAGTTAGCAAATAAGAAGCTGCTACAGCTAATGGGCCAAACAGTGATTTAATTAATACAGTTTCTGTGTGATTATTTCAGGGCTGAGCAGCCGGGTACCAATAAATGGCTCTTCCTCTGACAATTTCTCCAGCCCCTAAAGCTCAGAAGTTTAAAACAGGCCTACTGGGTCATGCTTATAATCCAAGAATTTGAGAGGTAGAAGCAGAAAGGACCTTGAGTTCAAGAGAGTTCAAGGCCAGCCTGGGCTACAGCACCATGCCTGTCTGTCTTTAAGACAGTTTACTATCATAAAAACTCAATGAAAATTTTAAGCTAAGAGAGTTTAGTGAGGTCATTGCTCTGAGGAATAAACAATGAAACTTTGCACTGTGGTATGATAGTGATCTTTTACTACAAGATTTTCTGGCATAATAGGAGTCCTCCTTGTGATGTCTTTTCCTTAAAATGATTCACTTTTTGAATTTTGTGTGTGTGCATGTATGTGTGTGTATGTGAATGTGTGCATTTGTGTGCAGGTGCGTGCATTCTCTCAATTTATGTATACATATACACTCACCCAGGACATGAGAGCGGAGGGGACCACAGTGAGGGAGAAGGGAGTTTGGGAACTTGGGACAAGAGAAGTAGGGTTGGGAGGGAAAGAAAAAACGTTTTCTCTTACGTTTCCATGACCCCTCCTTGTACAATTTCTAAAATATTAACTTAATGGACACGTAGAGGCACAGAAATTTTAGTTACCTAAGGTCAATATGGTTAGTAAAAGACAGAGCCAGGATTCAGACATTGAAGCTGGCTTATGGTCCAAACGTGTAATCATTGGCAATAGCCCAAGCATATAGCCACAGGTGAAATCATCAGTTGGGAGATAGTGCTGTCTTGTGGTTCCTCAGTATTGAATTTAGGTGTGAAAAATACTTTGGCTTTTCCTATAAAACCCTCAAGATCTAAACTAAATCTGGTATTACTTTCACTTAATATATTGATATTTTATTTATGTTTTATAAATAAAGCTTGCCTGAAGACCAGCAAGTAAAACTAAGCCAATAGAGGCCAGCTTTAATCCCAGGATTTGGGAAACAGAGGATGATCTCTTGATCTCTGTGAGTTCAAGGCCACCCTGGGCTACTTAACTTCAATGTAGAAACAGATTCAGGTGGTGGTGACTAACACCATTAATCCCAGCTAGAGAGGAATATAAACCAGAAGACAGGACCTCACTCTCTTTCAGCTCAGGATGTCTTAAAGGTAAGAGCTCTCTAGTAGCTGGCTGCCTTGCTTTTCTGCTCTTCAGGTTGAACCTCAGTATCTGTCTCTGGGTTTTTATTAGTCATGCTACACTTCATAGTACAACTCTCCTTTTATTTTGTATAGTTTTAATGGTTTTGTTGTTTTCTCACTGTGTCGTCCAGGCTAGCATCGGACTTGAATTCTCTCTTGACTCCATTCAGCCTTCCTAGTACCCACGAGCACAAGGGCATGCCCCCATGCTGTCTGTGTGTTTCAGATCCATGTGCTTATGAGCATTGTCTGATGTATCCTGTAGCAATGCCTAAAGATAACCGTATTTATATCTAACCTGATTCCGGAGAGAATTTGAGATGACAGACAATTAGGAAGTAGGAATTAGCTGAGTCTGATATGCCCATGGACAAAGCCCCATGTTTCATCCCCAGTACAGAAAGAAAAAGTGAAAAGAAAAGTAGGAAGAAATAAAAGAATTTGAAGTGAACTGGTACCTCTAAGATCCTGCCTCTCTTCTCATAGAACCATGATCTCGTTTTAGTATTTTATAATTATGGTAAATTCACAAACCAATGTGAGGTTTTGTTTCTTTGTTGTTTTTTTTTTTTTTCATTATTTTTGGATTTTCGCTTTGTAGTTTTGAGCATGGTCTTCCTTAGCCCAAGCTGGCCTGAAACTTACCATCCTACCAGGTGTGGCCTGAACCCCTCCCTGACCTCCACCCTCCACCTCCGAGGGGCCTGGGTTGAAGCCGGGAGCATCATACTACAACTCTTTTACCTTCTGTGACGCTGGGGTTGGACCTAGTGCCTTCCACATGTTGAAGACATGTTCTCCCATGGGCCTACACCCTCAGCCCCAAGCGTTACCTTTGACCTTTGTCTTAGTTTACCAGGGGGCTGATAGAATGTGTGAAGGCAGGAAGACGAGAAACAGCAGGCTGTGTGGTTTGATGGGGCTGAGGAAAGGGTCTGTTGTCTTGGAGTGTGGAATGTAAGCGGAGGAAATGGTTGAAAACAGATAGCAGTCCTCAGTGTTGTCTCACTTTAAAACAATCATTCTTGAAAGTTTTTCTTAGGTTTGCTTAATTTTTTATGTGTATGTTTCGTGTGCTGTATGTCTGTGCATCGTGTACACCCAGAAAGGTTCAAAGAGGGTGTGTGGATCCTCTGGAGCTGGAGTTAAAGATGGTTGGGAGCCACCACGAGGGGGCCGCAAGAACAAGTACTCTTAACTACTGAGCCATCTCTATGGTCCTGAAAACAGTATCTTTAACATCATTCATTTTCAGAAAACCAGCCATGAAAAAACATCCATGGCCTCAAGTATAAGGAAAGCATCTCCTTTGGTAACTAAAGAAAAATCCATGGTGCAAGAAACCAAACACCGAGGCCAGGATTCTATCTTTAAAATACCTACACGGCAGACCATAATGACTCTGGAGATACTGAAGAAAATTCAGAACGACAGGTAAGAAGGGAGAACTGATTTGGGGAGGGGGTGCCTTCTTCTGTGGTTTGTATTGTGTTCAGTGACCACTGATAATAGGTTTAGCTGAAAGTCCCTTAGAAGTCCAGTTTAAAACATGGTGAGCCTGCTCTACAAAGTGAGGTCCAGGACAGCCATGGCTATGCAGAGAAATGCTGTCTCAAAAAAGAAAAAGCTGGCTGGACGATGGTACTACACCCCTTTAATCCCAGCACTCCAGAGGCAGAGGCAGGTGGATCTCTGAGTTTAAGGCCAGCCTGGTCTACAAAGTGAGTTCCAAGATAGCCAGGGCTGTTGCATGGGGAAACCCTGCCTTGAAAAACCAGAACAAAAAACTAGCAACCAAACAAAAAACCCACACACACAAAAACCCCATGGTGCGGTATTATCCTGAACAAGTTAATACGCCATTATTTCTTCCTTTCTTCCTAGCTCCCCTTTCTCTCTTCCCCCTTTTCTTTTTTTTCTTTTCCCTCCTTCCTCCCTTTCCTTCCTCGCTTCCCATTCTTTCTCAGAGTCTCTAGTCCCAAGTGGTTTGAGCTCACTGTGTAGACCAGGCTGGCCTCAAACTTCCGGGGCTCTTGCTCTGTCTCCTGAGTGCTGGGCTGCAAGTCTGCACCAGCACATGCTATTTTAGTGTATGACTTTAAATAGTATCTTTTTCCTTTTCCTAGTTTGTGATACTAGAAACTTGTTTCCTTCTTTTTTTATTATTATTATTTTTCAAGACAGGGTCTCACTATGTAGCTCTGACTGTCCTGGAGCTGTCCTTGAACTCACAGAGATTGTCTGTCTTTGCCTTCCTAATGCTGGGATTAAAGCCATGTGCCACTATGCCAAGTTAGCTTTTGGTTTTCTAAAAGAAAGGAAAGAAAGAAAGAAAGAAAGAAAGAAAGAAAGAAAGAAAGAAGAGAAAGAAAGCTAATAATTAAACATTTTCAAAATTATGGGTTACTTCTTAAATGCAGAAGTATATAATGAAATGATAATTCTGTGTGGGACCACCAAATGTTTGTTTGCTTTTCTTCTTTCTTTCTCTCTTTCCTTTTTTTAAAAACAAAATCTTGTGTAGACCAGGCTGGCCTCAACCTTACCACATAGCTGAGGTGACCTTGAACTGCACACTGTCTTGCTTATACCTTCCAAGTGCCAGGATTACAGTGTGCACCTGGAACTCAGCATGCTTGTTTTAACAGAAGGATTTATTAGCTTAGATTAATTTTACATAAGGGTTCCCTTATAACGTTTTCATCCATGCATGTAAAATGTACTTCCTTCACTTTCATCCCCTTCACTGGCTCTCGACTCCTTCCCATGCCTCCTCTTCCTAGCCAGCTCCCAGCTCTCTTCTCATGGGTTTCCTTTCTTCTTTCTGAGACCTGTGTCTAATGAGGGGTGATTACCTGAGAGAGGACCTCCCCAGTGGCTATCCCACGGAAGAAAATCTCTCTCTCTCCTCAGATGAGATTTCACTGCCCAGCTGTCCTCGTCACTCTGTGACCTCAGGTTGGGTGGGTCCCATCTTGGTCCCAGCTGCTGAGAGTTCCAGAGTGCCAAGGTCGTGCCATGGCTGGAGGACAGCATCCCACAACACTGACCCCTTCTCTGCTCTCATATCCCCCCAGATGGGAAGGAGGGGCGGAGATGCCCCACTTAGGGCTGAGCACTTGGCCGTCAGGTGTCTCTGCTGTAACAGCTGCACTCTGCAACAAGAAGCTGCAGAAGCACTGGCCCCTGGGCACCTGCAGAAACGGCTGAAAGGCAGTGACAGGGACAAGCCAACTTTCTAGTTTTCTTTTTTGATGTGTGACATGCACATATATAAGCATTTTGCATGCGTAGACACGTGTGGGTACATGCACATGTGTGTGTGTGTGTGAGGGAGTGTGTTTGTGTATGTGCACACCCGAGATTGATGTTATCTCCTCTCACTTTCCTACCTTCTCCACTGAGGTCGCCTTCATCAAACCTAGACGGCTGACTTGACCCCGTCTCCTCCCCACTTCCAGATTCTGGAACTACCAGCAGGCCGCCATCACACCCTGCTTTGCATGGGTTCTGGGGATCTGAACTTTGGTCTTGTCACTTGTATAGCAAGCACTTTATCTATTGAGCCATCTCCCAAGGCCCTGTTTCTTTTCTGGGACAAGGTCTCTGTAAGCCTAGACTGGTCCTGAAGCTGCTGTGTGTGTAGTCTAGGGGTCCAGGACGGCCTTGGACTTTGGTGCTCCTTCCAACTTCCAACAGCTAGGATTACAGGTGTGAGCCACAGGTCCAGCCACGTCCAGCTTTTAGCTGCTGTGACTTCTGCATCTCCTTATGAAGGTGGGACAGTGTCTTATGAGGGGTGGCAGTGTCTTATGAGGGTGGGACAGTGTCTTATGAGGGTGGGACAGTGTCTTCTGAGGGTGGGACAGTGTCTTCTGAGGGTGGGACAGTGCCTTATGAGGGTGGGACAGTCTCTTATGAGCTTTTGTTTGTCCCCTTTGCAGGCAGTATTTCAGTGATGTGATCGCAAATGCCATGAAGGAGATGCAAGAATCTGGGTCATTCCAGAGTCTCCTGGAAGCCTTGGGAAAAGAAAGAGATAGCAAAATGAACTTCCATGAAGTCATCACCAGGTCAGGGTGCTGATGGATTTATCTGCTTTGGGATTCTCTTTTCAGATGTCTTCTTGCTATGCTATTTAGGAGTTCTTAGACCCTAGGAGTTTCTCCTGTTGCAAAGTAGCTGGGACTACAAGCATGTGCTAAACATCCTAGTCTGTTTTACATCTCTTTTCTTACATGTATGTGTATGTGGTGTGTATGTTTGTGTACGCATGCTTGCTTGTACGGGGACACATGTATGGATTTGGGCGCATGCATATATGTACACAGGCCTGAGGCTGGCATGGGGAGTCTTCCTTGAGTGTTTCACACCTTATTTTTCTAAGAAAATATTTTATTTTTTATTGCTATTTATTGAGCTCTACATTTTTCTCTGCTCCCTTCCCTGCCTCTTCCCTTCCCCCTTCAACTCTCCCCCAAGGTCCCCATGCTCCCAATTTACTCAGGAGATCTTGTCTTTTTCTACTTTCTACTTCCCATGTAGATTAGATCTATGTAAGTCTCTCTTAGTGTCTGCATTGTTGTCCAAGTTCTCTGGGATTGTGGTTTGTAGGCTGGCTTTCTTTGCTTTATGTTTAAAAACCACCTATGAGTGAGTACATATGATAATTGTCTTTCTGTGTCTGGGTTACCTCACTCAAAATAATGTTTTCTAGCTCTATCCATTTTCCTGCAAAATTCAAGCTGTCGTTATTTTTTTCTTGCTGTGTAGTACTCCATTGTGTAAATGATCCTAACGTTTGAGAATCCCTGTTCTTAACATTCTTACTTCTTTTAGGGAGGAAAAAGGAAGAAGAAAGATAAAATCTCTTCAGAAACAGTTAATTGATGTCAAAAAGGAGCGTCAAATGCAAGTACAGGTAAGACTCACTCATGAGGATGCCACCAAAGCTACTGAGCTAAGACCACTACATAGCAGAGTTAGCTATGAAAGGTCTTTGCTTCAGCTGGGTTGCCTATTTTATTTAATTAATTAACCAATTAATTAATTTTTTTTACTTATTATGTATACAACATTCTGCCTCCATGTATGCCCGCACGCCAAAAGAGGGCTCCATATCTCATTACAGTTGGTTGTGAGCCACCATGTGGTTGCTGGGAATTGAACTCAGGACCTCTGGAAGAGCATTCAGTGCTCTTAACCACTGAGCCATCTCTCCAGCCCCTTAATTAATTTTTTTGAGATAGGGTTTCTCAGTGTAGTTCTGGCTGTCCTGGTACTCGCTTTGTAGACCACGTTGGTCTCGAACTCAGAGATGCCTACCTCTGCCTCCCAGGTGCTGGGATTAATGGTGTGTGCCACCACTGCTTGCTCTGCTGGGGTGCCTTTACAGGAGAGAGAAAGATGCCCAGTGCACGCCTTTAGTCCCATTCAGGAGGCAGAGGCTGGCCGATCTGAGTTCCAGGACAGCCTGGTGAAATCCTGGAGGAAGAGGGTCAGAGAGGGGAAAGAGAGAGAAAAGAAAGGAACAGAACTCTGGGGGGATCAGCCCCTTGGAGCGCCTGGTCGGCTGTCACCTTCCCTGTCCTGCCCAAGCACACCAGCCTCTCCTTCCCTAGAGGACACCTCCTCTTAGTCAGGACTCCAAGCGGGGAAACATCAACACTGCCTTGTTGATGTTTGCTAATCACTCCAATTGGACTTCCAGTACAAACTGGATTTGATGATCTTCTGTAGTCACTGGGACTCATCCCATCGGAATTTCCTTCTAGAATGATATCGTTCCAAGTTTTAGCAACTGTTTGCAAAACAAGGTTTTGTGATAAAGATACCAACTCTTTTAGAATTACTAATTTTTTTTTTTTTTTGTTTTTTTGAGACAGGGCTTCTCTGTGTAACTGTCTGATTGTCCTGAAACTGGCTCTGTAGACCAGGCTGGCTTCCCTCAAAGAGATCCGCCTGCCTCTGCCTCCTGAGTGCTAGGATTAAAGGCGTGCACCACCACTGGCAGTAACTAAGTTTTTTCCTTTTTTAAAAAACAATATTTATTTATTATGTATATAGTGATCTGCCTGCCTGTATGCCTGCAGGCCAGAAGAAGGCAGCAGATCTCATTTCAGATGGCTGTGAGCCACCATGTGATTGCTGGGAATTGAACTCAAGACCTCTAGAACAGCAGCCAGTGCTCTTAACCGCTGAGTCATCTCTCCAGCCCTTCACTTGTATTTTTTAAAATACCGTCTTTCTTATCAGTGAAGATTTATAAAGCTAGTTTGCACTTAATTTTTCTCCGTAATTACAGAAGTTTCCATTCCTGAAAAATTCTATCACGGTTTTAAAATTCTTGGTTTTCTAAAGACTCCAGAATTTGGAATCTAGTTTCAGCCATTGTTCAGGCCTCTCATCTCCCACTTGAGTAGTGAGTCTGGTCAAATAGAAATGTCACTGGACCACAGAGCTGTGGTGGCATAAATACGTCTGATTTGGAGTTCAGGCTGGCTAAGCTGACTCATTAACCCAGGAGGACCTTGAACTCCTTGCCTCCTAAGTGCCGGGACCAGAGAAGTGCCACACCCTGGACCCCACGTCAGAACTGCGTGCTTTGAGGGTTGCCTTCTTCAGTCTACGCCATCCCTGTTTCCCTCTTGCCTTCCAATCAAAGAGACAACCTGACGTTCAAGACAAATGACACCCTCTCCAGAGTCTAGCTTTCAAACTTCCTTAAACCCGTGCTCCCCCAGCCAGGACCAGCTATGAGAACAGCCTGTACTGCCAAGGCGCTTTCGGCACCTCTTGCGGCAGCTCAGGGCCTGATGTGCTCTAACTGGCTGACTGCTCTGTCACTAAGTTATCTTTTCTGGATTCAAATAAAATGTTCAGAAGACCATGTCTGAAGGCAGCGGGGGGGGGGGGGAGGAGAAAGTTTGGTCTTCCTTCAAACCCCACAAATACTCCACATCAGTCTGAGGACCTTTGTCATGGGGAAGCGCAGGCTCCATGAATGGTCGGGATGACAGGATGTGGGGAAGGCAGATATCTGAGTGAAGCTTTGTTTTGTTTGTTTTTTGTTTTTGTTTTTTCTGAGATAGGAGTTCTCTGTGTAGCTTTTCTGCCAGTCTTGGAACTAGCTCTTGTAGACCAGACTAACCTCAAACTCAGAGATCCACCTGCCTCTGCCTCCCGAGTGCTGGAATTAAAGGCATGCACCACCATGGCCCAGCTCGAGTGAAGGTCTTAAACTCCTAAGTCGAGTTTCTTAGGCTGTGTGCTGTGTCTCTGCAGCTGTGTGTGACTATGGGTGTGTGCTGTCTCTGCAGCTGTGTGACTCTATGGGTGTGTGCTGTGTCTGCAAGAGTGTGCTGTCTCTGTAGGAGTGTGCTGTGTCTGCAGGTGTGTGCTGTGTCTGCAGGTGTGTGACTCTATGGGTGTGTGCTGTCTCTGCAGGTGTGTGCTGTGTCTCTGCAGCTGTGTGACTCTATGGGTGTGTGCTGTGTCTGCAAGAGTGTGCTGTCTCTCTGTAGGAGTGTGCTGTGTCTGCAGGTGTGTGCTGTGTCTGCAGGTGTGTGACTCTATGGGTGTGTGCTGTCTCTCTGTAGGAGTGTGCTGTGTCTGCAGGTGTTTGCTGTTCCTTGACTGGCATGTGTTACTTGGTGGGAAGATTTGGAAATGGACCCGTGCTTCAGTTCAATTGCTGGCATGCTTCAGTTGTGATTTTAGCATCTAAAGTTAGATAGTTTTTATATCTTGCTCAGTGTTCCATAGTGTCACTAAAATGTTTGTGTGAGACATGTTTGCAAAATATGTTTATGAGAAACAGGAAGGAAATTAGAGTATTCAGAAGCCTAAGGCAACAGCATTAAAACCAGATGACCTAGGCTTCCTTTTTTATACACAGCCAGTGTTATATGAATTTATAAAAAGTTATGTAATATAATATTACATGATATAATGCAAACCTTCTGTTTACCACAGGCCTCTGTCATAACCTCCTGGAGGGTTTTGTAAATGATTTGTAAAATTATGTGTGTGTCTGAATGCCTACATGTGTTTGCATGTGCATGCATATACATGTATGTCTGAGTATGTGCATGTCTGGATGCTCTGTGTGTGTGTGTGTGTTTGTATGTATGTTGCTCAAGAAGTCCAGAAGATGGACATCAAATTCCTGGAGCTAGAGTTACATATGGTTGCAAGCTGCCCAGCCTGGGTGCTGGAACCAAAGTCCCGTCCCCTGGAAGAACAGGAAGTGCTCTTTCACCTTCTCTCCAGTCCTGACTTCTAGAAAATTTGATAAAACAGCTAGAATATGGGCACATCTTATCTTGTGCTCATTCCGAGTTACAGATTGTCTTTAGAATTTCTGGAACATATCTAGGTCTTCATTGACTGGAGACTCTAGCATGAACCTCACCCTTTTCTTTTTATTTATAAATTTCTTGGCCTCATTTTTTATGAATTGGCTCATTCGTCTTTCAGGTGTCAGATAGATAAGCTCCTCAGAGGATCCTTCTTAGACAGTGCTAGTGGAGGTCACCTGACTGCGTCTCCCCGAGCCTGTCTGTTGCCCTCTCTCCCACACAGGCTAAGTGCGCCCACAGGTGCGCCCACACAGCCTTCTCCCCCACACAGGCTAGGTGCACCCACACAGCCTTCTCTCCCACACAGGCTAGGTGCGCCCACACAGCCTTCCCTCCCACAACAGTTTCCCACTACACAGTGGTCCCTCTGGGACTTGGGCTGTTTATGTCTCCACTGTCCTCTGCTGCCTACCTTGGTGTCTGCTACTGAAGAATTTTCAATCCATGAGTTTTGAGACCTTAAAATCATGAAACATGCTGGGTGACGGTGGCACACACCTTTAATCCCAGCACTTGGGAGACAGAGGCAGGCAGATCTTTGTGAGTTTGAGGCCAGCCTGGTCTACAGAGTGAGTTCCTGGACACCCAGGGCTGTTACATAGAGAAATTCTGTCTTGAAAAACCAAAACCAAAACCAAAATAAAACTAACAAAAAACAACCAACAAACACACAAACACATGTGAAGCCTTAGTGACTGGTAGAGTTTCCCCGCATGTTCTGTGACTCACTGCGCTGGCCAGTCTGTGTCAGCTTGACGCAGGCTAGAGTCACCCGCGAAGAGAGGTCAGCTGAGGAGATATCGCCATCACATTGGCCTGTGTGTCTGTCTGAGGAGCATTTTCTGGATTAGCGATTGATGTGAGAGGGCCCAGCCCACTGTGGGTGATGCCACCCCTGGGCAGGTGGTTCTGGGTTCTGTAAGAAAGCAGGCTGAGCAAGGTAGAGGGAGCAAGCCATAGCCAAGCGGTGTTCCTCCATGGCTCGTCCAGAGAACCTGAGTTCAGTTTCCAGCAACCACATGGTGGCTTGCAGCCTCTGTAATGAGATCTGGCGCCCTCTTCTGGCCTGCAGGGATATATGCAGTCAGAACACTATACATAATAAATAAAAGAAAAATAAACTAACAAAAGATGATAGTTAATCTGAAACAACCACACTCGTTTATTACTATACCTGGGAGGGGCTGAGAACACATTCACGAACACATCCTTGCTTCGGAGGACAGAGGTCACAAGCTCTCAGAAATATCTTCACACAGCTTCACTCATGGACCAAGTTCAACACTGGCGAGACCTACTCAGTTTGAATTTGGTAGCTTTCATTCTGTCTCCCGCACTTATTTATTATCTTGTGGGAGGGGCGCATATGTGGAGGTCAGAGGACAATTTGAGAGAGTTAATTCTCTGTCATGTGGGTCCCAAGGATCAAACTCAGATCATAAGGCCTGGTGGCAAGTGACCACCTCTTTTGAGACAGGGTCTTTGGTAGCCCCGGTTGGCTTTGAGCAGCTCACTATAGCTAAGGATGACCTTGAACTCCTGCTGGGATTATGGGTGTCTCCAGCTCCACCTCTTCCTCTTCTGAGCAGGGTCTCAAGTGTGTGGCTCTGGCTGGTCTGGAACCTGCCGCGTGAGCAGGGTTGGCCTGAAAGGCATAGAAACTCACCTGCCTGGCCTCCAGAGTGCTGGGGTTAAGGTGTTTTTGATGAGACATGTTCTCTCTCTGTGGGCCTGGTTGGCCTGGAGTCTGAGATGAGCCTTCTGCTCCCCATCCTGGTGCAAAGACTCATTTCCTTCAGAAGATCGTGATGACTGAGCGTATTTCCCTTGTGCTGGGAGAAAGCCGGCTCCGCCCGCCTTGTAAACACAGTGGTCTCATCTCTGCAGAATGGGAACGAATACATTGCTCACCTCAAAGACCAGCTACAAGAGATGAAGGCCAAAACCAACATGGAGAACCTTTATATGAAAAGAAACGCTGAGCTGCAGATTACCCAGACCCAGAAGAAATGTAACAGAGCAGAGGAACTCTTGCTGGAGGAGATTGAGGTAACCTGTGCTACACTAGGCTAGCTGGGGATGGAGCCCAGGGACAGCATAAGCCAGAATCTGAGTCCACCTTCCAGTATCAATAACAACAACAACAACAAATCCAGGTGATGACTTGATGATGCCAAGTGGCTGTCACTTTATTTATTTATTTTTGTTTGTTTGTTTTTTGAGACAGGGTTTCTCTGTGGCTTTGGAGCCTGTCCTGAAACTAGCTCTGTAGACCAGGCTGGTCTCGAACTCACAGAGATCCGCCTGCCTCTGCCTCCCGAGTGCCCGGCCAGGGTCACTTTAAAAAAATCATTTATCTTGGGCAGGAGAGAGATCAGCTGTTAAGAGTACACACATTTCTTTATCCTGGTGGTGGCACACGCCTTTAATCCCAGCACTGGAGAGGCAGAGGCAGGCAGAACTCTGTGTTCAAGGCCAGCCTGGTCTTCAGAGTGAGTTCCAGGACAGCCAGGGCTACACACAGAAACCCTGTCTAGAAAAACTTAAGAAGACCTTCGTTCTGTGCCCAGCACCCATGTGTGTAGGGTGGGGGGCACAACCTCCTGTACCTCCAGTTCCATGTTTTAAAATTATGTGTGGAGTCATAGGTGGTTTCGAGCCACTCAACATGAGCGGCAGGGACCAAACAGAGGTCCTCTAAACATGCGGTGTGCACTCTTAGCTGCTGAGCTAGCTCCTGCCTCAGCCAGCTGTCATTCCTAATACGTCAGCCAATAAAAGGGGAGGAGGAACATTAATGTTTTCCTTCATGACCAGTACAGCCCATGAGGTCAAGCTTGAAACACTCAATGGGCCTAGATATCTGTGGTTAGAGATCCTAACGGCTCCACCTCCTGCTCTCTGTACGACCTGGAGTCGGCTGCTGGGAAAGCCTCCCTCCCAACCCCTGCTTTTTTTGTTACGTTTTCTCTCTTCTTCCTCCTCCTCCCTGCCTCCTGTTCTTCAACATTGGCTTCTGTAGTTCAGGCAGGCTGGCCTCAGACTCACTTTGGAGTGCAGGGCTGGCCTTAACCAGATCTGCCTGCCTCAGCCTCCAGAGAGCTGGGATTCCAGGTGTGGGCCATCTGGAAGTCTGTACTTTCCTTCTCTGGGCTGAGAATCTTGCACCCTTGAAGCATGGTTTTTCAGATGACAGGGTTGTTTGGGCTTCTTCGGGGGCCCTTGCGCGTATCTAAGGAGGTGCAGTGTTTGTGGAGCACACAGGGAGCTCTGTAGGGAAGCCTTGGCATTCCTGGGGTCCCTGAGAATGGTGACCTCAGCCTTGCTGAGGAGAGAGCCTGTGCTTGGTGCATTACAGAAACTGAGGATGAAAACTGAAGAGGAGAACCGAGTTCATATGGAGATCGAGATGTTCCTAAAGAAAGAGCAGCAGGTGAGTCTCTGGGACCTTTGGTTCCTCATTTAGGATCAAATTAGAGATGGCTTACCGGCTGAGAGCACTGGCTGCTCTTGCAGAGGACCTGGGTTCTGTTCCAGGCATCGACATGCCATTTCACAGTTAGAACTCCAGGCCCAGGGCATTCAGTGCCCTCTTCTGGCCTTTAAGGGCATTGAGTGCGCTGGTGCACATGGCACATGCATGTAAAACACCTGTACATATAAAATAAAGAGATCTCTGTAAATAAATCCCACTCCACGAGGTGGTGGCACACATTGTTAATCCCAGCACTCGGAAAGCAGAGAGGCAGGTGAATCTCTGAGTTTGAGGCCAGTCTGTGAGTGCTGGGATTAAAGGTGTGCATCACCACTGCCCAGCTTGATTTTTTAAATTATAAAAATAACATGCTCAGCTGGGCGGTGGTGGCTTTTAATCCCAGCACTCGGGAGGCAGAGGCAGGTGAATCTCTGTGAGTTCAGGGTCAGCCTGGTCTACAAGAGCTAGTTCCAGGACGGGCTCCAAAAGCTACAGAGAAACTATCTCGAAAAACAAAACAAACAAAAAATATAAATAAAATAAAAAAATAACAAAAACCCCCAAACAAACAAAAAAACCCCCATGATCAGTTGAGAGGTGTTTTTAAAATTATCAGTTGCATTCTCATTTTGTTCATGTTATTAGAATCTCTTTGCAAAATAATTTAGAATATAAAATGTCCCATTGAATGGGTATGCACAGATCTGCTCCAGCCATTACTGATTGTCACTGCAGGTGCTCACTAACAGTCCGTCTCAGGAAAGCACTGCAGAGGGACCGGGATTCTGGGATTCTGGGTACATGGTACTCATGCTTTCCCCTTCATATTCCATGAATGTGTCTAGTCTGCAGGCTGTGTGTGCAGGTGTCATGTCAGGTGCCTCTTACCTGGATGGTAAGAGGTGCTTGCTGGGCAACCTGAAGCCAAGATAAGGTGGCTAACAGGAAACGTAGACTTGAGTCAATGATCTTTTTCTTTTGTTTGATATGATTCTTGCTACATAGCCCAGGGTGTTCTCCAACTCAACTCTTTTTTTTTTTTTTTTTTCGATACACGGTTTCTCTGTGGCTTTGGAGCCTGTCTTGGAACTAGCTCTGTAGACCAGGCTGGTCTCGAACTCACAGAGATCCGCCTGCCTCTGCCTCCCGAGTGCTGGGATTAAAGGCGTGCACCACCATCGCCCTGCTTCCAACTCAACTCTTGATCCTCAGCCTGCCTCAGCCTCCTGAGTGCTGGGATTGTAGGAGCGTGGACAATGGCTGGCTTAAATGTTTTGCTTTTTCCTCCTCCCTCCCCAAGCCTTCTCTCTCTTTCCTCTTCCTCCTTCAATCAGTTGTAAAGATGGACTGTTTCCATTGGTGATTATCTATTCTCTGTTAATATGTTAAAGTAAAACACTATACATTTGCTCTTGAGTCCTTTAAATTTTTGGAATTAGCCTTACCTGATCTTAATGCACATGGCAAGTAAACGCTGGGATTGTTAAAGGTATTGGGAATGAGTGTGCCTAGGGAACCAGACGGGGGAGAGCACCGGGAGCCTCCAGGAGACCTGACATGTCTTCCAGCGCCCTCTGCTGACCAAGATTAGTATTTTGCTAGGTGGCCAATGAAACCTTTCCAGTGAGGCTAGGCCTTGCAGAAAGCACTTGGAGCTGAGAGGCGGCCAGCCGTCAGCTGACACCGATGGTGAGGCTGGCTCTGTGGAGCACTGCTGTGTAAACAGTTGTCAAAGTTGTTTTGTTTTTAAAAACCGGTAACTACAAATTCATTTTTAAATTTTAATTTTGAGACTGCATCTCATTACATAGCCCTGGCTGGTCTGGAACTCACTATGTAGACCAAACTGGCCTCAAGTTCAAAGAATTTAGAGTTATCTCATGAGCGCTGGGATTGCAGGTGTGGTCACGACGCCTGGCTGAGGAGCATTATTTTTTTAATCCATCAAAGTGGTGTATTTCTCTCCTTTAATGTGTTCATAAAGTAAAATACACTTGTGCATCTTACGTTTGCCCATTCATTTATTCATGTGTGTGTGTGTGTGTGTGTGTCTGCCACACGGATCCCCTGGAACTGGAGTTACAGGTGATTGTGAACTGCTCAAACTTAGCCTGTTCTCAAGACTCAGGACAGGTTCCCAACCAAAAACCCAGTAAAGTGTGATTCTTAGTGACAGTAATCCCAGTGCCTGACGTTCCTCAGGAGATGTCAGTTCTAATGGAAGATGCACAGACGGAAGGCGGAGTGCCAAGGTCAGACTCCAGCCTCGCACTCAAGTCTCCTTGAATTCTTTAGACCCCTCGCTCTCTCAGCTAGTGCTCCTAGAGCGGAAACACAAGAACCCCTTACAGTCAGTGCAGCACAGTGGGTTTTGTGTGCCGGCGTACTGACATTCAGCATACAACACTGGAAAGGGGGGGTTAAGTAAAAAGGTTTGCTTTAATAAAAGCAACAGAATATAGATAATGATTAATTCTAGACCCAAGAGAAAGAAAGTAAAACCTTAGCATGTTTAAGAAATTTGAAGAGATAGCATAGAAGAAAGTCCATCTGCTCTCCAGAGGGCCTGAATTCTGTTTCCAGCACCTTCTTTCATTTTCTCTTGCAAAAAGTCCATCTTCAAGTAACTTTTCAAGACTGAATCTCATTTTTCCATCATTTTTGAAAATTAGGTTGGCTAGGCATCTTATCTCAGACTCATTCTGTTTTCATTGAGCATTTTCAATACTCCCCTCCCCCCACAGGCTAGATTAGATCATGCAACATAGCCCATGTTGGCCTTAAACTTCTGACCTTCCTGCCTCTTCTTTGATCACAGGTGCGGGCAACCATGTCTACTTTTTTGTGGTGCTGGCTGTCAAACCCAGGGCACATACATTCCAGACCAGCATCCCAGCTGAGCATGTCCCCATCGTACATGTCAGTCTTTTGACTAATGTTCACTGTTGTTAATAATAAACAAGACTTGATGTCACGGCTTATCGTTCAGAATTTTTACCTACTCCTCTGCCACCTCCCCCAGAGACACTGAAGCCCCCTCCTCGCTTTTCTCTTGGTCTTGAGTATTGATTCACTTCTTGAAAGTTCAAGCATTTGTTTTGCAGTGCTGGGTGTCAAGCCCAAGACTACTCATGGAAGGAAAGAGTAGCCCTGAGCTATACCCCAACTCTTCCTCCTCCTGTCTTTCTTGTCATTTTATGTATTGTCTCATCTTATTAGTTGATAATTTCATAAAATGTATTTTGATCATATGGACGTCTCCAACTCCTCCTACCTACTCCCCTACCCACCCAAACTGCCCTAAAAAACTTCATCAGACACAATTTGTCCTGCCCGTTATACTCTTGGATGTGTGGTGACTACCAGGGCCACACCCTCAAAAGATGAACTTTGTCTCTCCCCAAAGCTATCAACTGCCATTGGCTTCTAAGCTAGGGTGGAACTTCCTGCCCACCTCCACTCTCTCCTGGGATTCTGACTGACTTGAGTTCCACAGGTGCTGTGCATGCGTCACATGCTGTGAGCTCATAGGCGCCACTCCTGTTTAAAAACTGAGTGACTTTCACACAGGAAAGTACACAAACATGGAGTCTGATACAGCCATCATGTCAGCACCTCCCTCCCCCATGCCCTCACCAAGTCTGTTCTGACTGGATCTCCCTAGGAAAGTTTCTTGGTGTAACTGAATCACAGTCTTGTTATTTTATGTGTGGTGGAAGCCATGCTTTTTTTTGGGGGGGGGGGGGATTGAGACAGGGTTTCTCTGGAGCTTTGGAGCCTGACCTGGGACTAACTCTTGTAGACCAGGCTGGCCTCAAACTCACAGAGATCCTCCTGCCTCTGCCTCCCAAGTGCTGGGATTAAAGGCAAATGCTCCACCACTGCCCGGCTCAGAAGCCATGTTTTAAAATTCTTTCCAAGTAGAAACTTGAGGAGAAGCTGGAGTTCTGGATGGAGAAATTTGATAAAGACACCGAAGCAAAACAGAATGAGTTGAATGCCCTCAAGGCTGCCAAGGCCGCCGACCTGTCGCACCTTCAAGAACTTGCAAAGACGGTAAGGGGGGATGGGGGCCCTGGGGATGAGTGGGGACTAAGCTCACTGGGGAAGCCTTTGGCCAGAAGTAGAGGTGTGACTGTAAACCACCAGGATTCTTTGATGATGGTGACCACGGCAGGATTTACTTCATTTTTTGAGTCATACCATATACTTGCTATTGGCTAGGGTCGAGCAGACTGGCCTTGGACTGCTGCAGTCCCTGCCGGTGTCCCGGGAATTCTGGGATTCCTGGTGAGCAGGGCTGGTTGGGCTCCGTGTGTCCTTGTGCAGATCCGGGAGTATGATCAGGTCATCATTGAGGATAGGGTGGAAAAGGAGAAGACCAGGAGGAAGCTGGAGCAGGACGACCTGGAGCTGAAGAGCATCTTGAAGGTAGGATGCGCTGGCAGTCGGCGGGCACGGCGGGCACACTGCAGCTGGAGCGCACAGGGCGCACGTGCCCTTCACGGCGCTGAGACAGAAAGGAGCAACTCCTGGGTCCCGATCTGGGGCGATCAATGGAAGCAAAGCCTCTTTCCAGCCATAACAACCTGAGGAGGGGACTCAGCTATAGGAAGGATGCCCCAGAATGCTGTGCCCTGCTCCACACCCTGGCTGTCCAATACAAGTTGCTTTAAAACAAACAAACAAAAACCCAAAAGGTAAAAGGAACAATACAAATTAGAAAAAAAAAAAACACATTTAAAATGTATTTTTGAGACAGCATCTTTCGTAGCCCTGACCAACTGGGACTATGTATGTGGTCTGTGGTGCTCCTTCTCTCTTAGCCTTTTGAGCACTGGAGATTGTAGATGTGAAGACTCAAGCCTGGCCGAGACAGCAAATGTCTCATAAAAGTTCTATGTGAACTTGCAATTAGCAATGACAACATGATTAGGGCCAGATTCTGGAAAACAGTCTTAAGATTCATTTTTACTTTGAAATATGTAAATGTCTGTATTTGGGTACGTGCACATGATTGCAGGTACCCACAGAGGCCCAGGGGGGCATCAGATTCCTCCGAGCTGGAGTTACAGGTGGTTGTGGATTTCCAGATGTGGGTATTGGGAAACTAACTCGTAATCTGCAAGAGCAGCAACGTTCTTAACTGCTGGGCCATCTCTTCAGCCCCTGGAAAAATGTTTAAAGCTAAAACTGTAATGCAAAGATGGTTTGAAAAACGTTGCTTGGAAGTGCATCCTTTAGGGGTCCTGGTGGGAATGAACCTGAGACGTAGAGTAAGTAGCAAGTTCTGCCTGTAGCTCAGGCTGGCTGTGAACCACACAGGGCTGTATTCTGTTCCGTCTGTGGTACTGGGTATCAAGCCCAGGGCCTCAAAGCATCTTATCACTAAGCCACAACCACAAGTCCAAAATGAGAACTTTAAAGTACTTCCAGAGACAAATATAATATGTATTCACTCATAAGTAGCTTTTAGACATAAAGCAAAGAAAAACCAGCCTATAATTTACAACCCCAGAAAACCCAGACAACAAAGAGGAACCTAAGAGAGATATACATGGATCTAATCTACATGGGAAGTAGAAAAAGATCTCCTGAGTAAACTGGGAGCATGGGGAGGGTAGAAGGGGAGAGGAGGGAAGGAAGGGAGGGGAGCAGAGAAAAACATATAGCTCAATAAAAACAATAAAGAAGTAATACTTTCAGGACCCAGGTATCCAAACTCGTTCTTGGTCTTCCTGTTAGGAGAATCTAATGTATAATTAGTAAATGTTGGTCAGGCTTGTATGCTTTCCATTTGTCAAGATTCAGTGTATAGTGAAGAACTAAGCAAAGTCTGCTTTGTTCTCACTAGTGGATTCATGTGCTCTCAGTAGGCAAGGCTAATCTGTTTTATAATATAGACTGTTCAGAACAGTTGCATCACACTGACAAGACATTCAAGGGGACTTTTAGCTGCTCCCTAAAGATATGTGACACCCTACTAATCACTGAGACTTCTCAGTGTGTCCCTGAGTGCAGGTAAGAGACATTCATTCTCTTTCTGATGTGGGAGTGTCATATATCAATCTGTTGATTTCATTGGTTAAGCAATAAAGAAACTCCTTGGCCCTGATAGGTTAAAACATAGGTGGGAGGAGTAAACAGAATAGGATGCTGGGAGGAAGAGGAAGTGAGCTCAGACTCGACAGTTCTGCTCTCTGGAGCAGAGGCCCTGCTTCGCTCTCCTGGGCATACGCGATGAAGCTCCGACCCAGGATGGACATAGGCTAGAATCTTCCCGGTAAGCGCACCTAGTGGTGCTACATAGATGATAAGAAATGGGCTAAATTAATGTTAGAATTAGCCTAGAAGAGGCTAGATAGAAATGGGCCAAGCAGTGTTTAAATGAATACAATTTGTATGTTGTTATTTCGGGCATAAGCTAGCCAGGCGGCCGGGGTGCTGGGGATGCAGCCCCGCCGCTCCTATTTCAACACCTTTCCAGCCAATGGCTGCGAGGTGGGCTGCATTACCAAAGGTGCCAACATGGCCTAGCACACTGCATTTCCACTCAGCCAAGGAGCAACAGGGTAGCCATAGTGACATCAGCCTGGCCACTGCCATGCCTCAGAGATGTCCTTAAACACGCGCGGCTGTGGTTCTCTGTGGAGAAGGATCACAGTTCTGCCAGGCTCACTGAGACGAACTGCCTTCCTTCCTCCTCTCCTCCAGCTCCAGGCCTGGTGGCGAGGAACAGTGGTCCGGAGGGAAATTGGTGGTTTCAAAATGCCCAAGAAAGAGAAAGATGACAGCAAAGATTCCAAAGGCAAGGAGAAGGAAAAACGGAGAGGCAAGAAGTGACGAGTACCAGCTGTTCATTTCCTCTTGTCTCCAGGGACACACCTATGTCGTCATAACACTCACCTGTGGCTTGCCATCCAGGACGCCTACGGAGTTCACTAGGCCCATTACTCTAGTTTTCAAACTCCGAATGGGGGTTATAACATGGCGGTAGGGCCTCTTCAGACTGTGCACTTTGGGGAAAGAAGTGCTGAGCAGCTTTGTGAAATTCTTTCTCATGAGAAAACAGTTCATAGGCTTATAGTGATACAATAAAAAGTCCGGTGTAATATTTTATTTTGATTTTATGCCAATATTCAGGGAGAATTATCAAGGTTATCTGCTTGCAAAATATGTCTGCACACGGTAGTTAATAAACTTTGGTTTGTTAAACTGATAAACTTTGCCTGTCTCACTGTTACTGGCACTGGGGGACGGCACCTAATCTGCCTCTTACATAAGCTGCTCTGGCAACCTTTCTGGGGATAGATCGGGGTGGAAGTGGCCAACACAAGAGAGATGGAGTGTGCATACACAGTCCTCTAGTGGTAGAGATGGTACATGTCCCAGAAAGCTAGACAAGTGACACACAACTGTGTCCACCATCTGGGATAGAGACTTAGGAAACCAGCCCGTGTGGGTGTTTTCACTTCTCCCTTAAAACCAGCGAGCCCACTGGCTCATTCTTGCTCTGACCATCAGTAAGGAATGTCTTGGAGGGCTGGAGCTTCGAGGACAGCACAGCTGTCTCCACTGCACCTCTGCTTCCTTCTGTGTCTGTGTGCATGATGTGTGCCAGTGCACATGCAGAGTTCAGAGGTCAACTCTGTGGACTCTTCTCCTTTTTGTGGGTTCTCAGGCTCAAATTCAGGTTGCCAGGATCATCTTGGAATTTGCTGTGAAACCAGGCTAGCCTTGAATTTAAAGATCTGCTTGCCTCTGCCATCCTGTGTGCTGGGATCAAAGAAATGCATCACTGTGCCGAGCTTGTTTCTTTAAAGTAAGTTTTTTTTTTTTAAAAAAAAAAAATTAGTGTAGGGGCTGGAGAGATGGCTCAGAGGTTAAGAGCGCTGGCTGCTCTTCCAGAGGTCCTGAGTTCAATTCCCAGCAACCACATGGTGGCTCACAACCATCTGTAATGGGATCTGGTGCCCTCTTCTGGCCTGCAGGCATACATGCAAGTGGAACACTATACTAAATAAATACAATCTTAAAAAAAATAGTGTGCATGCAAGCATGCATGTGCATGCGATAACTCACGTGTGTGGGTTAGAGGAGGATAGCTTTCAAGAACTGTCTCCTATTTCTCTTTTGGGTCCTGGAGATTAAACTCAAGTCACTGGGCTTGGCAGCAAGCCCCTTTACCTGTTAAACCATTTCACTGGCCCCTAACTGGTTATTTCTTAGAGGAAAGTTATCTTAATGTATCTTACGCTTTTCATGAATTAAAGCCTTTTAACTTTTGGAGACTTCATGTAGCCCAAGTTGGTTTCAAACTCACTATGTAGTCTGGGCTGGCTTTGAACCTCCTACATTACAGGAGTGAGTGACCATACCTGCTTTATGCAGTGGGATTGGCACCCAGGACGTGATGCATGCTAGTAGGCACAGTACTAGCTGCACTATAGCTCCAGCTGAATTGAGCCATCTAGTCCTGCTGCCATCGCAGGCCACCTCATTTCCTGTGCCTCCTTGAGAGGTGAGCGCTAACCTCAGAGGCTGGTTTAACAAGTTGTCCCTTTGTGAGTCAGATTTGTCTTTGTTAAGGATGCCAAGTTTTAGGCTTGAACATCTTTAAGTGTTTATTACATGCTATGGCAGAATTGGCTTTTATTTTAATGTCCATATATAAGATGGCATACAGGCAACTTAAAATAACATACACAGTATCAACATATTTATACTTAGAACTTACACAACATATTTACAGACATACAAATATAGGACAATGTTTACAAAACCTTTTACTAATTACATGTGTGTAACATTTCAGAAGTCAAATCTGCTGTAACCGCCTCCTGCACTGTGTATATACAAGGCTTCTAAAGGAGCAGGTTTTCCTTCATTTCACAACCATCCGAGTCCTCAGTCCTTCACACTCATCAGCACAGAGCACCATCGGCCGCTGCTGACTCGAGGGAGGCAGATTACAGGCCCCTTGATAGCTGTAAGGTGTACTTACAGAGCAGCTGGGAAACACTTACTGCTCTGCCCTTTCTAGTCTCTTCATCCCTCTAGCGAGTGCCTCAGACCCGCTCATTACAGGAGGAGCCTGGTCCGAGGGCTAGGCAGAGACGCCTCTGCAAGTCTGGAGACCGCTGACAGGACATCTCTGTAGGTGGCGGGGCAGGGCCAGGCAGGCACTTGGTTTGTTCACAGTCAGCACTGGTAGGACAGCCATTTCCGGTCAGGGGACTATGATAAGACTAACTTTATCTTACACTGGGGTCTTTAGCAATGTTAAATATAAAAATGTATTGTTCTCTCCAATTTAGAAACATATATATGAAGCCACAAAAGACCAACAGAAAACCCGGTTTGTTATATGCTGACTCAGAACAACCACAGCTAAAACTGTGCAAATGCTTCCTAATGATTAAATCTGAATTAACTTGGTAAGTACAGTACGGCCTGACATGAAAAACTGAAATATTAATATGTCCTCTTTCTTCTGAGGTAGGGGCTCACTGGGTAGAGGAGCTCTGCCCCCTGTCCCTCAAAGGCTGGGTAAAGGCATGCCCTCCACGCTCTGCAATGTCAGCCTACTCTCTGGAACTCTCAGAGCTGCTCTGAGTGTTGTATTATGTAATGTCTTCTGGACTCTTTTCTATACAACATCAGAAGCTACAAGTGAGAAATGATGCTGAGGTTTCATCCTGACTGGAAGGAAGCATAGCTAGAGCCCAGAAGCACAGCTGCTGGTGGACAAGCCCCTGAAGGGCTGGCCAGGAGCCCAGGTGCTCTGTTATACTTACTGTCTCTTGAGATAAGGTCTTGCAGCGTAGCCCAGGCTGGCCCTAAATCCATGATGCTCCTGCCCTAGCCTCCTGAGTTGCAGGAATGTGCCACCATACCCGGCTGCTGGTACATGCTTTTAAACTTGAATAACGTGGCAATGTTCTAATAAACACTTCTCTGCATGAACAAGGAGAAATTATTTTGATTACTCAAAATGATTTTGTTCAAAGTCACTTTTAGAGGAAGGATTTTTTTAGGGAAAGGATACTTTTAAATATTTTTACATGTATGAATATTTTACCTTCATGTATGTATGTGTACCATGTACATGCCTGGTACCTGAGGAAGTCATTGCAGGGTGCTGGGAACTGAACCCTGACTCTCTGCAAGAGGAGGAAGTGTTCTCAGCTGCTGAGGCAGCGCTTCAGCCAGTCTAATGTAGCCCAGGTGGCCTGTAGCTGCCTAGCATCCGGTCAAATCCTGACCACCCAGCTCCCACTTCTGGAATTACAGGCCCCTGTGCCTCTCTGCACCTTACTTCCGGTGGTGCTGGGGATGGAATATGGTCCAGTATCGAAGATATTGCTATTGGATGCTGCACAGGGTAAATACTGTTCTCAAATGCAAGCCTTGGGAAGACTGCAGGAGATACCCTATGAAACAGCTTTTATGTAACGACTCTACTGGCCACATCAAATACACAACAACTAACAAGTGTGCAAAACCTAGGGGAAGAAATACCTGTGTACTTAGGTTTACACGAAGACGCCTACTTTGTGCTGGAGCCCAGGTCCTTCTGTTGTCTGCTCACAGCGAAGGAGTAAGACACAGGCGGCGGATGGGGGAGGGGCTAGAGGAGAGACAGGAAGCTATTCTAGTGCTTTCTTAAAGCTAAGGAAACTGGCTGCCACCTGCAAGGACTCTAAGAAGTGTGGCTTCCTTTACCTCCTTTGGCGTTGTGTTCGGTGTCCCATGAGCCAGGGAGCTGTCACTGCATCTACCACGCCTGGTTCCGGTGCCCGGGGAGCAGCATGCAGGGTTCACCGAGGCAAATGCAAATACTGTTGAGTAGTGCAGGTTACACTGTACAGCTTAGAACTGTGTGCAGAGTGTCTGTGTTTAGGAAATGGCAGGGTGATGCACAGAACCACCCTCTAGAAAAAGATGGGGTGGGAGCGGGCAGGGCTGTGGAGAGGCCTGGGCACTGGTTTTAAATAACTGTTATACAGCGCAAAATCGAGGGCTTCTCTATTATTTTTGTTCTCTTTGACAGAATTGTCCAAGTCATCATAACATAGCCTTTGATTTGAATGCGGTTGAAAAGTGCAGGAGGGTGGTACCCAAACCACATAACTATGTGTCCTGGCACAGTCTCTACTGCCTGAGAGCAACTGCAACGTCTGCTGGAAATGCAGGTTCCCAGGCCACAGCCATAACCACTGATGCAAATCTGGATTTCACAAATGCTCCAGGAGAATGAAGCCCAACTGTGGAAACCAGCGAGCAGTAGAACCCGGGGCACTGGAAAGACAGCAGCATGTCTGTCTTCTGAGAGAGAGAAATATGCGGCTTCCAAGATCCTGTCTCTGGCATGAAAAATGAGCCTGCTCCCCACAAAGAAAGCAGAGCCAGCTTAGGCTTCCATGTTGAGTCCTCAGTAATGAAAGTTCCACTTAAGAGGATTGTGTCTTCATTAAAAACAAAAAATAGTGGAAATAATTTCCCCTAAAATGGAGAGATGAAGCAAACATTCCTGGCAGGAATCATGAAGACTGGGCTTCTAGGAACGCACAGGGCTGTGTGAGCAGGCGGGGCCAGCAATCGCATCCTTGTTTGGCTGTGTCAATACCCACGTCCCTGCGAGTCCTCAGACAGCAGAGAGCTGGGGCGGGGGCTGCTGCTGTTGCTGCTGCTTGGGTGGGGCAAGTTCCAGGAGGGCCTGGACAGTCACGGCAACCTGGCTCAACCCCTTCTCTTCTAAAATGTGCAGAGGCAAACATAATTGCTCCTAAAAGAGGACAACGTAACGAAAAACAAACAGAAAACAGGATGAACATCACAGAACTGAAGGGAACTTCTACCCCGCCCCATAATAATCAAGCGAGATACGGAAAGTTCTTGGTAAACCCACCCTGCTAAAGGAGGCAGACGCAGATGGTGTCTCACACTCAGGGTCACTTTATTAACACAGTTAAAGGTCCATACAGAAAAGCGGAAGACTGACAGGTGACACACATTTACACAGCGGGAGGAAGCCACACTATCTGACAAAAGATCAGGGCCGACTTACAGAGCACATCAAAATAGAAAAACAGGCCGAGTTACAGCATGGCTCACATGGAGAACAGCATTACAGAGGACACTCTGGGGAGGAAATCACAGACTGAGGAACGCTTCATAATTCTGTGATGACTCTAACTGCAGGAAGGGAGGGCCCAGGACTTGCACCATAGCTCCATTCTGAAAGCCACAACCCTCAGAGTTAAATGGAAATAAGAAACATTGCTCTACCTCAGGTAATTCATGGTAGGGTAAACCTAAATTAGTTTAAAAAAAATCAGATCTTAAAAAATTGTGTTTTAGCTGGGTGTGCGTGTTCCTAGGACTTAGGAGGCAGAGCCAGACAGGTCTCTGTGAGTTCAAGGTCAGTCAAGGCTACATTGTGAGATCTTGTCTTAAAAACTGTATTTGAAAACTGGGCAGTGGTGTACACATTTAATCCCAGCACTTGGGAAGCAGAAGCAGGTGGATCTTTATGAGTTCGAGTCCAGTCTGGTCTACAGAGCAAATTTTAGGCCTGCCAAGGGTACACAGAGAAACCTTGTCTTGAAAAACAAAACAAAACAAAACCACCCAAAAAAAAATTGTATTTGCAAAAGTAAAGTATTTCATATTGTAAAATTCAGCAGATTAAACAAAGCCGAGGAACCATTATGTAAGCTTACTCACATCTTGATAACTGATCCATAAAAAGACCGTTCCTTTGGGTAAGAAGCTGGATATATCTACTTTGTTACTCTTGTAAGAAAAAGGCAAATCTTAGCCTAACACTTACTGGCTTTTCTTTTTCTCATCAAAATTATTATTTTTTAGTTTTTTTGAGACAGGGTTTCTCTATGTAGTTCTGGCTGTCTTAGAGCATGCTATGTTGATCTGGCCAGCCTAGAACTCAGAGATCTTTTTGTCTCTACCTCCCAAATGCTGGGATTAAACATGTGTACCACCATGCCTGGATAAAAATTACTTTTTTGCTTATAGTTGAGAGAAGGTCTTGCTATGTATAGCTTAGGGTGGCCTCAAACTTAAGTTCGAGGGCTCTAGGAATGTTCCATTACACTCTGTATCACTCGGAATGTTACAAAATGGATTGCAATCAAAATACAGCAAGAGCTAGTCAGTGGTGACACACACCTTTTTTTTTTTAAAGATTTATTTATTAATTATGTATATAACATTCTGCCTCCGTGTATGCCCGCACGCCGGAAGAGGGCGCCAGATCTCATTACAGATGGTTGTGAGCCACCATGTGGTTGCTGGGAATTGAACTCAGGACCTCTGGAAGAGCAGCCAGTGCTCTTAACCACTGAGCCATCTCTCTAGCCCCAACACATACCTTTTATAAGGGTAGGTAGATCTCTGAGTTTGAGGCCAGCCTGTCTACAGATCAAGTTCACAGAACAGCCAGGGCTACACAGAGAAACCCTGTCTTAAAAAACTAAAATCAAACCATAACAAGCCAAAACAAAAAAACAAACAACCAAACAATAACAACAAAAAGATGAAGCCTGTGTGCTGTGGGTGGAGCATCCCTGTCATCTGCTCAGCAGTGCACAGGCCGAGCACAGTGGTCTACTCCACCACTCAGAGGTCGGAGCTTACAGACATCAACTTAGCGGATGTTTCCTAGGAACTCACCACTGCCGTCTAGACTGCTCAGCAGCCTCTTCGGTGGTTTTGTCTGTTTTTATTTTAAAGACAGGTCTTGCTATGTAGCCAGCCTAGGCTGCTAAAGGCTGGGACTGCAGGTGTGTATCAGCACATACTCCGTGTGTGTGTGTGTGTGTGTGTGTGTGTGTGTGTGTGTGTAAAAGGACAAAACTACAGAATTCAGACAATAATCGTCAATTCTAGGTATCTTAAAAAGAAGACAAGTCCGCGACACACCCGGGAGGCAGGCACCGCTGTAGAACACCGAGTCTGTAACTGCATTGTGAGGACAATTAGGAACGACCTGCTTCAGACAGAAGTACATGAGGGGAGCAGCGGCCCAGGCTGTTCCTGGCCGTCTCCCTTGAACTGCTGGTCAGTTTTGTTAATGGAGCATGAAGACACCATTGGTGAGAACTGCAATCGGAATGCAGCAATGCTGTTCTGGGCCCCAGGTCCTGAGACAGATCTACTAAGCATTCCGAGACAGACTGCAGCTTCACTGGACCTGCAGTTCCGATACAATCTTCCCAATAGCCTACAAAATACAAGTTCACCCACAAAAATGACTCAGTCATGCTAGCAGTGACACGTACTGCAAACGTCACAGTCTAACAGGATTCCTGCAGTAGATCTGTCACAGGCAGCACACATGCGAGGCATGGCCAGGTCTCAGATGCAGGCTCTGCTCAGTGTCCACTGTCTTAAATGGATACAATGGTTCAGAGAGCAATCTGGAGAACCTCTAGTATCTTTAAACTAAAAATTTAGGCCAAACTAAAATTATGAAGTTTAAGTGCCCCATGCCTTCTAAATGTCCAAATACTGTTTTTTTTTTTTTTTTTTTAAAAAAAAAAAGGGCAAGTTGGGCCTTCCGGGCAGAGAACTAAGTGACAGGGTACTCCAGAGTAGAAAGGACACCAGTAGCGTCACGGTGAGCAGCTGGTAAAAGGGCTCAGACATCTGTCACTTCAAGACTGAAGTGTAGCACAGTATAAAAAGTGGCATAGTTCTGCGGCTCAGGACTGCATCAGTAAAAACGCCTCAATCCCACCCCCTAAAACGAGAAACAAGGCCACAGGACAGGGGAAGTAAGTGATGATCTTTCTGTTAGCCATCGTTAGTGCCTACTGTGCCATGTGCTGCCCCTCTGGACATAAAAGAAACGATGCACCTACTCAGGTGCACTCTGAAAAAAACACATGTTTTTTCACGTCAGTAATTCTGTATGAGAAACAAACCTGCATCAAGCACAGGAAGGAGGTGGAAGGCACGGGCTGCACTGTCAGCTAGAGGGGAAGACCCGGTAATACAGCACACAGAGAGTTAACATTAAAGCACAGTAAAATGCCACAAAACCCAGAAGCTGGACAGACAGAGAGACAATGCTGGAGTCTTCTGCATGTGCCCCGAGAGAAAGCAGGGTTTCGACAGTTCTTTTAACGCTGAGGTTTAGCTGAAGGATGTCGGAAGGGGAACAGAGATTGTCCTGTCCAAGTGTGAGCAGGAAAGGAAAACAGAAAAACACAGTCAGTGGGCAGAATGCAGACAAGTACAGAACTCAGTATTCATGTCAGGCACGATCAGACACACAGCCTGCGGCATCTTAGCATAGGGACGGAAATGCTGAGGGACAAAGCTGTGGGCTCCTCTGTGCACACAGACTTTTCTACTGAGCAGCAAAATAGAGTGCTTGTTGGTGGCTGGCCATATGAGCATTAAGGGACCAATGGACAGAGCTGGCTTGTGGTTCAGAGTGGTGTGAGGCTTGAGAGTCGGAGGGCCTCCTCTCCATTCCCAGTCTTCCTTACTGAGGGATGCTGACCAGAGCGGGGTGGTCACCGAACAGGCAACTGCTGACTCCAAGCCTGAGGCCAGCCTTGTAATGAGGAGGTTCACTAGGGAAGTCCTGTGTACTGACTTACTCCATCAGATGAAGCCCACCATCCCTAGATGGCTCACTGCTACACACAACAGAAATGCAGAGCTTCTAGTCACTATTGGTAAAGTATTAGTGGATTCAAACTGAAAATAGTCTTTAACATACACAATACTTCTAGAATATAAGATAGTAGATTCAAACACAAGTTTTTTAAAAAATAAAACATTTAATAAAAGCACAAGAGTAAAAGTGACTATTCAGACACTTCCCTTTCCAGAGGCTTCTTTCATATTCTGAGCGTGAGCTGGGGATGGACCCCGGGTAAGGACTCTACCATTGCTATCTTCCCAGGCAATTCTCCGTCATAAATTGACTAGCCCTTGTCTCTGACTTTCTTTTGTCTGAAACAGGGTCGCACGCTGCCCAGCCTTGTCTCAGACACTACATAGCTGAGGGTGACCCTGCACTCTATACCCTATTCCACATTTTCCAAGTGAAGGGGAACAAGGGTGCTTTTCCACGCTGCCCTCACAGCTCATCCTGAGAAGGGACGATGGTAACACGTATTTTACACCTGGGCACCGAGGCGGACACCCTTAACTAATAAGTTCCCTGTTTTTCAGTCTAGCAAGGGCCAGAAGGAGGCAAGAACAAAGCAAGACTGAGAACACCAGCTTGAAGCTACTGATTGGTGAATTTGTTCGTTATCCTTCATTCTGTCCAGAAAAATGACTAATTTTCAAGAGAAATAGCAGCAAAACTAGAACTCATCCAAAACTGGTAGGAAGTGGGTGGAAGGCAGATGGGTCGGAAGAAGTGGTTTGTGTGGATGTCTACTTCCTCTTTCTGGGAAAGAGCTGCAGGTGAGCTGTGGACTCCAGGCTAACCGCATTGGAAAAGGGTCAGTTTTAAAGTGTACTTTTCTATCTCTCTCTGCCTTCGAATAGCTCAGCTCAGGTAGAAGGGGCAGCTGGGCTGTAATGAACACTCGTAAGCCCTGCTTGGAAAATGCTGACTTAAACGCATGCTGTAAAGCACACAGTTTTTCTATTCTGCTGACCAAGGGCAGTAGCTTTCTGAAAGAGTCCTAGGTTTGATATTTACACCCAAGACAAGACGGCTCTGTAGGGCCTGACAGGCAGCTCTGATGTCCAGAAATGGTGCCGAGGAGGATCTCGGCAAGCACGGGCATGGGCAGAGTCAGCATGCTCCTGCTTTCTGCACTTCCCATTTTCTGTGCCAATGCATGGCACACTCCAGTGCAGTGCACAGGGTGTGGACTCGAGGAGGCAGCAGGGATGCTGACATCAGACAGGAAACCTGAGTGCTAATGTGCGCATATGGGCATCAGGACTCTCACTGTGGAGAAAATACATGCCAGTCCCCTAGAATAGGTGGTAAATGGTTTCATAAGCTTTTATAAGATGATATAAAAATGAAAAATTCTAGTTTGAATTTGTCCATAAGAATAATATATATCTTACTTGATTTTAGAAAAGGAAAAAAAAAAACCTGAACCCATAACACAGCAAAAATAAGAGAATGATCTACCCAGTAATGCTGAAGAGCAGGTGTGGAACACGCTGGCTAAAGAAGATGCAGGTGGGAACTGGCCTTTTTTTCCCACTCTGGAATATGTGAAGCTGGAGTTAAGGATGCTCACTGCATACATGATCAGTTAGAGCAGGACAGTGAACTGGGTGAAAACCACCACTGGGATAAATGGGGCTTAGAGCAAAGCTGGCGTTTCTGATGAGCCAATCCTGAGTTTCCAACAGTTAATCAAGCAGCTGACAGAAAAGGCTGCTGTTTTCTCTCTGCTGACTAGACAAAACTAAGGCTTAGAGACTGGAGGTGTGGCTCAGTGGCAGAGCTTGCAGAGGCAGGTGGATCTCTGTGAGTCTGAGGCCAGCCTGGTCTACAGAGCTAGTTCCAGGACTGCTAGGACTGTTACACAGAGAAAACCATAACCTCCCCCCCCCCCCCAAAAAAAACCCAAAACCAAAACGAAAGGGGGGTGTCACTGAACACTATAAACATTTCTTATTAAATCTATCAAGTTTAACAATGGTACTATCAATGGTAAGAACTACAATAGACCAGTGTTTTCAACCTTCCTAGTGCTGTGATCCTTTAATAGTTTCTCAGGCTGTTGTGACCCCAACCATAAAATTATTTTCATTGCTACTTCATGACTGTAATATGCTAGTGTTATGAATCATAATGTAATATCTGTGTTTTCCATGGTCGTAGGTGGCCCCTGTGAAAGGGTTGCTCAACCCCCAAAGTGGTCTCGGCCCGCAGGTTGAGAACCACTGCCATAGAGGCGCAAGCTCACAGGTGGTCGTCACTGTGTTAACGGCCAAAGGATTGCAGCCTAGTGGAAGAATGGGTGGAAGCTGAGCTAAATCTTTAACTTAGTTAACAGGACTATCGTCTGGATCACTCAGTTTGTACAGCTATACTATTTGCATATTTGATGCTAGCATCTGGGAAATTTGGTGAGGAATACGTAAGAACTCTGCTATTTTTATAACATTTTGTGAAGTCTTAAAATTATTTAATGAATACATATATTTAAGATGTATTAAAATCAAGTATTAAAAAACTGAAGCCAACAAAAGAATTCTAATCTGAATGGTACTCGTGTGAAAATATTCTGTTATGTGTAGCTGTACATAGGTCAAACAGCTAGTGGGGATGCTTAAGAAAATAAAACAATTATTTTCAATTTATTAGTTATAATACAATTATTTAAATCAATATTTAACAGTCTTTTTAAAGATCCTTGGAAATGAGGAAACATGAAAGAATACTGCTGGAGAGAACACTGATAGAGCTCTGTAACGACACACTGTGTTAGCAGTGATGAGCTTAGTCCACAGCTAGTCCTGGTGAGAGCAATCACACACACACACATACACACACACATACACACACACACAAACACGCACACACGCAAACACACGTTACCTGGGGTACACCGATTTTTCTGCAAGCTTCCAGGAAGTTCTCCACATTTCGCCTGCATTTTGCCATTGTTAATTTAGGCTGCAGAGAGACAACAAAGGGGGGAAACAGTGTTATCAACAAAGGTCAAAAAGCACACAGCTTTAAAACCACTCTTGTTGGTTGTCATAAACTTACTGCTGCACATGCTGGGGCTCAGCAAACTTTCCCCTAAAAGACAGATACTGATGCTCATCTCAGGAGCCACGAAGCTGCCGTCACTGTTCAGCTCTGCCAGCATGAAAGCAGCCACAAGAGATGAGGAGTGTGGCTGCAGCCAATAAAACACTACTGACAGAAACCAGTGCTGGCCTCCTCATATAAGTGTTTTGTCTGCATGTTTATCTATATATTATGTGCATGCAATGACTGCAGAATCCAGAAGAAGGTGTTGAATCTTAGGGAATGGAGTTATAGACAGGTGTAAACTGCCATGTGGGTGTTGGGAATTGAACTTGGTCCCCTGCAAGAACAGCCAGTGCTTTTTATTTATTTATTTTATTTTGATTTTTTGAGACAGGGTTTCTCTGTAGCTTTGGAGCTGTCCTGGAACTCACTCTATAGATCAGGCTGACCTCAAACTCACAGAGATCTGCCTGTTTCTGACTCCCAAGTGCTGAGATTAAAGGTGTGCACTGCCACCACCACCAGCTTCAGCCAGTACTCTTAACCCCAGTCCTATCCACCCCCCCCCCCCCCCCCCCAGTCCTATCCACCCCCCCCACCCCCGAGACAAGGTTTCTCTGTAGCTTTGGTGCCTGTCCTGGAACTAGCTCTTGTAGACCAGGCTGACCTCAAACTCCCAGAGATCCACCTGCCTCTGCCTCCCGAGTGCTGGGATTAAAGGCGTGCGCCACCACCACCTGGCTCCCAGTCCTTTTACATTTAACAGATTAGACATCTGGGAAATTAAAGTCTTAACGATGGCTACAAAGCTACATTAAAAAGGTAAATGGTTAATGATGGAAATTTCATTAATTACTAATAAATGAGCTTAATTTTCTGTAAAGATCTCTAAAGACTGAAAATAAAGTGGCATTCCATATCCTCTCAAGGTTTTGTTTTTAACCTAGTTATTATGAAACACAATGTAAGAAAAATAGGATTTCATATTCTAAAGTTAAGTTCAAGTACTACATATGGAAGCCAGATGCTTGCAGCGACTATGACCTACAGATTTTTAAATTAGTAAATTCATGGACACCTGTACCATCTCTAGAAAACAAAAGACTTCACTTGTAAAACCCGAGTTTTCTCAAACAGGAAACACAATTCCTTGGCATAAGAAGAAACAAAATAAAAGCAGTGAAAGAAAGTATTTTAATTTTGTCCAGACAGAGATATTCAGGGCTAGGATTAACTTTGTCATGAAGGATGATAAGAAGACAGCCAGTGAGATGCACAGAAAGAAACAAATTTCCCAGTTGGGATGGAATGACAGGACTCCAGGGTACGAGGCGGGGCCTGGCCTGGTTGGCTTCCTACGGCTGCAGACACACCACTACCACAAGTATCCTGGGGAGGAAAGGGTCTGCTCAGTTTACAGTTTACAGCCCATCATCAGGGGAAACCAAACAGGAACTCGAGGAGGATGGGAACCTGGAATCTGGCAGAAACAGAGACCATGAAAGAATTATGTTTACACTGGCTCGCTCGCTGTCTCACACAGCCCACGACCACCTGCCCAGGAACAGCACTGTCCCCAGCAGGCTGGGCCCTTACATCAATCATTAATCAAATGGAGCACAGACTCGCCTACAGGCCAATGTGGTAGAGGTATTTTCTCAACTGAGGTTCCTCTTCCCAGATGACACTGAGTTGTGTCAGCTCACAGAACGACAAACCAGTGCAGCTCCCTTTCTTGCCAATGCCAAATTCTTAAATGAAGCATAAAGGTTGGTAGAGGGGCAAGGGGAGATGAAGCATAAACTGTGGAGTCACGATCTCCTGACAGATGGAGCACAACAAAGGCCTGGGCTTCATCTGCTACTTCACACTGGCACTGGGCTCCGCTGCTGCTGCTTATGCCAGGAAAATAAAGGAGGTGTGCACAGCACAGTGCTGGGGCCGCCTCAGCTCCAGAGAAAGGTAAGCTGGACTGAGAGGCCAGGGAAATTTGCTAGGAGGAGGAGCTCCCTGGTAAAGACCCAATTTTCACAGCAACTCTGCAAATAAAGGACATGCATGGTATAGGCAGGGAGCTCAGAGCCAGCCTTGGCTAAATGAGACAAAAACGAGCTGGGTATGGTAGCACATATTTTTTATCTCAGCACTCAAGAGGGGGAGGCAGTGGATTTCTGTGAGTTTGCAGCCAGATTGGTCTACATAACTATACAGTGAGACCCTGTCTCAAAAAACCAAACTCCCAACGCCAACAGGACAAACTGCTTGCCTTTGGCACACCCGTCTAGGCTAGCAATTCTCTCCACATGGCAGTGGCTCTTTGTCTCACGGTGCTGAAAGCAAATGCAAGTTGTGAAGTGGTCGGGACTGGTCAGGACCTGGGTCTGAGCTCAGGAGAGAAGGCTAATAATCAGGAGAATAGCCATGAGCACTGTTTTACAAAAGAAGGAAACTTAAATTTCTGAAATGTTGTTTACGGAAGGACAGACTTTGACATCATCTTGTTATAGAAAAAAATCGTGTTTCTGTGCAAAAGCAAGGATAAAAAGTTAATGCTGCTAATTAAAAACTGGCTCAAACACAATTTCCTATAGCTCATATGAAAATGAAGGACTGAGGGAAGGAGACATATGGGAGTATGGGAGAGGAGGGGAGAGAGGGAGAGAGAGAGAGAGCAAGTACTCAGTACACATCCCTCCTCTGGAAATGTCAATGGAAAGGCTCATCCATCAGTGGGATGCAGGCTGCAGCCTCTCCATCCTCACTCCAGACTGCAGGACTCACAGTCTACTCTTAAGAAGCAAATCTTACAGGAACCCGCTACCTCCAAAGTTTTCCCAGAACTTCAAATAGCACGACATATGATTTTTGGCAGCAGTCTGCCTCGTTTATTTCTGTAATGTAGTCTACACTGAATATGAGATCCGAACTGAAAAGAACACGAGATAAACACTTAGTTCTGAATGTTTAAAATGATTCAAACACTTTTTCAGGCATTGAAAACCTTATTTTTAAGGCAGGCTCTGATGTAGCATAGGCTGACTTCAAATCTGCTGTGTAGACCAGGATGGCTGTGAGCGCCTGATCTTCCTGCCTCTAACTCCTAAGTGCTTGGATTACAGGCACGATTTACCAGGCCCAGCTTAAAACTTTTAATGTAATGTTTATTATTATTGTGTGTATAATCACACAGTGTATGGGGCATGTGTGCTGCAGCCCTCAGGGAGGTCAGAGGACAACTTTTAGAGGTTCATTCCTTCCCCTTTAATGTCTAGTAGCCAGGCTCGTGGGCAAGCTCATGTCGCCAGCCCAAAACTTGGTATTTGTTTTTGCTTTTTAGACAGGGTCTCACTATGCAGCTCTGGCTGGCCTGAACTGACTAATCTGGCCTTGAATTCACAAAGATTTACCTGCCTCTGCCTCCCAAGTGCTAGGATTAAAGGTGTACACTACCAGACTTGGCTAAGAGTTTTATTTTTAAAGTTTGTTTTCATTAAACATTTCATTTAAAGTATGGGATCAGAATGATAGGCTTGGTTTACAGTACCCATATGATAGCTCACAGGCACCAGGTGATCTGACACCTCCTTCTAGACTCTGCTGGAAAAGCAGTCACACATACAGACCCATATTCAGAAATATACATATATATATATATATAATTTAAAAAATAAAATAAATCCTAGAAAAAGGAAGATGATTAAAAATGTAAAAAGATAATGTCCATTAGCATATTCCCGAGTTAGAAAGGCTGAGTAACTGTCGGAGCGTACAATTCAAAAGAGGATAATCCTGGCCAGACCCCTGATTTTCCACTTTACGCAATGGCAGACTTCTTTCCTACGGCCTTGTGCCAGTTTTTGTTTTTAAACTTTTTTTAGATTTATTTTATGTGTTTGAGTGTTTTGCTTATATGTGTACTACTTGTGTACTTGGTGCCTACAGAAGTCAGAAGAAGACATCAGGCAGGTCCCCTGGAACTGGAGTTATGGATGGTTGTGAAGCACCATGTGGGTGCTGGGAATCCAACCCAGGTCCTTTACAAGAACAGAGTGCTCATAGCCTCTTGAGCCATTCTCCAGGCCCTGTACCACTGCTTTCCAAAGGTGACTAAACTGCCTTCAAACAGCATGATACTGGGATAAAACTTGATATTTAAAATGTCTGATCAAGTTCATGCAGGATTGGGCTTTCAAGGAAAATGCTTCTTAGTGATATATTTCCTGATTCCACAAGAGGTAAGGCAGTAAATGAACTCAAGAAGTCTGGCAGTATTCTGCCAAGACAGCAGCCAGTCGGTAGGCACCAATGGTAAGCCTGGGCAAGGTAAACAAACAGGAAAGGATAAAGGGCCCTTTCAGCACGATTCATCTCCACCACACCAGGCTGCAAACCAGGCTGTAATGCTTGGTGGCAAGAACCTTTACTTGCTGAGCCATCTTGCTAACCTTCCCTAATAAAGTTCTAACAGTGTGCTTCATGCTGCTATGCCTGTTGAACAAAAAACAAGCATTTTTAATTTTTCTCCACTATTGACACTAATATAAACCTCTAGCTCCTTGACATATTTTAAAGCCTCTAAATCACAGCCTAGGCTTACCTCTCATCTTCACCTACTGTCGTCTGTACCCACACACTGCCCTGTGTGATCTATTCTCAACAACTTCACAGTTCCTTTATTTAAGTTGCTAGCTGGTCAATTCTTACCTGTATTTCATAACTGGATTAGTTCAACTTCTCTAGAAGGCTTCTAATTCTCTAGGCAGAGTTAACCAGTCCCCTTTTGGTATCTCAATAGCATACTTCTTACACACCTCTTACAATACTCAATACACGCTGTAAATGATTGTTTACGTATCTGCTTTTACTGTAGTTCAAAGTGAGAACGAGAAAGTAGAGGCGGAGCCCTTGGTATCTGCACCGCTAGCTTCCAGTACGATGGACTCCACTGAACTGAAAAGCATCCTATGAATAGCCAGGGCTGCCTGGCACTACAACTTACCACAGCTGGAGATGGGACATGAATGCTTGGGACAGATCGAGGCCGAACATGATTGGCCAAGTGGCAAAGTACAACACCATCAGTCAGAGCTGCTCCAAGATCACAGGGCAGAGATACTTTTAATCGGTACTCAATATGCTGCAAGGACAGGAAATGTCATGCATTAATTGGAGAGTGATTACCATATAGGATATAAAAGCAAGACAATGAAATGTATCAGGTTAGAAATTCAGGAAAAATAAAATTGGACACCATGACATATGCCCATAATCCCAGCACTTAGGATGCCAGGGGAGCAGAAGGACTGTAGCAAGTTGGAAGCCGGGGCGGGGGTGGGAAGGGGGTGGTGGTGGAGAAAAGACAGTGAGTTCCAGGCTGGCCAGGGTCACAACCTAACAACTTATCTCAAAACAAAAACAAAAATAACAACAAAATCAGAACAAAACAAAACAGAATCCAGAAAACAAGGAAATAACTTAGATTCTCTAGTTCCTGTTTTCCTTCTAACTCAGGTCAGTAACTTACAGAGACAGAGAGGGGCATACGCGTCGCGTTGCAGCCAGGTCACAGTGGTATAAAGCATGAAAGAAATGACTATCATTTAATGACGTAGGAAACTGCTAAGTCCTGGCATGGTGGTGCGTGCCTGTGACTGCAGATCAGAGAGGCACAGGGAGGAGGACAAAGAGATCAAGGCCAGCCTGAGTGATACAGAGACAACTGTCTCAACAAACAAAAACATGAAACCAAACTGGATCCTTGTTCAATTCCAATCCCTCAGCATGTATACGGGGTTTGAGAATGCGCACATGCACATGAATTCTCTCTTTTAAGAAAGGGTCTCGCTACGTAGCAGTCTGGATCTCTAGGTGGTGATCCTGGAACTTCAATACTGCTGGCTACACGTGTGGACCCCCATGGCTCTTATGCATTCTAATTACTCCTCTGAGACTGCCTTTTAACATGATGGGAAACAGAAACGGGGGGAAAATGAAAATGAACATGGCGATAAAGTGAGCTTTTAAAATTAAAATTATTCATCTAATTTTCTCAATAAAAACTTTTAAGGAATTTTCCTCAATAATGAAATTCTTTCACATTCATTACAAAATACAGCATACAAGGGACACGACTGACTTTATGGTAATGCATAGAAGTGAGCATGTGAACAAAAGGATATGGACTATTGACACGCCACTGCCAAAGGGCAATTCAGAGGTAATGCACACACCTTGCGCAGCTGGTCTATTAATTTCAGCTCCTCTTCTCTCTGTCTTGTTACAGGATCTGCAGGGTCAGGTGCAGAGGACAGAAGGGGTGAGGCACGCCCTGGAAAACAAGTCAGAGGGAGAGGTCGGTTGCCAGCGCTACATTTGTCTGGCAAGTTTCTTTGCCAATACAGCGTTTACTACTTTCTGGTTGACATTTTAAAAGTATCATCATTTGGGGCTGGAGAGATGGCTCAGAGGTTAAGAGACTTGATCTTGTAGAGAGGGCCCAGTTTCACTCCCAGCACCCACGTTGTGGCTCACAAGCACTTGGAACTCCAGTTCCAGGAGATTCAATGTCTAATTCTGACCTCCTTGAACATGTGGTGGGCACACCACACACATGCACATAGAGTAAAATAATACATTTTTAAAAGAGAATTATTGTTATAAGAAAGAAAACATTTACTGAGTAAATCAAAAGGGGTAGTGGGCAGGCTGGTAGCTGTGGTGGTTTGAAAGAAAATGACCCCCTTAGGGAGCAGCACTTTTGGGAGGTGTGGCCTTGTTGGAGGAAGTCTGCCACTATGGAGTGGGCTTTGAGGTCCCCTATGCTCAAGCTACTCCCAGTGTCACAGTCTACTTCCTGTCACCTGCATATCAAATATAGCAGCTCCTTCTTCAGCACCGTGTCTACCATGCTCCCAACCATGACGATAATGGACCAAACCTCTACAACTGCAAACCAGCCCTCAGTAAATGTTTTCTTTTATAAGAGTTGCTGTGGTCATGGTATCTTTTGACAGCAATAGAAACCTAACTAAGATAATAGCTAAAGTACCACTGTGGTTAGAAATTTCAAATATATAAATATAATGGCATTTTTCTTGAATTACATCCACTTATAAATGTTTTTATTGAAAAATACAATATATATGTAAAATTACAAGGTTCTAAATAGAGGCCAATAAATGATCCTTTCAAAACGAAATGGCTAGGTGCAGTAAGTGAGATTTGCCCATACTTCAAAGCCTCTTGCATGTTTTCTGCCTATCAGAGCTCAAAGGGTACCAGTAGCCTCACCTTAAGGATCATAAATTTACTTTGTCCATTTTTAAGAACTTTCTATAAATTAAACCACGTTGTATGTATTCTTTGCATATGGCTTCTTTTGATCAACACTAAAGATATCTATCAGTACCACACATTTCAGATATATCAGTATTGTTGTATGTATCATTTTTATTACTTGTATGACATTTTATCATACAGATGGCACCAATGTTCATCACTATTCTCCTTGTGAACATTCAGTTTGGCACCATTATAAATAATGTTGCTATGAATGTTTTTGTATCTATCTTTTGTTTTACACGTTATTATTTCTCAAAGTAAAACTGCTGGTAATAGGTATACAACTGTTCAATAGTTTGTCAATATGGAAAGATCTGAGAAAGAGTTCATAATAAGGGAAGAATGTTCTTTAACAGAAAGAGCATTTTATTTGTTCAATCTGTTTTTGGTTTTGGCTTTTGAGATTGGACTTTGAAATGTAGTCTGGGCTAGCCTTAAAATTAATTCTGCCTCAGCCTCCTAAGTGCAGGATTATAGGTATGCACCATCATGCATAGTTGAAACACTGTATTTTAAATGGTACCAAGGAAATTTCTAATCCAAACAAAAACCCAAGATGGCTCATGTTAGTGAGTTATAGACCCCTGCTGAGATGATAGCTAGGTGTGCCGTTGAAAGCATGTAAGAGTTCACGTCATTGTGCAAAGCCACTCCCCACTCTGCCATGCACTTAAAATTGCTACCACTCACCTTTATTGGTTTCTGCCCTAACGGCAGCTCGGAAAAGGAAGCTTTCAGGGCGCTGGGGCTGATTTCTCTGGGTAGCAGCAGGAAAAGAATATGCAGGGGAATGATGGACTATATCAGCATGGAAAAGCAAGATGATGTTAAAGGAGATGGGAAGCAACTCAAAGATGATATAAACAAATGTCAAAAAGTCCGATAAATAGCACAAAAGGAAAATCAAATCAAACATGGCAATGATATAAAATGATGATTCTATTCATTAGTGAAAAACTCATGTTTAAAGTAAAGCTGCTTATTTATTTTAAAAATTCTGTAATTTTTAGTATATCAACAAATGGAGGCTAAAAGTTAATACATCGAACTTAGTTTCTTGCAAACATAAAGCCCTGCTAATTCCTATTCATTGTCCTTACCAAGTGGCCAACTAGTAAAAACAGAAATCCTGGTAAAGAGGGGCTAGGCCTGTGACTCAGCTGGTAGAGTGCTTGATGCACATTCATAAAGCCCTGGGTTTGACCAATCTGCTCCCCAACGCTATGGAAACCAGATAGGGTGGCACAGCCAATGCTCTGCGGCTGGAGGTGGAACAGGAGAATCAGAGGACTCCGTATCTTTATACCAAGTAACAGGCCAGCCTGGGTCACAGGAGACGCTCATCTCTGTCTCTCTTACACACACACACACACACACACACACACACACACACACACACACACAGCAACCCTGGTAAAGAATAACTGTGGTGAGCTTGATAACAGGTACCTTTGTAATCCCAAAATTTGGGAGATGAGGCAGGAGAACCATTAGTTCTTGCTAGCCTGACAAGACTCTGTTCCTGCTCCCCGCCCCCCCCCCCCAAAATTAGCCACAGCACTTTCGTGTCTATTACCTGTCTCTGTCGTAGGAAAGCTTGAGGTGACACTGACTCTGTCGTCACTCTGTGAAGAAACAGACCATATCAACAGTTACTACCCAAGAAAGGGCAGTTTCCACATTCTAGTAACTTAGGGAATATACGAAAGCCATGCAACTTCCCTTCAAAACTAAGTCTAGAAATGAAAGTTTGGCAAAATCATTTTACTTTTTCTTAAAAAGATAAATTGTTTGCTTAGTTGTGTTTATGTAATGCATCCTCTAAAGATATAACTGACATCTCCAAAAACTGTGGGAAAGGATCAACCTAAGGCATAAACAGTTATTAAGAAATGTAAAAAGAGAAACCTTACTTTTTTATTAGATTATTTTTAATTTATTTTACATCCCAACTGCAGTTTTCCCTTCCTCCTTTCCACCCCTCCCCCATCCACCAGTCCTTGGTTTCCACTCAGAAAGCGATAGGCCGCCCCCTCAAAGCATCAAGATGAGGCAGGACCAAGTTTCTCCGCTTGCATCAAGGCTGGGTGAAGCAACCTAGGATGAGGAATGGGTTCCTAAAAGCTAGTTCAAGCACCAGGGACAGGTCCTGATTCCACTGCTAGGAGTCCCACAAACAGACCAAGTGATATAACTGTCACACACATACAGAAGGTCTAGGTCTGGTCTATGCCTTGGTCTGTGAGGTCCCATGAGCTCAGTTCAGCTGTCTCTGTGGGTTTCCCTATCATGACCTTGAACCCCCCACCCCCAGGACACACAATCCTTCCTCTCATACAAGGTTTTACAGTGTCATGACTTTGACCCCCCTGGCTCAAACAATCCTTCCAGGAGTCTTCAACAGGACTCCCGGAGCTTGGCCCGTGTTTGGATGAAGACTCTCTGATGACCATTAGGATAGTCACCAATCTGATTAGAGGAGAAGGCCAGTTCAGGCACCTTCTCAACTATAATTAGGAGTCCTTGTGGAAACCTTTCCTTTTAATATAGTTTCTTTTTTAAAAAAATGATTTATTTACTTTATGTGCATTGGTGTTTTGCCTGTATGTATGTCTGTGTGAGGGTATTTGATGCCTGGAGTTACAACGGTTGTTTACTGCCATGTAGGTACTGGGAATTGAACGGAGGTCCTCTGGAAAAGCAGCCAGTGCTCTTAATCGCTGAATCATCCTTCCAGACTCTTTAATATAGTTTCTTAAGCACTAGTTTTTCTTTAGAAAGTAAAATGCAATCTTCAAAGAAAGTGCAATGACCATTTCTTAATTTCTATTAAAATATATTTAAAACATGATAATTGCTGGGGTATGGCTTAGTGGTAGATGACTTCACTATACATGCATGCACACACATATGCATGCATACACAGAAAATGACATATATTTTCTAGAATATGAGTACTAACATTTTCCTTAGGGTTTTATGTGACAAGATCTCTCAAATCCAGACTTTCTTGGAACTCTACATAGACCAGGCTGCCCTCAAGCTTACAGAGAATTGCCTACCTCTGCCTCTGGGGTGCTGGAATCAAAGGTGTGTGTACCTGGTCAAATCCTAACATTTTCAATTCATTGACAAAAGTGTAAAAATGGAGCAATAACTTACTAAATGGATATAAAGTTTATCTGTAAAAAGGAAACAAAGGTCATCTAATTAAAAAAGAAATGTTCACTTCCTTAACCTCTGAGCAGCCCAGCTCCTTAGCACCTCATATGTTCACATACCATTTTGTATCCAAGTACACAGGTGACAATGGAACCTGCCTGCTGTCAACTATGGCTCTGCAGTTGGTCATTACTGTTTAGTTAGGGGGCTTCACCCCAGTTCCTGGCATAAGCTCCCTCCCCACCTCTGAGAAAGCCTACCAAAGAGTGATCCCTCCCTAGGGAGGGTCAAGAAAGCCCGTCAAAAGGTAACCCCTCCCCAGGGAAGGTCAAGACCACTCCCACAGGCTATTTAAACTGCCCCCCCAGAGAATGAACGTGTGGTCTCCCCTTTTCCCTCTTCCCACTCCATGTTTTCCCAGGGCTACCCGGGAGTGCTGGCACCCATTAAACCTGGGTATCTTTTAATTCGGTCTGATTGGGATTATTTGCGTTGGCGGAGAGGTTTGTCGTTTAAGAAAAATACTTAACAATTACCTACTTGGTAACCAGAGCATTCAACATCAATTGAAAGGAGACATTTAGTGGGAGCTGCATGTCAGTGTGGTGACCCTGAAAGTGTGGAAGGAAAAGGATGTCCTGGAACTGCAGCTGGGGATGAATCCAAGTTCTAGCTTGCTTTTCCTGTGGGAAATCCAGCTGATTCCCATTGCTGTGGGCAGTGCCTTAGAATGGCTGGTGGTTCTCCTCATCTCCTCCTCATCAGCAGGAAGAGGATACATTCCAGCTACTAGACCATGTAGCCTGGAGGGTGGACTTGCACTTGCTAGGCAGGTGCTCTCTACCACTGAGCTAAATCTCCAACCCAGGTGCCTGTTCTCATGTCTGAATTTAGATGTGTGGAAGGGAAACACACTTTCTGGAAAACATTTTGTGGTTGTTATTTGTTCATCTTGCAACATTTAGTATGCGCAGAGGAATAACTATTGAAACGATGGTGCTGATTTTGCTAACTGGGTTAAATATTTTGTTGTTGGTTAGGAGGGAGATAGGGCTTTCCATGGAGCACGCCTTTAATCCCAGCAGCACTCAGGAGGCAGAGGCAGGCGGATCTCTTGAGATGGAGGCCAGACTGGTCTACAGAGCTAGTTACAGGACAGCCAGGGCTACACAGAGAAACACTGTCTTGAAAACCCTTTAACCACAGCACTCAGAAAGCAAAGGCAGGCCTCTCTTGAGATCAAGTTCAAATTGATCTTCAGAACAAGTTCCAGGACAACCAGGGCATTTGAGCCTGCTAGGGTGGTTGACTGTTAGGCTGTACACTCTGGAAGCTAGGAAGGGAGGGTAGGGAAGTCCTACCACACAAGCATGCAAAGGGTCAACCTCTGAAATCCAACTGGGGTACAACGGACAGTGTTTTCTGTGATCTGCCACTCAGGGGCTGGCATTTTTCTAAATAGAAAAAGGCATTATTATTTTTACTTACTTACTTTATGTAAAGTGATTTTCAGTCTTATGTTGACATTCAAGGTGGCCCTGCTTCTACACTGTATATAATATCACGTTGCTTGTAATGATCTGTCTCTTTAAGAGACAAGCCATGCCCACTCCCTCCCCCTTGGGCTGAGGCAAGTGGATCTTCAGCTTCCAGCCTCCCCCTCTCCTCCTTTGTCGTCCTCTCGGAGAGGCAGCTTTGGCCTCCTGCCCCTCTCTGCTCTTCTCCCCTTCTCCTGTCCCTAACCACTAAATAAATATCCAACTCCACTTAGCATGGTGTACCTATCCATCTGCCTCTTGCTCGCCACTGCCATGTGGCTCGCCGCCAGGGACACGGCCAGGGACCAGCCATCTTTGGAGACCTGCCATGTGGTCTCATGCACTGTCCCTGCCTGGGACTGGCTGCTTTCGGCATTCCCCCAGCAAGCTACTTGGGGATCAGCAGCATTTCTATCCTGCTGCATGGGCAGACTATACACTTAGGATCAGCTCACACAGTGCATTGCCTCCAAGGATGCCAATACAATCTCCTCTTCTGTCTGGCCGTGTGCTTCTGTGATCCACAAGAGAACCCAGGAAGGATGCTGATGGTGTCTGGGGAATCTGTGTGGGGAGGCAGGGTACTGCTCACATGTGCTGGGTTTGAGAGAGTGCTGGGCTAGCCAGCCTTCTGGTCAGCACTTGGGAAAACTAAATGGTTATTTTTTTATTCAAAAAATGTATTTGTTATGATTCTAGATACAAAAATAAAAATTAAAATTAAAAGAAGAATGTTCACTAGTTAAAGATATTGAAGATCCAACAGGGGAGTAGAATCAAACCAAAAAAAGAAAAAAAGAAAAAAGAAAAACCAACAACAAAACTATAGGCCCCGATACCCAATTACATCTAAACCTAAGTTTATGACATGGCAACAACAGATATTTGAACTAATCAAGGCTTTAAAATTTTACTAGATCATAGCTAAGAGCCTGAGAAAAGTGGCCAAGACTTTAAAACTAACACATAAAACCATCTGCTCCCATATTTCTCCCCATCTCAGGATTCAACATTTTCAGAAATCTCTTATTTGTGTTTGAAGTTTTGTGAGATGAAATTAACCATTACTGAATTCTAATTTCTTCTTTTGGTTTTTCTTTTTGGTTTTTCTCTGTAGCTTTGGAGCCTGTCCTGGAACTAGCTCTTATAGACCAGGCTGGCCTTGAACACACAGAGCTCCGCCTGCCTCTGCCTCCCGAGTGCTGGGATTATACGTGTGCACCACCACTGCTGTGGTGAATTTTAACTTCTTAAAAAAAGTCATGCTGTTGAGAATATTTTTTTGGACATGTGAAAATGTTTCTGCTAATTATTCCTTAATTTGATATTTGTAGCCTAAGAACTATTTTTTTTTACCGTGTGTGTGTGAGTGTGTGCGTGTGTGTGGGGGGGGATGAAAGCTGATTTTTTGGAGTATGATCTTTCTTTGCACCACGGGCTGGGAATCAACCCAGGGAATCAGTCTTGGCAGCTAGTGTTTTTATCCTGGCCCAAGAACTTCGATCTGTACAAGATAACTGTACTTGAGTAAAGACTGGATTGCATTTCTGGTACAAGTCATGTTCACCAAGACAGAAACTAGGTTTGGGATGTTGAGAAATAAATGAAAATTTAGGTAAGAAATTTAATTTAAAACAAGAGTAACAGGAACTAGGAAATGGGGACTCAACATGCAAATGAGGTAAGAGCTGTTTTCTTTGAAGAAACAAAAGTCTGGCTGAGGATATGGGTCAACAGTAAAATGCTTTCACACAAGCTATGGGTGTGAGGACAGGAGCTTGGATCCCCAGGACACAAGTACATGCCAAGTGGGCAAGGGAGCACACGCACTGCAGCACTAGGAGGGTGGAAAGGAACCCTGGTGCAAGCTTGCTAGCTAGACTAGCTTTATCTGCCAGCTTTGGATTCAAGTGTAAGAGCTTTCAGCTCAATGAATAAGGTGGAAAGCCATAGAGGAAGATTCTAGATGTCAGTTTCTGGTCTCCACGTGTACCCATGTGCATGTACACCTACACACACACATCATACACACAGATGTGTGTGTGTGTGGGGGGAAAGAAACCAAAACTATTCTTGTTTTATTTCAAAGGATATGGGACAAGAAGAAAGTTAAACAAATACATTTTCAAGGACTAATGGTACAGAAAGAAAACATTAAATGACAGATTGTGGTGGTTTGAATAGATGAATGTTTTCGAGTGCTTAGCCTATAGGGAATAGTGGCACACACTTGTAATCCCAGCATTGGGGAAGGAGAGACAGGAAGATCCCTGGGGTTTGTTAAGTGTGTGTGTTTGTATTGGTGTGCTCTCCCATGAATATTGATGCAGAGATCCATGTTCAATGTAGGGTGTTTCCCTGGGTACCATTAAGAGTTTTGTTTACAAATGTTATGGTTGGATGTGAAACATTACCTACAAGCTCGCGTGCTTGACTACTCAGTGCAGGGGCTGGCACTGTTTTGGGAGGCTGTGGAACTTTTGGGAAGTCGGACCTAGCTAGTTCAAATAGATTACTAGAGAAAGGCCTTGAGGGTCCTTTTTTTTTTTTTGTTTGTTTGTTTGTTTTTTTGAGATAGGGTTTCTTTGTGTAGCTTTGGTGCCTGTCCTGGAACTCACTTTGTAGACCAGGCTGGCCTTGAACTCACAGATATCCACCTGCCTACCTCTGCCTCCTGAATGTAGGGATTAAAGGTGTGCCTAGCGCCCAGTCTGCACTCCTCTCTTCCTGTCCTATTGCTGAGACTTCCTTTACACACTCTCACTGCTGTGACCTCCAACACCCCACCTTCCCACAATTATGACTGAAATCACAAAGCAGAAGAAATTCTTCTCCCCTAAGTTATCTTTGTCAGATATTTTGTCACAGGCACAAGAAAAGTCACACACAAACACAGGTGGCCCAAGTCACCATTAGCTAACCTTTCCCGTTGAGCAATGGTTCTCAACCTTCCCAATGCTGCAACCTTTAATACAGTTCCTCATGTTGCCGTGACTCCCAACCATAAAATTATTTCCATTGCTACTTCATGACTGTAATTTTGCAACTTTTATGAATCATAATGTAAATATCTGATATGCGACCCTTGTGAAAGGGTCATTCAATCCCCAAAGGAGTCAAAACCTACAGGCTGAGAATCACAGCTATAGAGAGTTTTTGGCATCTACACTTGTGCAGAGTGGACTCAGATTATTTTGTATGCATATTAGGTGGCAGAATTAATTCTACAAGTGTGTATTAACCACAGTAGATAACCAACCTCCAGCAAAGTCAGAGTGAACTTTCCTACAGACTCTGTAAGTAAATGACTGCTGCTGGCCCTGACTAGCTCTGGTTGTAAAACCTGCAGTCAGGTGGAACTAGTGCTAATACCTCCCTAACCTTAGGCATATTTCAGGAGATCCCTGAGTCTGCCTTGCCGTTACTCAAATCCATAGAAAATTTAAGAGCCCCTCGAACACACCCGTTTCCCTCCTGGAATTTCCTGGTGCATTAATGCAACAAGAGATACCTTAAGAGGTGTGAAGGCAGAAGAGTGAGGCAGGGTAGCCACGCTGCTTACTCGTTCCATGCCTGACAGCGACTACATTTCAAACAAAGAGAAGAAACAGAAGGCAGCATTTGAGTTAGCAAATGCCAGGCAGGCGAAGCTAAGCAGTAAAATTAGCAGAGGAAAGGTCATCAACAAACTTTTAAATTGTTTACTAAGATACTAATAGGGCTGACAAGATTTGGGGAAAACGGCATCATGTAACATTTACATAGCAGAATGTTTCTATGTATATAATTCAGAATACTCTCATGACCTCAGTCAGACCACAGTAATCTAGAATTAAGCATTCTAGTTTTATAGCTGCTAATAATCACAGAAAATAAAGACAAGCAAATGTTTCAGAACTCATGTTTCCCATACATACATACATCTTGTAATAAAAAAGAGGTATTTCTTAATAAAATTTTATGCTGGGCAGTGGTGGTGCACACCTTTAATCCCAGCACTCAAGAGGCAGAGACAGGCAGATTTCTGTGGGTTCAAGGCCAGCCTGGTCTACAGAGCAAGTTCCAGGAAAGGCGCCAAAGTAATATTGTCTCGAAAAAAAAAAAAAAGAAAAGAAAGAAAAATTATTTCACATGGAAATAAAACTTAAGATTTTAGCAAAACCTATGATTTTAGCAAAATCACTTTGAAACTAAATATGTGTCTTCTATTGTTCTGTGAAAAGGAAATAATACAGCCAGAGAATTCATTTTTAATGAAGCATTTTTGATCTATTTTTAATAAATAAAAGTGTTTTTCAATATTAACCCAAGTTATACTGGGAAAGTATAACTTGAGGCTCTGCTTCATGCTGTGCAGACGACCCCATACTTCATCTTCGCATCTGTGAAGCTCCAAATGGCCAGCATCAAGGAGGGCGAAGTGTAGTCTTACTTTCATTTGGCTCTACTTTTTAAAAAGTCTTCGTGTGCACGAAGTGTAAGCTTACACATGTGTGTGGGGTATGGGCGCACCAGTGCCATGATGCATGTGTGGAGATAGAGTCTCTCTGTCACAAGCTGCTGCATAATGAACGGGGTGACGGTGTTTGTGTGCACTCACTCTCGGGGCAGGAGCACAGGGTACAGGTGCACTACTGAATCCCGCCTTGCGTGGCTTCCAGGGCCTCAAACTCAGGTCCTCACACTTGCATAGCAAGTGCTTTGACTCGTGAACGTCACGTAGGCTAGGCTAGCTGGTCGGCAGACCCCAGGGACACTGGACATGGCCCCAGTACTAGTATTACAAGTGTGCACCTGTAATAATACCTGGCTTTTAAAGTGGGTGCTGAATAAAACACAAGTCTTTATGCATGCAAGGCAAGTATTTTATCCACTGAGAAATCTTTTCATGATCACAGTGCCTCCCCAACTCTCTATATGATTTATGGGTGTTTTGCCTTAAAGTATGTATTCCACCATGTGCACCATGTGTGTCTGATGGCTGCTGGAGGTCAGAGGAGGGCACGGTATCCCTTGAACTGGAGTCACACACAGTTGTGAACCACCATGTGGGTGCCGGGAACTGGAATCTGAGTTATCTGCAAGAGCAACAAGTGCTCTTAACTGCTGAACTATCTCTCTGGTCCCAGAAAAGAAGCCATTTCAAAGATGGGAAGCTTAAGCAGATCTCTAATGAATGAGTACGGATCAATCAAGGAGTATAGGTAGAGAGAAGAGCAGTACGTGCAGAGAGAGAGAGAGAGAGAGAGAGAGAGAGAGAGAGAGAGAGAGAGAGAGAGAGAGAGAGAATAGCATTACAAAGATCTGAGGACAAGGCCTTTTCACATTTGACGAACAAAAAAGAAAGGAGGAGGAGGAGAAGAAGAGTTAGAGTGAGCCCAGAGTTAAGGATGGAGACAGAGTAGCTAAAACACACGAAGCTTCATTTCATTCAGGCTATATTTTAAAATGTAGATTTTAAGAGCAGTATGAAATGAACCCTCTGAAGAACAGTTCTGAGAAGATCAGATTTAAAATATGACTCTTACTTTTTTCTTCTCTCTCTCTCTCTCTCTCTCTCTCTCTCTCTCTCTCTTCCCCTCCCTCCCTCCCTCCCTCCCTCCCTCCCTCCCTCCCTAAGATGAGTAGATGACCTTGAACGCCTAATTCTCCATTACCCAGCTTTGGTCAATGTTGGCTGGATACTGTTTATCATACAAAGAATATGAACTTTGCTTTTACTTTTTTATTTGGGTACTTCTGAGGGCCTTGCCGCATAGTCTAAGCATGCCCTGAACTAGGTGTGCAGTCCAGGATGGCCTTGAACTTGAGCAAACCTGTTGCCTGTGATCACCCTCCTGAGCTCTGGAAATCCAGGAGGTCGTAACAACACCCAAAGTGTTTGTTTACAAGGCCGTCTAATTCAGGAAATCAGGCCTGGACACCAGTAGCCGAAATGTAAGGTTTTGTGTTTTGTCAATGGCAAAACACTATTTCAGATTTCACATTAAGGACATCTTACTATTACTGTTTTTCTTTTTCTTTGACAGAAACATATGGACACTCAGACTTTTATCGCTTACTCTGTGTGCTATTAGATCTCATCTTTGGTTCCCTGCCATGCCAGTTTTAGCATGGAGGCAAGTCAGCATGGGTATTTACTATGGGCCCTGGATTAGATTCCAATCCAGTTCTGGATTTAGCAGCTCGAGACCTTGGACAAGCCACACCTGGGTAGGTAAGGCATTCTCTGTCTCACTACTAACCGGATTGCTGTGAGAACTGAGTGAAATAACTGGCCTCGGAGACCCTGACTATTTCCTATAGAAATTGTTTCCATTCCTCATGGCAGCTCATTTCTGCTAGTACTCTAGAGGCTGTCATCTTGGCCACTTTTAAGACTGCCCAGTTAATATCTACTGCATCCATCTTAACAGAAATGAAGACTGCAGAATACAAAGAGACATGAATAAGTTATACTGTAAGGACCTTTTCACTAGAGCCTGAATCTGCACAGCACACACAATGGCAGTTTCTAGCACTTAAGCTAGGAGTTGCTACAAACAGAAAATCTTTTCTACAAAATAAAAAAAAAAAAAACGTTAAAAATAAAAGCATAAAACATGATGGAAAAAGCAGTTTTATCAGTGGTTAGAATTCTCTTTCAAGACTGACACAAAGAACTTGAAATAAAGCCTTCATGTTACACCCACTTTAGGGGTTGAAGCAACAGGCAATAAAGTACAACCGTATCAAAACCACTAATAGACAGTACTCCAGTTAATGTTTTCCTGAGTTACAAATGAGCACGGAAGAACAATCTTCACAAGTATTTACACTTCAAGCTTGTAAATAAAGCTTTGTCCCCACTTCTGCAACCAGTGGGGTATTCCAGCGCCAGTGTAGTGTGCATGTGGAACACTGCTTGGATTTGCAAGGGCGGAAGGATGTTTTGTAAAAATGAAAACAACAAAAACAAATACAGATAAAATAGGTTGTCATATATAATTAGTTTCATGGAGGGTGGGACTCCATTTAGCACACAGGTGTGACTCACGAACTAAATCAGTGATTAACAAGATGCCCTCAAAATCAGAAAAGGCATTTACAAAACTAACTCTGACACTATGTCTCATCACATATAAAGCCAGCAGGGTTCTTAATGTAAATGCTTTCCCTTGGGAAGCCCCGGAAGCCTGGCCAGATCACAAAGTTAACGGAAAGAGGTAGTTCTGGTTGTTTATAAGGCATTTAGTGACAGCGCCCATCATGTTTTATGGTATTTACATCAACTCTAAGTGAAAGCACAACAGCTGGAAATAACACGAACTCCACTTGCACGTTCTCTTACCACTAACAGGGCACTATCATCTGTGTGCTGAGACCTTCGGGATGGGAGGGGACACTGGGAAGGGGAAGAAAATGAAGCAATGTCAAAAACAAATATGTACACAAGTGACACATTCACATATATATACACAGGAAAGCAACATATGAAGACACGTTTCCAAAGATGCTGACACAGGACCACATGCATCACCTGTAGTTCATGCACCAGCAGTCAGTAGGGTGATTCTGAGCACTGACTTCATCCTAGAGATCTTACACAACCTCAAATGAGACCTTACTGTCTACACACCTTCTAAAGTTCAGGCAGGCGGTGACTCTGCTCACAGGAGCAAACAATGCGGTACTCATGCAGCTACAGCATAAAGACTCTGTGGTCATTTTGTAAATCAATGACAAATCAGAAGTAAACCTAAGAGTCATGATTTCTGCTCTAGGCAACTTTTCATTGCCTCTCTCAGACAAGTGAGGAAATGTCAGCTGGTGTCCTGGTTCAAAACACTTGGGAAATGGGGACAGCAGGAGCAGGAATTCAAGGGTCATCACCTTACATAATGAGTATGAGTACCTGGCTGGGCTACATGGGACATCATCTCGAAAAAGAAAAAAGACAACTGGAAATACACGGGTGACCCCTTAAGATCTCACGCCACATTCAAAATGTTCAGGCAGGAGCAAATCCAAACAGTTATTAAGAACCGTGCTTTCAAACCATGTGCTCTAAAAAGCTCCACATTAGGTTTTACATGTATTTATTTAGGAGTGTGTTTGTGTCCCATGTGCATACGCCACGGCACACGCGTGGAGGTCAGAGGACAATCTGTGGGAGTCAGCTGTGGGTTCTGGGAATTAAATTCAGATTGGTCATCAGGTTTGGTAGAAAGAGTCCAATTTGCTGAGCCATCCTGTCCCCCTTACATTAAGTTTTCAAATACTGTACTTCACAAAGTCAAATAGAGCAACAATCATAAATTGAAAATATAGGAGGTAAAAATAAGGGAAACTGGTCAATACAAAACTCAACTATACTAAAACAGCACTCATATAAAATCTTCACTTTAGCAGACCAAAATAGGCACAAAAATTTAAACAGTTAAGCAAGTAATTGTAAGTATTGATTTGCAATGAAACTGTGTGGGCTGATCTGGAACATATATGAATTATAACAAGGAAATAAGCACTGAACCAAAATGCTATGGTCTCTCTGCTTGAGCACCAAAACTATTCATTCACCTGCAAAGAGGGAGGGAGGGATGGACTCTCTAGATTGTTTTATATACAGCCCTAATCTATATATTTTCATAGCCTTCTTCTTTATCCTGTACCCTACTTTCCTTCACATGTAAAATTTTGCGGTGGAGGAAAAAGACAATTTTGAAAAGAAGGTTGGTTTGAGATGGGGGTTTCTCTATATAGCTCAGGCTAGCCTGGAATTCACTATGTAGTCTAGGGTAGGCTTGAACTCTTTAGCCTCTGCCTTCCAGATGATGGAATTATGGGCACATGTCACTACATCAGCCAAAAAAGCATTTTTTTTTTGATCATTTAAACTGAAAACATGATAACTGCATATCAAGCATTTCATTTCCATTGCAAAAATAATAAATTCTAAGAAAAATAATTATATGGACTCACCTCACCATCTCCAGGAGATTGCTGTTTCTGTGGACTTTGTGATGCTTTCTGCTATATGCCCAGAAAGTGGAAGCTGGTTAGAATCTCAACATTGGCACTTATACATTCCATTTAATTAAATGGACCACATCAATTTTGTAGGCAGAGGCTGCGTGTTTGCCTCCCGGCCACCCAGACCAGAAATAATCACACAGAAACTATTAATTAAAACACTGCTAGGCCTAGTGCTTATGCAAATTTTTTAGCTAATGCTTACATCTTAAATTAACCCACTTCTATTATTTTATATTTTACCATGAGGCTTGTGGTTTACCGGTACCGGCACACAGGCATCTTTCTCCTCTGGTGGCTCCATGGCATCTCCCTAATTCTGCCTTCTTTCCTCCTCTATCTGCTTAAAATTCCCTCCTTACTCTATTCTGCTAAGCCACTAGCCAAAACAGCTTTATTCATTAACCAATAAAAGCAACACATATACAGAAGGACTCCCACACTACAATTTATTTCTTGTATTTACTAGTTATGGAGATTAAGTTCCTGTCTTAAAACATTTTAAATAAAAAACAGCAATAAACTACACTATCATGCTTTTACAAGTATGAATAGAAAAAATTAAAAACCTACACATACATATTCAGAGTATCACATGAATACTCTCTCATGTGCTCATTCACTCAAATGGCTTTACATATTTCTTCCTAAATTTATCTTCAATGATTTAGTCATTCATTGCTCAGTACCCACTGATTTAGAAATTTCTCATATGTGTAGCATGAATTCTAATTGGTCTTAATAATAAAATCCCAGAGTCAGATTAGGTGTTAATGCTGAAGATCAGAGCAGCAGAGCAGTCAGCCACTAGAGTTCTTACCTCACCAATGCTCAGACTGAAAGGGTAATCCTGTCTCTACAAATCCCCAGACTGCCCCTGAGCTCCTCTCTCCGCCCAGCCATCACTCCTATCTCCACATCCCTAGTGCTGGGATCACCTTTGTGTGAGTTCTGTTTCTCTTAGACAGATTCAATCTTGTGTAGCCCCAGGTAGCTTTGAACTCACAGAGATCCGTCTGCCTCTGTCTCCCGAGTGCTGGGATTAAAGATGTGTGCCACCACTGCTTGGCCTCTATGGCTAACTAGTGGCGTAGCCATGCACTCTGATCTTCAAGCAAAATTTGTTAGATTATGAACAAAATATCACTAACACATATGTTAGTTTTACAAAGTACACAATTCCTGCCATGATAATATTAAAATAGTAACAGACTTATAAGTTTAGTATCATACATCTGGGGGGCACAGAATTGCTCAGAAAAGTACACAGTGACACATGCAGGCTCAAACTCAATTTCTTCCAATTCTCCTTGTAAACACCGCCAGCCAAGCTTAGAGATTACACCTTCATTTTGTATCCGTCTAATCACTACAATTACTTTCTATTCTATTTTCTCCTTTTGTTTCTCCCCAGACTGTTCTAGCATGAGAAGATGAAGTTTTCAAAGGGATCTTTCTTCTCATGTTTAGTCCTACCTAAGTCCTTACAGTTTCTTTCTTCTGCTTAACAGATCAAACTTGTGGGAAATTTGTCTGATCAGTTCAACAGTATGACTATTTACTTCCTACTAGCTGTTAGGCTTCTATAGAAGGCAAGCCAAATGAATTAACAATAGCAGCTAAGGTATATGAGTCATTATAGATTACCAAGAGACTGAAAGACTCTAAATGCATTTGTAAGCCCCCCTCAACCCATTTTTCTAAATGGGTTCAAGACATTTTTCTAAAACCTTACGCTCTCTCTCTCTCTCTCTTTCTCTTGGAAAAGGGACAGTCCCCCCCCCCCCCCCCACTGCTTATCCTCCTGTGTCCTTGTAAATAACCACGTGCTGGACTGCTCATCCCCCTGTGTCATAACTCCATTTTGGGAATTCAGGCAAATACAACCCATAGATGTTGACTCAGTTCCTGATGTATTAATTTAGTCACTGAACCAAAGGTCAGGATGGACCACAGATGCTCTCCCTTATCACCTGACCACGCAGCTATTCTCCTGCCCTGGAATAGACCAATCACTGCTAGTGACCCTTTGAATAAGCCAATCCAATAAGTTGGAAAACAACCTACAGGTTCCCCCCCTTGTGTCTGTGGCTTTTTCGATTTAAAAGATGGACTGTAACAGCTATCGATGTCCTTCATATCCCGAACCTGAAGGACCCTGTCATGACAGAATAAAATCCTCTTGCTTTTGCATCAATTTGTGGTTATGTGAATGGTGTCTGGAGCAACTCCTCCCTGATGTTTGGACTTCTAGTCCAACAAGACAACATAGCAGTCTGGTCAGAGTAGGGTCTTGAGAGCTGCCTGGCTTTATTAGAATCCCCTACTCTAAGCCAAGCGGTGGTGCACGCCTTTAATCCCAGCACTCGAGGAGGCAGAACAGGCAGATCTCTGTGAGTTCAAGGCAATCACTAGCTAAGCATGTCAGGCAAACTATTTTCTTTCATGCACCTCAATTTTCTGATCTATAAAAAGAGGACAATGATACTTCTTCACTATAATATTAAATAGAGAGAGAGCGAAAGAGAGAGACAGAGGCTAGGTGTGGTGCTACACATCTTTAATCCCAGCACTTTGGAGGCAGAGGCAGGTGGATCTCTGAATTCAAGGCCAGTCTGGTCTACAGAAAAAGTTCAGCCAGGACAGCCAGGGCTACAAAGAGAAACCCTGTCTCAAAAAATAAAAACAAAATAGAAAGGAGGAGAGGAGGAAGAGGGGAACAGGACACAGACTTTTTAAGAGAAACTGCTTAAAACAATGTTTGGTATGCAAAAACCATGCAATAAATTTTCTAAGTATTGTCCCCATTGTCATCTTCACCTTCTCATCAACTTACAGCTTTTGCTGTCTTCAATCCAAAATCTAAACTAGCTGCTGCTTTCCTCAAGTGCCATTAAGTCAAGTGTGTAAGTTATGGAAGCGCGTTCCCAGCTCCTAAACCACTCCCATTCTCTCAAGCTGTCATGCCGCAGAGTGTTCCTAGGATAACAATCACGTCCTTTTGAGCTCAGTGCGGCTGATGTGTTCTCTAGCCTCTTCTCTGCCTTGATGTAAAACCAGGGCTTTCACCCCGAGTCTTTCCTCCCCCTCTGTACTCACTGCTCCACGACAAGACCTGACATAATGGAGCCTTGTACTCTATTTACCTTTACGGGCTCATCTCACGCTCCCTCAAGGCCTATCCAGTCAGTGAGGCTTTAGGAAACCTAGGTTTGTTTTCTGACCACAATCAGCCTACAATGTGGGACCAATACTTCATTTCTGCAGAGCTGCAGCTTCATCTGTGAAAACGAACACTCTCAGCTTCCCTGTTATAAAATAAACAGAGTCTTGACTTGTTTTAAGTCAAGTAAAGACTTATGGAAGGGGGTGATGCTTGACAAATCAGAAGAAACAGTGTGAAGTAAGAGATGATTTAAGCAAAAGAATGACAGGAGGTAAAAGAGTGTGATAAAACAGACATCTTAGCTACCTACATTCTCAGAGATAAGAAGGCACAAAAGGAGGAGAGAGACATCTCGGGCAGAGAGAAGAGAGGGGCTGGGAGGTGACAGATTTGGTTGAGATCACTTTTCAGACCTCCATAAACTTGTTTCTAGGAATACTGATGTTAGATCTGTCAATGGACAAATGGTTTTCCTAAAATTTGACAGAGCAATAGGCTCTGACTGAAGGACTCCAGGGAGGAGGAGGAGGAGCATCACTCCCAGACTGACACAGCCGGGGCGGGAGCAGATGAGCACGTATGTGTGTGGTTCCCAGCAACCACATGGTGGCCTACAACTGTTTCACAGGGTCTGAAACCTTCTTACATCCAAGAGCCCCAGGCATACATGCAGTACACACACATATATACATGCAGGCAAAACACACATAAAAATAAATATAAAGAAGGAATTCATCATGTAAAACAATAAAACAAAAATGCATAGAGTACTTTCAAAAAATGATCTTGGTCTAAAATTCTAAAACACAGGAACCTTTTCTAGGCAAGAATGACTCATTCAACAAAAATCTCTAGAACTCTACAGACTCAAACCTGCTAAGTTCTGGAGAGCAAAACAGACAGTTCCTATCTTGAAGTTTGCAAATGAATGGGAGAGACATATTAAGCGAATAAAATTATAAATACTTAATATTTATTACTTAATAATTTCAAGGGTGATTTTAAATGAAAAAAAAACAAGCATAAAATCAAAATTTGTTTCCCATAGTCCTCAGACTGCACAAGAGATGCTATAAAATATCCACAGAAGAAACGGTAACAGGAATGTCCTTACTGAGCAGGTATGGAAACAGAAAGGAAGGAAAGAATCAGAGATCACGAAAGAACGAAGCCTGGTAGCCTCCCAACAAACAGCATTTGCTACAGGAAAAATCTGGAGACAACACTGTGACATTCACACAACACTGCCGCTTTCATGATCTTTTTGTTTTGTTTTCTGAGACAAGTTTTCTCTATATAACAGTCCTGGTTGTCTTAGAACTCACTCTGTAGACCAGGCTGGCCTTGAACTCACAGAGATCCGCCTGCCTCTGCCTCCTGAGTGCTGGGATTAAAGGCATGCACCACCACCACCTGGCCACTTTCATGATCTTTATACTATACCTGAGATGGGAGAGCCAGCAACTCCATAGTAAGGTGGTCAGGATAATGGTTTCTACTGGCCTATAACCAGTCATAACTATGGCTATGGGAGACAGTCACTCTATCTTTAGTTGAGAATTCTTGTGAGGGAAACAACTGGCCCTTTAATTAGGGCAACAATAACCAACAGTCCTGGCAAAATGAATATATATTTACCTCTCTTAACTTCAAGAGTTATTATCTGTCAGTGATGGTAAAGCTCTTACTTTGACAAAGTCCAAGACAGCATCTCTCTGAATCTGCTTAGTCCTTATTTTCTCCTCCTCATACTGCAGGGCTGCGAGCTGTGCCTCTCTCCGAGTGCACTCGACTGACCGTTCTCTCCTCTGATGAAGCTCCAAGTCTGAATGTGAAAGCTGCAAGAGGGTGGACATGCAAGTGGGGATAAGAGTCAACATGTCAATACCCTGTATCAATATAAAGAATGCTGCTAACTCAAGTTTTACTTTGCAGTATTAACATTTTTAAAAACTCACTGTTCTTATATGTATGAAAGTGGGAACTATCATGGACACATGCTGTATGAACTAACTGAGAAGACAAATAGTAAGATTTACAGATATTTGGCAATTAATGGCAGTTTAAGTATTTAAAAGAACACTGGGCTGGCAAGAAAGCTCAGCCAGTAAAGGTGCTTGCCATCGAAACCTATGACCTGAGTTGAATCTCAGGAACCCACGTGGTAAAAGAAACAACTCCCCAAGTTGTCCTCTTACCTCTACATGTATGCTGTGTGATGTGCACACACAGGCACACACGTGTGCACAAGGACACGAGCACACACATACATATACAAACATATAGGACACATATGTACATAAACACATTAAATAAATATTAAAAATTAAAAGAACGTTATCTTAGTTTAGCAAAATCAAAACAGAAATAACAAAGATAAATCTAGTAACTAGGCTGGGTAGTGGTGGCACACACCTTTAATTCCAGCACTCATGAGGCAGAGAGGCAGGTGGATCTCTATGAGTTTGAGGCCAGCCTGGTCTACAGAGTGAGTTCCAGTACAACCTGGACTACGTGGAGAAACCCTGTCTCAAAAACAAAACAAAACAAAACAAACAAACAAACAAACAAACAAAAAAACCCTCAAACAACAGCAACAAAGCTAATATCTAAAAAACCTACCCGATTGTGGTTTGGTGGCAGTGATAACACGGAGGATGGCTCAGCTGGAACCCTGGCTCCCAAAAAGAAAAATAAGAACTCATTGACAACAAGATGAGGGACCAGAGAAATTCTCATTAGTAACAAGTTTCTGCCCATCAGCGGGCTTAGAACTGAAAGAGTAAACGTAAGCCCCAAAATGACACTAAACCACAGCTTACCTGATGCCCCCAACTTACATACCATGTGACGGCATCACTGATGGTGAGCTACCCACTGTCTATGCCAGCCAACAGAGGGACAGTGGCCGAGAGCACTTTTCAAACAGCACCATTTTTATTTTTGTGATACATAGAGCCATTACCTTATCTACCATCACTGAAACAAGAGCTGTGTGAACTGAGATCTGGTGACACAGCCGTCTCATCAACAGAAACCGGGACTATATTTACAATACAGCACCTTAAGGAACCAAGTAACGACTACTGACTTTCATTCTGAAGGAAAAGGTGGCCCTATGTGCTGCTTACCAAACACAAAGACAGCACCACCCTCCTCGATTTTACAGTTTGATGGTTATTTTCTACATCAAGCAGGGTAACATTTTTCAAGGCTCTGTAAATCATGTGTGTTTCACTGACATCAGTAAGCTAGCAGGCAAACAAGAAAACTTTCTAAGCTCTTGTAATCGCAACACCTAAAAAACAAAATTGTTTTTTCTTGCTAGTGCTAGAGGTCAAACTCAGGGGCTCAAACTCTTTAACCTGGCACTTAGGACTACCACCTCACCTAACGTGTCTAACTTTTCTCCGGTAGGATCCTTGCTGCTTCTCTACCACAAAAAGGCAGCCACCCTCCCTCCTGTGTCTTTCCCAATAAATCTCTGTGTGAAGTTTATTGTGTGGTGTGATTTTGTAGTATTTCTTGAGTCTCAGCTGCCAGGATACCTTTCCCTTAGAGCTGTAACACAATAGTGACACAGCTCAATGGATCTTTATCCTTGATACTAAGCCTGACAACCTGAGCTTAACCCTGAGAATCCACGTGGTGGAAGGCGAAAAGTGACTCCCTACAAATTGTTCTATGGTGTCTGAACACAGACACAGTACATGCACACGCGTGCGTGCGTGCACACACACCCAGAGAAAACAAACTAAAAACAAGGATTCAATTTAAAATTAAAAAGCAGGCAAAATTTAATTGTTGTTTATTGTCTCTTCACCTTTGTCACTGGTAAATGCCTACTTTCTAGACAACTTCAATTGGCCTTGGCTACCTACACAAACATCCAAGACACCCATCACAAAAAAAAGAAACAGGCAACAGGGAATATCCTTAGTTAGTGTATGAGCACTGCCTGATATTTGCTTTGGGAATAATCGAATCATTATTAGTCACAGCTATAATTATACATAATATATAATAATTCTATGCATGTAATTATTAGAGTACCCTTAGTATATGAGCATTGCCTAATATTTGCTTTGGGAACAATCTGATAATTAATAATTCCTATATATTGTTATAAATCCAATGAATTAGGAAATTTACTAAAGTCTGCTGGGCTTCAACATCTTCATTTCTATATATATACACACACTTTTTTTTTGGTTTTTGTTTTTTTTCGAGACCGGGTTTTTCTGTAACTTTGGAGCCTGTCCTAAAACTAGCTCTTGTAGACCAAGCTGGCCTCAAACTCACAGAAATCCACCTGCCTCTGCCTCCCAAGTGCTGGGATTAAAGGAGTGTGCCACCACTGTCTGGCTCAACATCTTCATTTATAAAGTTAGGATAAATATGTTTACCCCTAGGATATGTTATCAAAACTAAATAAGATACTGCAGGGATGGGGAGATGGCTGGGTTGGTAAGTTATTTGCAAAGCAAGCACTGGAAACTGAGTTCAGCCCCCAGAACGCGCATAAACAGCTGGTGAGCACTTATAATCCTGGTGCTGGTAAGGTGGACATAGGATCTCTGGGGTTTGTAGCTAGCCAGCTTGCCTAATCAGCAGATGGAGAATCCCAGGACAGCCAGAGACTGTCTCAAAAAAGGTGGATGTGTTCCTGGGGAACAACAACTGAGGCTGTCTGGCCTCTACATGCATACATACATACAAGCAAAAGTACACCTGCATACACATCATCCCCTCAAACAGACATGTTCATTCACACACAGAGACCACAAAAACATACTGGAATCACTACCTGTTTAGGATGACAGGAATTAATTACATCTTTGTCCCAGCTCTACTACTCTTGATTGCTGAAACTTCCTACAGCTTTTATTAGATATCTGTGAATGATCTGAATCCAAACAAAGAAGGGATCAACTAAACCCAGCAGGCTATCTGTTCTCACCTGAACACTGTTTTTGAATCGTTTAATATATACCTCTCCTTCCATATTTCTCTAATTTTTAAAACAGAAGATAATGAAGGACCCCAACACTGCACGACGTTTCTAAGCCCTGCCTTCTTTTACACAACTGGAGACAGGGCCTCACTAAGTTGTCTAAGTTAGAATTGAATTTTCAATCCTTCTACTGCAGGCCTCTGAGTGCTCAGCTCCTACTATATTTCTTTACCTTCTCTTCATACTGAACTTTATCTTAAGAAGCCAGCCAAATCCAGTCTCCATTTTGAAGTCTTACGTTCACTGGGTCTCCAGAGCAGCAAAGCTCCGCCCACGGTGAACACCACTGAGGCAGCAGGCCCAGGGGATCAGTAATATGGGGCACTTCATCCTTCCCTCTCTTTTTCCTGTGCAGTTTTTGGGGTTTTATGTATCTACTCATGTTCACTGCTGGGCAGCCTAGCGTTGGGACTGGTGACTCTGATGTGGTTCTTGGAGCGAGCGATCTCAGCACAGTCAGTTTTGATGCACTTCAGCAGCACTTCCAGCCCCTAGCCATTGTGGACCAGGAACTTCCAGAATCCCATAACTGATGCCGGACACCAGAGTTTGGCCCTAGATCTTCTCCGCACTCTAATGTCAATCAATACATCTAGCTTTCTGTCACTTCTGCTTAATTTTGACACAACAGTCTGACAGGTGCCAAGTGAACTTGTTGGTTCTCTCTCTCTCTCTCTCTCTCTCTCTCTCTCTCTCCCTCTCCCTCTCCCTCTCCCTCTCCCTCTCCCTCTCCCTCTCCCTCTCTCCCGAGACAGGGTTTCTCTGTAGCTTTGGAGCCTGTCCTGGAACTAGCTCTTGTAGACCAGGCTGGCCTCAAACTCACAGAGATCCATCTGCCTCTGCCTCCTGAGTGCGCCACCACTGCCCGGCTTGTTGGTCCTCTTTTTAGAATTCCTCAGATGCTGGAGGGGTAGGAGCTACGATGCTGCCAAAGAGATGGTGGTGACCTCGAAGGCAGCAGAGAGGAAGATGAACCTGCTCTTTTCATCTTAGCCTTTCAGACACTATCCTTTGTCTTCCATCCCTGAATGCTCCTGCTCAGGCTCTTTCTGCCAGCTGTTTAAGCTCTAAGTTCTCCCTATCTCTGTGTCTAACAGCTTACTCAAGTCTTAAGGGTGCACCTACCGGGCATTTAAAGAAAACGACCATATCCATTCTGAGATGATAAAGTATATAAAATTTAACTAAACCTCTAAGGAATAATTTATGAGTATAAAAGGTCAAGTTACAAAATTTTCATATGTGGGCCTGGAGAGATGACTCAGTGGAATATAGCACTGACCGCTCTTCCAGAGGACCTGAGTTCCAGTCCCAGCACCCACATGGCAGCTCACCACTCTTTCTGCCTTCAGTTCCAGGGGACCCGACAGCATGACAAAACACCAAGGCAAATAAAATAAAATTAAAATATTTTTTCTTATTGATTATTCTTCCTACATTTTCTTCAGTCCATCAACATCACAGTTCCCAGGACGACATTCAGCATGCTATTTGTGTAAATACCTAGGATGGATCACAGATGATAACACATTTACTGTCAGCTGGGTGTGGTGGCGCATGCTTCTGAGTTCACGAGGCAGAGGTGGGTGGATCTCTTAGTTAAAGGACAGCCTGGTCTACAGATTGACTTCTAAGACAGCCAAGGGCTACATAGAGGGACAATGACTTGGAAAAACAAAACAAAAAAAGAACAGATATATCAAGCCTACTGTTTTTAAGATTTCATACACAAAGACCAAAGACTGAAAAAAAACTAACTACAGTTTATAGCCAAAAACATTTTAGAATTCTAGACTGAGAAACAATATTGAGCTAATTTTAGAAATAGGGAGACTCAGTGCAGTGGAGAGACTGTATATATTGAAGAAAGAAAGAAAATACACATAACCTGCTCTGTTCCCCCACCAAAAACTTAAGTTACAGAGTAGGGGCTTCTGAAAATCTTTAAATTTTCTAGAATAAATACACACCCATCACCACAAATTTCATTACTACTAAGTACTTTTAAATCATCTGATTCTAAGGTCCTGGTTTAGGTACCATGTTTACAATGGCGTGAGCACAAATGCAGACATATCTAGTTTAAATACACGGCATGGAAAGCACACCTAAGTCAGATGGCTTCATTATATTTGGATTTACACAAAACCAAAATCGATTCACAGTCTTAATACTGAGTTTCAAAACAGAAAAATGACGTAGAGTTGCCTTTTCACACCTGCTTTGATGTGAGTATCTTTTCATGTCTTCTGTTTTCTGAAATTCTCTAACAGCTACTGGCTTTACTGGTGAACCCTAGACCAAAAAGAAAAAAGAAAATAACTTTAACATACATTATACATATATATATAACATATATATATATTTGTCATTATATTCTTAATTACTTTTAGAAAATTAGACATTAAAACTTTATTTTGACAGGATATTCCTTTGTGAGTGTTGTATTTAAAAGCATGCAGGCTAGCAGGTTGTGATGGTGCATACCTATAATCCTAGAACTCAAGAAGCTGAGGCAAAAAATTGAGTTTGAGGACAGCCTGGGTAACAGAAAGACTCTATTCTCAAAAACCTATAGCGAGGGCTGCTGAGACGGGTCACTGTGGAAAGGCACTTGCTGTGCAAACCAAGCCACCTGAGTTTGCCCTCCAGAACCTCCAGAAAGCTGGACAGTGAGAACCAACTCCAAAGTTGTCCTCTGACCTTTATGGATGCACTGTGGGTATGTGTGCTGAAAAACTCACTAACACATACATATTAACAAATGAACAAAAGCAGAACCAAACTGAAACACACACAAACCCATATTACATAGGCTTTGATAAATAAAAATATGCAAACTCTATGAATATTTATTTTATTTAAATGGTTATCTTTTTATTTTTTATATTAATTAGTGATTACAAAGAGTAATATTGTCAGAATAAAAAGGGCCTTAGCAGCCAGGCATGGTGGCATACATCTTTAATCTCATTACTAGGGAGGCAGAGGCAAGTGGATCTCTGTGAGTTCGAGGCCAGCCTGGTCTATACAGTGAGTTCCAGGACAGCCAGGACTCTGTAGAGAGACCCTGTTTCAAGAAACAAACAAAACAAAACAAACAAAAGAGCTCAGAACTCCCTCCTGGCAAGCTGAGCTAGCGTGTGACTCCCTTCCACTGCTGCAGCAGAAGTTACGCACCGCCCAATTGTAGAAAGCGACACGACACAGAAATACCAAGAGCACTATGCCAAGAATTACAGCTACCGCACAAAAGTAGTTAGAACTTAAAAACACTAAAGGAGCCTCTATAGTGTGGTAGGGACACTGCTCAGTAGGCCAGTGAGCAGTTTCTGTTCCATGTTGTAGAGACACTCCACTCAGACAACCTATCATTATAAAGTGATTAAAGGAAGACAGAAAAAAAAAAGGATTTCTCTAAAGAGTATTATGTAGCATTATTAAATTTTATTAGAAAGTAAGTCTTGACTCCAGCAGAGAAACTAACAGCTTCTAACAGCTTGAACCACAGGTCAGTTTTATCAATCCCTGGTCTATCATTATTTTTTGGCTACAGGATTTGATTTATGTGCTTTTTATCTGATTTAGAAACAAGTGTCCTCTGAACTGCAACAAAAACGACTGTGTTCAAAGCCTTCAGACAGGAGCAGAGGATTCTCTGGAGGAATGCTATTGCTCGGCAGTCACTCCGCTCGAAGCAGTTGATCCTTGATTGTTAAGTTAAAGACATCACTCTTCAAAAAGGCCCCAGTGTTCCTCAGACAACTGCCTGCTCAGAGCCCGGGACAAACTCCAGACAAGAATGAAGTCATTTTACTCTGCTGACTAGATAGATTGAAGAATGCTGTTCTACTTGAGACCCTTGAGGAATTGGCAGAGATTCTACAGTGGTCTAAATGCCCACTTGTTTTTTAGGCAATTCAATGCTTCATTATACAAGACACCCAAGAATTTTAATAGCAATTTATATTCTGTTAACATAGGATAAAAGCACCAGTATAATTAAACTTATTATTATTCTATGGGTAACTTGAACGTTTCCTCAAAAGTCAACGTTGGCTTAATTAATTACCTATCAAATTATGATTTATAGTTAGCAATAATATAAAAGCAAACCAATCAGGAAAAGAAAAGGAAAGGAAAGAAAAAAGCCAGTCAGAAAACAAAACAATATAGTAAGGAAAAGTATCCTGTCCCATGCATTCTCTGCAAAAGCCTAAGGTCATGCTCAGGTGTCACGCTCAGGTCCCCTTTACCGCATCTTCAAATGAATGAAACCTGCCTTCTTATCTGAAGTATAAAATTTGAACCATTTTTTAGACTCCTTCCTGATTTTTCCAAATTAAGTTTGAAAAATCCAGATCTAAGATTGGAATGGAAAATAAAACAAATAGGCCTAAACCAATAAATAACTGCCATGCTGAAATCCACGCCAGCCCGAATTGTCTTCAGTAGGAATACCAACTTTCTTAGGCGAGAACGGGACTCTACCTCATGGGAGATCCGCCGCTGTTCAATGTATGCCATGAACTGTGAGCTGAGACTGTTGGCATCCAAGCCTTTGTGCTGTTTGACATCGTTCTCTTCTTCTTCTGTAGTACAGCTGTCAATGTAGTCAATCTGATCCAGATCATGCTCCACTGTACACCCCAGAGAAAGAGAGACAGAGAGAGATTCAAAGTTAAACAGACAATAAAGACATCTGCTTAAATAACACTCTCCCTTTTCCCTTTGTCTGTTCTGTGACACATGCCTTTTAGGAATTAGTCTATAGACCCTTGCAAAAGTAGTCTTTTGAAAACCTTAGTCCAAATACACTAAAGAATGCAAAAACTGAGGGTGAACCATTGAAATTTAGACCCTGACATCTATTTATTTTCTCTGGATGGCTCCATAGTGTTTTAAACAGGCAGCCTGAGTCTGTGGGACAGAAGACGGCTGCTGCTTAGAGACAGAAGGCCGTCTGTATCTTTTCATTAGTTTGAGATCCAGAAAATGTAACAGTTAACTCAAAAGAGGACAGAAGATATGGGATAAGAAACTTATTGACTGTTTCCCTTCCTGCAGTTCAAACTTAAAAAAAAGAGAGCACAAAGATTTCCCTATTAGAAGATTACTTGCTAGAGGGCAATGCTTCAGGGAGGTCTGCAGTAGCTTGGGAGTGAAAAATGTTCTCTTCTCAAAGACACCGACTGCAAAGTGTATCTTATAACTTTTTAAACAAAACGTCTACTCCCCTAGAAACGCACTGGAGGAGAGGAGGCAGCTGAAGACACAGAGAATGCTTTCATCTACAAGCTTCAGGATGTTAACTACTTTTAACAGCTAGTTAAATGGCTCACTAGGAAAGAGCTCATTGCGAAGATGTTTCTCAAGCAGTACGTTAAACCCCAACTGTACTTTTATGCTGTCTTACTGTGCCAGAACACTGGATTTAAATGAACTGCAGCTTATATTAAATTGAATTTTGTGTTATAAGTTTATTAAGATTTAAAAGAATTAAAAGGTTATAAAGTGATATTACATTATCCACTGAGGCCACCTCCTCAGTCCCCAAATGCCACATTTCAAATGCTGAATAATCACATGGGACTAGTGGCTACCACACTGAAAGGCACAGTTGGAAATTATGTTGTCTTAAATATAATGACAGTACAGATAACATGAGATACAGTACAGATAATATGAGAGCAAAATTTAGAATAAAATTACTAAGATATGAGTGGGATGGTAAGTGACAGAAATAAAGAAGAATGTAAGCCAGAGAAGACAAAACAATTAGAAATGAAACTGTTTCTCAAAAACATAAGCATTTCTAGAAAATCTATGTAATTTCTCCCTCAGCACTGGCCCTCAAGATTTGAACATTAGACTTTAAAATTCAAATTGGAAGAATACAGAACGGAATCCTAAAACTTGCTTCAGAAGTACATGAAGCAGAGAGAATGGTATATTTTATAAAAATGTCAGAATAAGAATGGTATATTTTATAAAAATGTCTGAAAGCTAGTCTTCAGAAGCTCCAAAGAACATACTCCAGACGGGAAACAGAGCCTACACTAAGACATGCCCTAAAGGACGGGCATGCTGGTAGGCACCTTAGTTCCAGCTGTTCAGGCAGTTGGTGTAAGGTTACTTGAACCCAGGAGCTAGAGGTCAGCCTGGACAATGGGGTGAAAACTTGTTTTATACTGTGTAGGCTAAATGATTCAGTAGGGAAAAGCATTTCTTGCTAAGCTTGATGACCTGAATTTGATCTATGGGATCCACAGGGTGGAAGGAGAGAAAAGTTGTTCTCTAAGTTCATCATGCCGGTGGTGGCACACTCCTTCCCAATAAACAGGTAACTCTATTTTTAAAAGTTAAAAACAAATGCAAGCAGATAAACACAATTGATGAAGAGCTCAAGAAGTCTCATTAAAATAGAGAATCCTAAAAAGAGACAATATTACTTCAGAAGAATATTGTAGTAAGACCAAGATAAACAAAATCTACTCCAGATAAACTATACTTTCTAAGGTTGCCTCTGAAATAAGTATTTGAGGGAAATAATTTTAATTACAAACTGAAAATGAGAAATTCGGTTTTCATTCCAAACTTTTTTTGTCATATATAAACAGAAGTCTTTAGAAGAGTGAAGGAGCTATAGACACAGAAACCAAAGAGTGGATGTGACAAAGATTACATCACAACGGGGATCACTAACTGCCTAGGCCCCCACCATGCCTTCCCTGCATGCTGCTATGTCGTCTTCACCACGGTGGACTGAATCCCTCTGAACCCTAAGCCAAATCAAACTGTTTCTTTCTTAAACAAAAACAACATTAATGTGGGAGCTGGCAAAGTCCCTGCCCATCACACGTAAGGCCCTGGGTTCAATCCTCAGCACTACACACCCAGGAGTGGTGCAACAAGCCTGTACTCCCAGCAGGAGGTAGGAAGATCAGGTGGACACAGGAGGAGGGGGTTTGAGGCTAACCTTGCCTACTTAACGGTTAGAGGCCAGTCTGGGTTATAGGAGAGCCTGATATAAAACAGAACAAGCTAACGATCAAGGGTTTAAACGTCATCACTCACAATCATGCTTACCTCCACCATTTGAGACTACCACACTGCTGCGATTTTCCTGGTACTGGCTCTCTCTCCGAAGTCTCTGCTCTTTAGTAATCTCTGCCACTCGAAGTGGCAAATCTGAAAATTCATCTGTAGGCTTAAAAAGCAGAAACATTAAAAGCCATTATCTCCATCAGGCAGTGGTGGCACATGCCTTTAATCCCAGCATTTGGGAAGCAGAGGCAGGAGGATCTCTGTGAGTTCGAGGCCAGCCTGGTCTACAGAGCAAGTATAGGACAACCAGGCCTACACAGAGAAACCCTGTCTTGGGCGAAAAAAAGATACAAAAACAAACAAATCATCATTTCCAATTTTAGATAATATAAAGAACAGGGATAGAAACTAAAATTTACATAGAAAAGATAAAGCAAAAAAGTCTGGGGAATTGACGGTGAATACTGTATAATTATATGAATTACACAACTGAAATATGTACTTTAAAATGGTAAACTTTACCACAATTAGCAAAAATAGAAGGATATTCAGAACTGTAAGTATATACATGGTTTAAATTGTCTACATATAAATGCATTGAAATATTTGTGAACATAGTTACCAAGACATATATACATACATAACTACAAATTATAAGGTGTGATGTAATATTAATTTGGTTCGACTTACTTATTATTTGACTTATTAACTTTTTTAGGTTTGACAGGGTCTCACTGTACAGGCTTGGCTGGCCTAGAACTCACTATGTATTCCTGGCTTCTTTTGAACTCAGAGATCCACCTGTCATTTCCTCCTGAAGAATGTCTAATAATATAATTATATTATACTATAGACTATAGATACTATTAATATATATATATATAATATATAATACTATTAATTAATCAAAACACACCAACAAACAAACCCATGTATTTTCGGCATGTGAATGAACTCACTAAGATGTCCCACCTTCTGTAGGACTGAAGCCAGCCCTTGCCAGTGGCCAGGGAAGAGCTCCACCACTGACCTACAATTTGAAGCTTGGTTTCCAGTTCTACTTACTTTCCCGGCTTCCAGCGCCCCTCCTATCACTGCTCTGCTCCATCATCAGCCATCAAGTTCTAACGTCAGGACTTTTATTGTTTTGAGACAGAGATTTGCTATGCAGTGTAAGCTGCCTGGAACTTACTACCCAGGTCAAGCTGTCTTCAATTCGTGGTCCTCCTGCCTTAGCCTCCTAAGAGCCACCTAGGCTTCAGTTTTAACCACCTCAACTCCTATTCAGCTTTCGAAAAAATCCATACATGGGATGAAACAGTGTAGAATTCTCTAGTGGCAGGACTATGTAAGTTTTTTTGCCCTTTCTTTGATGTCTCCATCTTATGTAATTTTTCTAAGTCAGGAGTTCCGGTATATGAAGAGAACACTTACCTCATTTCCTGACCACCTCTTGTCCCCACTATCCACACTATTGAAGCCTGAATCGAGGGCTCCATAAGGACGAGAGTACAGTTCTTCATGGCTGTCCAAAGGAAGTGTTACTTGTTACTATGAGGCTGAATATTTTTAAAATTAACATCTAAAATTAACCAGTCACAACTTTATTAACAAACATCCTATGATTAGAGCTAAGTGAATAACATTCTCTGAGCTTTTTAGCAGGAAAATTCCAAATAGGAACAAAGTAAACAGAATAGGATGAGCCTCCACACTCAGAATCCACTTTCAAAAGTACCACTGCTCAATTCTGTTTCCACTGTGCGCATGTGTAATGTTAGCTCACAATGGATTTCATCTCATAGCCTCTCCAGACTCGTGTCAACACACTGTCTTCATCTCTCGCCCCTCCTGCCAACCCCTTTCTGCTTTATCATCACAACTGTTCCACCATCCTGTTTTCATGTCTCTGAAGATCTTGCACCATTCCCATGATCCTCTTGCTAGCTTTCACACAAGCAAACATGCACACACACACACACGCACGCATACTCGCACATGCATGCACACAAATGCAGGTCCTAAACAAATGAAAAATTCTCCTTATCTGGTTTTGGTACCAGTGTAACCTGGCTTCACGGGCAGGTTTGGCAGTTTACCTCCCAATGCAGTGGGACAGCAGAAGGGGCACTAGCACTAGCTCTTCTTTAAAGGTTTGGTAAAATTCAGCAGTGAATCCATCTGGTTCTAGACCTTCCTGTATTGGAGACTTGACTACAGCTTAATCTTCATTGACTGTTACTACCCTAAGTTGTTTATACTATCTTAATTTAATTTTGATAGGTCATACAAGTCAAAGAATCTACCCACTTCTTAAGAGATTTTCCTTTTTGGAACGTAAGTTTTCAAGTATATACCAAGGATTCTGGACTCTGGCAACCTCCCCTTCTTCATCTCTAATTTCTATGTCCTCTCTCTCTTTTTCTTGGTTAATCTCGCCAGCGGTTTGTCAATATTGATTATTTATCAACCAACCGTCTTATCAAGTCTACATGCTATTCTTTCAATATGCAACTAATTAACTTCTGCCTTGCTCTTTAACTATGTCTTTCTGTCTTGGCTTTGGGGCTTGGATTGTTACCATTTTTCTAGGACTCTGGAGTGCATCGGTAGGTGATCTGGATATGAATTTTTAAATGTGAACACTCCTAACTATAAACTTTCCTTTTACAATTGCCTTAGCCATATCCAAAGGGTTCTGGTAAACTGTGCTTCATGTAATCTGACTCTATAATTTTTAAAAACTTCATGTTTTCTTCAATAAGTATACTGTCCTGTCTCCTTGCATTTATATGACTTCTGCAATTTTTCAGGACTGTTTTCTTTTTCTTTTTTGCTACTTATTTCTAATTTCATTACAGTATAGTTTGATAAGATAAATTACTTAGACCCTTCGCATTTGATAAGACTGATTTGTGGTCTAGACTGTGGTCTGCTTCAGAGAAGGCTGCACTGCACGAAGAGCAGAGCTCCTCTATCTCTGCTAGAATATCTTCTATATTTTGGTTAAGGACATTTCATGTGTGATGTAGTTCAATACTGAAGTTTCTTTGTTGACTTTGTGTAGAGTGATGAGAAGACAATCCATGGAAGTTAGTTCTCTCCACCATGGGTCCCCGATTGAACTCAGGTATTCACGCTTCATGGTAAGCACTGTTCCTCGCTGTGCCTTCTGCTGGCCATCTTTGTTGACCTAACTGGATGACCTACGTGAAGATGGGGGGGGGGCAACCGTGACTGCCCACTATTTACATCTATTTGTCTGCTTTTCCTTTTTGGTTTGGTTTTGCCCCCAATTCTGGTACATATGTTTAACAGTTGTGTTTTATTGGTGAATTGTTCCCTTAATATGTTGTAGGCACATCTACACCACCGTGTGTCTGTGAAGGTGAGAGGACAACGTGCATCATGTGGTTCCCAGGGACTAAACTTAAGCAACTTGGCAGCAAGTGTCTTTACGTGCTGAGCTATCTGCCCAGCCCAGACAGCTTATTCTTAAAACAATCTCCAGAACATTTTCTGAATCCTCTCTCTACCTCCACTGCTCTCTGCATGGCACACCCCCACTGCACCTCCCTCCACTGCTCTCTGCATAGCACACCCCACTGTACTAACCCTGCACTGCTCTCTGCATGGCACACTGCACGGCACCACCCCTGCACTGCTCTCTGCATGGCACACTGCACTGCACCACCCCTGCACTGCTCTCTGCATGGCACACTGCACGGCATCATCCCTGCACTGCTCTCCACAGGGCTCCCCTGGCCTTTTCCTTCTGCTGGGTTTTGACTTCTGCTATGGATTTCAAAAACTCTTTCTCTACTCTCCTTTTTACCAGTCACACAAAAACAGCCACTAGTCCGCTATATTCTGCAATTCTTGTTTCCCTTGTACCTACAGCCATTCTCTACACACACACTTTGTTTTTATAGTTTAAAATTTACTTATTTTATGCTTTTTGAGACAGGGTCTCACTATGTAGCCCTGGCTGTCTGCCTCCCAAGTACTGGAATTAAAGGCGAGTGCCACCACTCCTTTACCTTTAATAATATTTTTTCAAATAAAATTTAGACACATTTAAATATTGGCTGCATAATGTTGACAAAATGCTGTATCTCTGTAATTCTATCAGTACAGAGGACGTTTCTGTTTTGCCAGTAAGTTCTCACACACCTCTCTGTAGTGAATTCTTGTCCCCTTGTTATTGTTGTTAGGGACAAACACTGCTCTGAGGTTCTTACTTTGTTAAGTCTTACATTAATGTGGAAATTGAGTAACAGATCCTAAGGATACATGCAAACACCAACGACCCTCAGGGAGTTTGCTACAAGATGCCACACACTGACTCCACTCACAGGAACTCCGGGAATGGGCAGGACACTGGTGGGGCAGATGAGTTGTCTATTGGGTCTTGGGTTAGAAAAAGAACTAGATTTGAGGGATAGGAGAGGAATGGAAATGCTATGCATGCTGGCTGTGCTGGTCTCCCACACTCAGGATGCACTGCCCTGGCAGAGTCACTGTCTGGAAGTCATGTCTCAGCAGAACCACTGGAGCACTGGAAGCACTAGTCCTGTACTTCTGTAAACAATTCCGAGCGCTCTGCTTGCTCCACACCCTCACCAGCATTTGGTATGGTCACCTTCCTTGAACTTAGTCATTCCTGCTACTCTATGTGAATACAGTGACTTAGTTTGCACTCCTGTGATTAATAATAATGTGGGGTACTTTGCTGTGTGTGTGCTGTGAGGAATCTCTTCACTGGGTTGCTGATCACTAAGTTGCAGGTCCTCGTCGTGCATCATTCATACGCTTTACCAATATTGTCCCCAGGCTATGGCCATCATTTTCTTTGTATGGAGAGCTGTATTTTTGATGAAGTCTAACCTATTTTTCCTTTTATAGTTACTACTGTCTGTGGTCAGTAGGACGTTCTTCCGTGTATGTGACGGGGTGCACGTGCATGTGGAGGCTAGAGACTTTATTTTTTTGAGCACTGTCTTTCACTGCACCTGGAGCTCGCTGAGTTGGCTAAGATGGCTGGCCAGTCAGCTCCAGGAATGCACCTGTCCCTGTCTCTCATGCTGGAGACATGTGTGCTGCCATGCCCAGGCTTTTATACGGGTGCTGGGGATCTAAATTCTCCTAGCCCTAGAGGTATTTTTTCAGGAGTTTTATAGATTTATTTCTTAAATATAATATTTAAATATAATATAAATATATTATAGATTTATTTTTTAAATGAACTTTAAAAAACAACTTAATTAGAAATCTAAAAAGTAACAAATTCTATTTTACAAAATTAGTCTACCAGTATTTTATTTAATAAATCTTCCTAAGTGGAAAAGCAATGATTGGTTTTTTTGTTTTGTTTTGTTTTGCTTGTTTTTGAAACAGGGTTTCATTCAGCCCAAGGTCATTAATTCCTGACTCTTCTGTCTCTATTTCTCAAGGGCTGGGATTACAGGAAGGCACTAGAATGCATGGCTAAAATAAAGTGTTTTTCTGAAATCTACCTGGCCTCCAGGCTGTATCTCTGTCATGTTCTATCTTTACCCATAAAGTTCAGTCTCCTTAACAAACTAGCCCCAAAGTAGCTTCATATGCACTGGTAACTGGTAGCAAGATGATGAAGTGGTATAGCACAATGGGTTTACAGTGTAGCTTCTTAGTCTAAGAAAATAGAACCCAAGGATTGTACAGTCTTGAACAAACCATCAAATAAGTTATCACTTCAGTGGGAATGTGCTCTTAAATGAGGGCATGTTTTGTTAAAAAGTTACTCCATCTATTTCAATTGAATTTGTGCATCGAGCATTGACTGAATGTCACACAACGTTCTAGGTGCTAAGAATATTAATATGTGCTGGACGGTGGTGGCGCGTGCCTTTAATCCCAGCACTCAGGAGGCAGAGGCAGGCGGATCTCTGTGAGTTCTAGGCCAGTTTGGTCTACAGAGCAAGTTCCAGGACAGCCAGAGAGCTGTTACACAGAGAAACCCTGTCTTGAAAAACCAAAAACCAAAGGAAAAAAAAGAATATTATGAATAAAGAATGGTCACTGGCTTTTAGAAGATCAGGCTTGTTGAACAGAATAAATTCAGAGGGTGGGATTACAGAGGCAGGTCTTTTTGATTTCGGTGGCTCACTCTGTAGTCTAGAGTTGATTCTGAACCTGACCCTCCTGTTGGAGTCTCCTGGGTTCTATTTTATGTGCACTGTTGTTTGCCTGCATGTAAATCTGTGTGAGGGTGTTAAATCCCCTGGAACTGGAGTCACAGACAAGTGTGAGCCTCCATGTGGTTGCTAGGAATTGAACCCAGGTTCTCTGGAGGAGCAGTCAGTGCTCGCAATCTCTGAGCCCACGCAATCTCTTCAGTCCCACGGCTGGATTTTTCTTATCAGTCAGTGGTTCAGTATTTCCTTAGTTTGGGTTTGTTCTCACATCAACAAAAATAAACATGTTTAGTCAACAAAGATGCCTAAAATTATCTTATCAAAAATAGGTCTCAGCCCAGCTTGGAGAGGAAAGTCTTTAATCCTAGTACTCCAGCACTTGGGAGGCAGAGAGAGGAGGCAGGGGGATCTCTGAGTTCGAGACCAGTCTGGTCTACAGAGTGAATCCCAGGCCAGCCAAGGTTACACACTATCTCAAAACAAACAAACAAACAAACAAAACAAAAAAATTCAACATCAAAAGATGGTTAAATCTAAGAACTAAAAGTATTAGCTTGTCTAGTTTGTACTGAATATTCAAAGAGTTAAGGGATTCTTTGGAGGTCTGGACTCTATCCGAATGAATCCTTGCCTAATAACACAGGTTTTAGGGTCACGTAAAGAACTTTCAGATTCAGAATATCTCTGTTAATTTAGAATTATTGCTAGAGTATACCCAATGCAAATATTATATTGAAAACGGAAGTTTGGAGAGGATAACAAACAGCGTAGTACCCTAAGAAGACAGAAACTCAGAACCAAGAGCCTCTAACGCCAAGTCTATGCTTTGAACAAATAAACCACTAACTATAACACAATTCTATTCATCTTCTGTACCTCTGAAAGAAAAACAGAAGTACAACATTTCATCCCCTGGTACTAGGGGACTAAATGAAACATTACATATAAAGCTTCCCTTCAGTGTTCATGGGGAGCTAGTTACAGGACTCTTCACAGATACCCAAATCTAGGGAGACTGAAATGATGACATGTAAAATATCAAAGCATTTCCATAAATTCTATGCCCTTTGTATTTTTGTTGTTGCTGCTAAGAAAGGGTCTTGAATTCCCTATGTAGCTGAGGACGATCTTCCCAAGTGGAAGGATTACAGGAATGTATCACCATACCCAGCAGGGTTTTTTGTTGTTATTATTATTGTTTGTTTGTTTTTTGAGAAACTGTTGTCTAAAGTGAGTCCAAATTCCTGAGTTCAAGTCATCCTCATCCTTAAGCCTTCTGAGGGGTAGAACTACAGACACATGTCACCATACCTGGTGATCCCCTGCCCGTGTACTCTGAATCATCTTCAGGGTATTCATAATGTCTAATGTAACACACAGGCCATGTAAACAGCTGCTATGCTGCACTGTTGCCGAAGGAATAATGACAAGAACACAGTGTAATTTTTTTTTAACCCCTGAATTCATGAAAACAGAGGGCCAGCTATATCTACATATATGTATCAAATTCACATTTCAGGAATGTTCTGAAACAACACTTTGTCTCTGAAAAAAAATGGAAAATATAGGAAATAGCCTAATGAGTGACCACAACTAGAGATTATGATAGGAACTGTAATGCACTGCTTCTAAAATTTCTAATTCTTTTGGAGAGAAATGACATCTTTACACTGTTTAGGTTTCCCATTTACTTAGAAACCTGAAAGAACTTTCCTGCATAAATTCAAACCTTATATCTGCTAGCAAGCATGCACTCAAGTCCTTTGCCAGGTAATACAGTATTTTATACTATGTATATGCCAGGTAATATAGTAGTATATTCACTATGTATTTAAAATAAGTACTATAATATTTACAAACATAAATTAGGCCAGTCTCAGAACTAAGGAACAGTCTGGGGAAACAGGTTCTGCAAACAGTCCCTTAGCCCTCAATCAAAGCATACCACTCATCCCCGACGTCTCCTCAGGTGGATCTTCAAACACACACTGCGCTCACCATAATTAGCTCAAGAGCAGCAGGAGCAATTTCATGCTCCTACTCTGCTATTCCAGGAGAAGGAAGTTTTCCTTCCAAGAATCACCAGCTCCACCAGGGAAAGTCAATTGTGTGTACTCAAAAGAAAAGCCAACTTTGGTGTATTGTACATCTTGTAAAGAGTATCGTGTAAAACACTTTAATGAAAACAAAATAGGAAAATCAAGGTTTCCGTCCACACCTAACAAGTGTTCCCATATTATAAGCAATGAACTGAGCTAGGAAAAAAGGCAAGGAGGAAGAGAACATAGATGGTAAAATGAAATCTCTTGGCAATACAGATTTGAGCCATTTCATATTCTTCACTGCCAAAATCCTCCTCCTGCAGGAGGCCCACACACCACACAGTCTCTTCCAACTGCCATGTCCCAGCATCCTCGACCTGCTTCAGTCCTCTGAGCGGGAACACTGAGCCGAGAGGGTGGTCTCGGTAGGCGTGGTTACAGTATGACTTTCATTTTCCTTGCCGTATTAGTTTATGTTTAAGCAACTATGTTAGAGTTGCTGTTCAAATATCCTTCGCAGTGTCTAAGCCTTCAATCTGATAGTCAGACTAAGCACCCTAGAATGTCACTGCAAAGATCTTTCTGATGACTTCATACGGAGGGAAGCAGTATTTGTCTGATTAAATCAGTGTTCCTTTCATTCAACAACTATTTCCTGAGTAATTACTGTGTCTACCAAATGCCCAGCTGAGTGAGGAATCCCGTATGGTTGGCAGAATCTGCAGTGAACAGTAAGTGAAATACCTGTGGAGTGAGTAGCATGCTATTTCCCTGAGAAATTCTGTTACATGTAAGTGAGGTTTTCAGACAGCTTTAGATTACTCCTTTATAAAACACTTAATGTTTCATTTTAGTAATTTCTAAGAAAGACTATAATAAGCTGCCTTTTCTGAACATGATACATATTTAATACACCACAGAAATGTCTGGCTACATCTGTTTTTAGAAACTGCATGGACATTTGTTCATCTATTCTAGGCTAGAAAATTACAAAACAAGCTCATCTGGACTGTGGTTTTAGCAAAATTGACAGGTCCTAAACAAAGGCCTGGGAGGTTCTCTGCTGAGTAAAGTCCATGGGCATTGCAACTTCTTTACTTTTGAAAGGTTTTTAATTTAATTCCTACGTTTTAGATTGTTCCACATCTTACATGGCATGTGATATATAGCTAAGGAATTCACAGAGTAAAAGGATCTCAAAGTGATGTCAACATTCAACAACTTCTTAACACTTATAAAGGAAAATGAAGCAAAAACGTTCAAATGACTTGCAATAAATCAGAAATCCTGTTAGTGGTATTTAAGCCACTCAATCCAGTGAATTTCAAGTGGGAGAACTGCCAGGGATACTGGCAATATTTGGCTATCTGAAAACCTTTCGATGTATTTTTGGTACCTAGGGGGCCAGGATGATGCTAACCACCCACCCAATAGAGAAGAGTCTCTTCTAACAAAGAACTACGAAGTCAATAGTGACCAACGTGTAAGAGACTGACAAGCACTCAGAAGATAAGAGTGTTACTTTCTTTCAGGCAATTTAAGAATAGAGTTTATTTGATTTCCCTTGTCATGTACTATAACAAAAGTATAAGACATACTTACCATGAGCCAAATCCCAATGGTCTCCTTTCATAATCTGGTAAATCTGGAGCAATCTTACAAGCTTGTATGTTCAGGTATTTAAATATGTGGATTTTGCCTTTTATACATATCTAAATAAAATAATAAATTCAGTCAAATTACCATTCATCTAAAATATAGACGTTTAAAAAAATTAGTATTATTTTATGTGTGTGCATCTCTTTGTACCATGTGTATGCTTGGTGCCCACAGAGGCCAGAAGAGGATATTAGAGCCCCTTGAATTAGAGTTACAAACAGTTTTAAGCAGTCATGTGGACACTGGGTAGTGGTCCTGGATTGCTGGAAAAATAGTCAGTGTTCTTAACTACTGAGCCACCCATGGTGCTTTTTTTAAAAATCATAACTAGCTTTTTGTGTAACATAAATTGGATTTTAAGGCATCTCTATTAAATATATAGTGTATTAATTAAGAAATCTATCATTGGCTGAATGTTTATTTAAGGGTTTTGGTTTTTAGCTATAACACTGTTACATACCAAGTAAATTTAACAATACTGACTTGCTATATACATTCAGGACTTTATAGACTTCTCTCTACGCATTAATTAATCACATACAATTACATTTTTAATGCTCATCTCTATAGGAAAGAACTAGAAATGATAAAATGGAGAAATTTATATGTTCCTGTTTCCTGGCTACCATGAGGTGAGTGGTTTGCTCTACCACGTGCTTCCGTTGCCATGACAATGTCTCACCATGGGCATTAGCCGGCCAACCACAGGATAAAACTCTGAAACCAGGAGCCTTCCTTCTTTCCTTTTACTTACTTTCTCCCAAGTACTTTTTCACAGATTAAAAATTGACTAACAAACCTTTTTATAGTTATAAAGTTCACATATGACATTTACAGATTCTATAAGCTTATACAAGTTATTTTTTAAAAAACTGCAAAGTGAGGGCTGGAGAGACGGCTTGCAGGTAGAGGCACCTACTGCCCATACTGTAACCCACATAAAGATAGATAACAACTCCACGAAACTGTCCTCTGAATTCCACACATCAGAGCACATGTACACAGATACAATGAAAAAAAGAATAACTTCACAAAATTTCAAAGTGAAAATTATGGGCTTGACAAATATTTTATAGATTATAGAATTTAACCTACCTTTGGTTATCATTTTCATTTTAGTGACTGGCAAACAAATGAACCAACTGGTTAAATGAGAAACTTAACATTTCAGGAAACAGAAAGGCACAAAAACAATGGTAACAAGAATATATTGCTAATTTTATAGTTTGGAAAGTTGTTGTTTATGGCACTTCTATATTCCAATTCAAGCTTTAATAGAAAATTACAAAAGAAACAAAAATTTTATTAGAAAACTAGTTGCTGAGGAATTCTTCAATTTAAAGTGCCTAAGGGCTGGGGAGAAAGCTCAGTCAGGAAAATGCTTGCCCCTGTGGCAAGCAACAGGTCCTGAGTCTGAATCTTTAGGACCCACACAAAAGCTGGGAACAGCAGTGTGCACCAAACATTGGGGAGGTGGGGACAGGATGATGTCTGGGGCTGGCGGGCCGGGCTAGCTGAATTCACAGTAAGCTCCAAGTTCAGGTGGGAGATAATAAACAAAAACAGTAAGGGGCAGAACAACTGAGGAAGACACCAGCTGTCAACCGCTGATGCTCACAAAAGTGCCAGCCTAGCAACAGGGATGCTGGTGGAAAAGTCACAATCTTTTTCCATCCCTTCTACTAAGGGCATTCAGGGAGTGGGGGGTGTCAATGACACACAGAGGATGCCTTTTAAGAGAACTCTGCCATAGACATCACCCCTTTCAGCAGACGCCCCATATTTACCTGTGCAGGAGGTGACTGCAGTGGGTTGTTTTCTAGGGTGATCACCTGGAGGTGCCTAAGGTTCCGGTAGCACACGGGGATGGCTGTGACTTTATTGCATGAGAAGTCTAGTCGTATCAGAGGCACTTCTGCTAGCTCTGCATGCAAGGAAAATGCAACAATCACTGATGTTTTACATACACAATTTTTACAATACTTTCAGTTAAATATAGTGGATTCAAAGACCATTTACCTCTATTCCTAGTGACTGACAAGGTATAAAATATAATCTGATTATTCTGAGATAGGAGAACTACCAAAAATCAAGCAGCTTGACTCCCCTTTTTGTTCCCAGAACTACTTAGTTCTCAGACACCAGACACCATTCAAAAAAAAAAAAAAAAAAAAAAAAAAGATAAGAAAGAGGATAACAAAGGGGTTAAATAGAGGTTGGCAGTTGAAAATGAGGATGTAAAAGTAAACACACTAATGGCAATCCCACCTACTTTTCCACCTGCTCTGTCTTAGCCCTATTTCTAAATGCCAGTAATTACAAATACGTACTATTATATAGAGGAAATGCTAGTCCATATCTTTCTCTGGAGAAACTACACAGTCCCATATAAAAGATCTTTAGAGATTGTGGTGGTTTGAAAGAAAATGGCTCCCACAGGCACATAGGGAGTAGCACTATTAGGAGGTGTGGCCTTGTTGAAGAAACCACGTCACTGGGGCGGGCTTTTTAGGTCTCAGAGGCTCAAGCCAGGCCTAGTGTGACTTTCCCTTTCTGCTGCCTGCTGATCCAGATGTAGAACTCTCAGCTGCCCCTCATCAGGCTCCCTGGCTTGATGACAATGGACTAAACTGCTGAAACTGTAAGCCAGCCGCAGTTAAACAGTTAATTTTTTTTTTTAGAAGAGTTGCCACAGTCATGGTGTCTCTTCATAGCAATAGAAACCCTACGACAAATACTGATATTGAGTTTTCCCCAGTAAAATATACAGCCTCTTGCTTAATTATTTTTCAAGAATTCTACCCAATGTATTCGGAACTTCTATGATGATGTGCATAAATTATATATGACCCACAGAAACTGAGAGGTCTCCAACAACCTGTAAGACAGAAAGACCAATGAAATAATAAAAGAAAAAAGAGAAAGTAAGAAGAAACAGGAATATAGGAACAGAGGGAAATTTGAAAAGCTAGATTGTCTTTGATTTCTAAGAAATATGACATGGGATCACTAAAAATTTCTAATAAGTCACAGAAGAACAAGCATTCTACATATAACGGTAGAAACTAAAACCTGTGAATGAATTTCTGAAATTAAAAATTCAAGAATGGGGGCTGGAGAGATGGTTCAGCGGTTGAGAGCACTGCCTGTTCTTCCAGGGAACCTGGGTTCAATTCTGGGCACCCACATGGTAGCTCATAGCTGTCTGTAACTCAAGTTCCAAGGGATCTGACACCCTCACACAGACACACATGTAGACAAAACACCAATGAACATAAAACAAAAATAAATAAATCTTTTTTTTTTTTAATTTTTGAGACAGGGTTTCTCCGTAGCTTTTTGGTTCCTGTCCTGGAACTAGCTCTTGTAGACCAGGCTGGCCTAGAACTCACAGAGATCCACCTGCCTCTGCCTGGGATTAAAGTGCTGGGATTAAAGGCGTGCGCCACCACCGCCTGGCCAAAAATAATTAATCTTAAAAAAATAGTTGAAAATTCAAGAATGGCTTGAAATGTTTTATTCTAGGGTAGCAAAAATGGCAAAGAAAGGACATGTAAGAAAAATCAAAGGATCAAAGATTTAGACATAACATTCATTTGAAACGTGGAACAAAAAAGCCAGAAAAAAAATTATTAGAAAGAGAGAGAGGCCAGCAAGATGACTCAGTAAGTAGGTGTGGTAGCACATGAAAGAGCTAGAGGCAGGAGGATCCCTGTGAGTTCATGGCCAGCTTGGTTTACATAGAGCTCCAGGACATCCAGAGTCACACAAGGGAGAGTCTGTCTTAAAAAAAAAAAAAAAAAAAAACTCAGCAGACAACGGAGCCTACTGCCAAGTCTCAAGAGTTTGGCCCTGGATTCACACGACAGAAGAAATGGACCACACATATGTCCTTAAATGAATGACAAACAGAGTCAGCCCACTCTACGGCAGCACCTTCACAGAACGCCAATGACCAGGAAAAAAGGGAAGATCTTAAATCTTCCAAAATGCAAAGGCTGGAACAGAGGAACAGTTTTAGAGAGAGCAACCCACGTGCAGTTGCTGGGTCTCAATGCATGTCAGTTAGGTGCAGCAATGTACCCAGAACACTCAGGAGGCCCAGGCAGCAAGCAGCACTGCCAGCAGAGGTGCAGTCAGCCTGGGCTATAATGGTGAGTTCCAGGCTAGCCACAACTATATACCAAGACCACGTCTCAAAAACAAACAAACGCTCCCCTCCCCAAACCATCATTTAAAAACAGTCAAGAAATACCAGATGAAACAGCCAACAAATTTAATGAAAATGCTCTTGACCACTGAAAGTTGGGGGGGAAGGTGAGGAAAATGATTAATAATTTCTTAAAGCTTTTAATTATCTTTTAAACCTAGCTAAAATTAATTTAAAAATTAAAATGGCAATGTAACAAAAAATACGTTATCAACCAAAATACAATGTAGGAGATTACTAGTAAATGCTTAAACTTCCTGCCATCTCAGGTTAGTTAACATGCTGATTACAAACCATGCAATTAAACATTTACAACAGTGTAACTTATATTTCCAACAATTTACAGCAGAAATAAAATTAGATGATAAAACCATGACACTGTACTTGCCAAATTTCATTAAAACCTCAATGCTGCTAGGTATGGTGGCATTAACATGCCATTCTAGCACTCATAAGGTTGAGGCAGGAGGATTGTGAAATTGAGGATAGCGTAAGCTATACGATTCTACTTCAGGGAAAAAACCCAAATACACACATACAATCCCAAACTTCAATATTTTCATCAGTAATCTTACTCCATGAACAAGCTAGAAGATGGTGAGCAGGCCCTGAATAAAGCGATAGCTCGAGAGAGAATTTTGGATGTGGCACTGAAAGTGTGTTGCTGGGTATCCCAGCTACTTAGGAGTCAAGATAGGGGCGGTGAATCTCGGGACAGCCAAGGCAAGTTGGACTCTGAAGAGGAAAACAAAAGAAAGAGAGAAAAAGTGGCAGCAGCACAGCTTCATGTAGCATCTTGCTTAATTAACATGCACAAGGCTCTGTGCTTCATTCTCAGCCCTTGAGAGAGAGAATGGATGAATGCTGCATTATTAGGACATAGGTCATAATTCTTGTTTGACTGGGAGCTTCTCTTCCTATCTTGAGTAGGTAGCAAATGCCAATAGGCAATGGAGGAAAGGCTTGAAGGCAAACGGTGTCAGTGTGAAGGCTACCCGACAAGTTCAGTGAGAACATGTGGTAAGTGTACAAAGGTGAATGAGAAAATAATTTCCTAATGTGTTTACTTCAGCTCCAAATGTCAAATGTATGAAACAACTAAGTATTTCATTAGATAAAATTGGAATAATGTTAGGATTTTATAGTAGAAGCAAAAACATCATTAGTTAACATTTACTAAATTCTGTCATATAGAACCTAGATCATTGTTATGAAAACATTTCTGAAGATTTTCTGTTTTTGCTGTTTTTTTTTCTTCTTCTTTAGTTTTGAGACAGGGTCTCTCTCTAATCAAGGCAGGCCTCACACTCGTGATCATCCTGTCTCTACCTCCCCAGTGCTGAGGTTATAGGCACAAGTCACCACGGATTTCTTATTTTTATTTATTTATTTATTTTTAAAAGATTCATTTATTCTGTGTACAGAATTCTGCCTGCAGGCCAGAAGAGGGTAGCAGATCTTATTACAGATGGTTGTGAGCCATCATATGGTTGCCAGGAATTGAACTCAGGACCTTTAGAGGAGCAAACAGTACTCTTCACAACTGAGCCATCTCTCCAGCCCCAATTTCTTATTTTTAAATATAAGTTCTGAAATGTTCATGAACTTTTTTCCAGAATTTACTTTGAATTAATCTAGAGGATTAGGGTAGAAAAATGTGGGTGAGAGGATAAATGTGTGTGTGCGCGTGCGCATATGTGTGAAATAAAAATCACCAAGAGCTGATCATTGTAGCACCGTGTGATGGGCACAAGGAAATTCATTTATTTAAGAAATTTTCGCCGGGCGGTGGTGGTGTACACCTTTAATTCCAGCACTCGGGAGGCAGAGGCAGGCGGATCTCTGTGAGTTCGAGTCCAGCCTGGTCTAAAAGAGCTAGTTCCAGGACAGGCTTCAGAAAAAAAAAAAAAAATTTTTTCCATAACTAAATTTAATAAATATAGTCTGAATTTAATTAAAATGGCTCTCATTTTTGTTTTCATTTGTAGCCTTTTCTTTTATAGATTTGTATTCATAAACACGCGATAAAGTTTAATTTGTTTAATCATTTGTTATCCATATCCATGTCAGAGTTTACAGTCCACCTAAGAAAACCCAGTTCTACCACAGTCTCACATCGTTTGTTAATACATATCACCTACACATGCTGAATTAGACCCGGCCAGAATTTTTCTAGTAAAGAATAAAATTAAGTTCAACTCAAACTCCATTGATCCTACTTAATTTTCAAAGTCCATTTATAAATCAGGGCTAACCTACAGAAATGCCTTACATCACACCAGACTATCAAGTGTGCTACATTTCTGCCCATAGCCATGCTTAGCTAAATTCACAATGACACTCTCCTCAAGGACCAACTACAATAGTTCATAAGTCAACAGGATCTAAAATGGAGTCACTGAGCAAGAGTTATCAAAATGTTTCTCTCAAGTTTTTGTGATTGTTTTGCTAGCATTAAGGCTGGCCCTCCAGCCTTGACTGTACTAGCCAAGTGCTCTAGCACTGAACTGTATCCCCAAACCCTCTTCGGTTCTTTCTTTCCCTTTCCCCCCCTCTCTCTCTTTCCGAAGACAGTGTCTTGCTGTATTGCCAGGCTGGCATGAGACTCATGATTCTCGTCCTTTAATTTTGAATTTCAGACAGGGTTTTACTCAGTTGCTCATGCTGTGATCTTCCTGGCTTAGCTTCTTGAGTAGCTGGGACAACAGGCCCATGGCATAAGACCCAGCTCTGAACAGCTTCTAAAGTGCACAGTCTAGATGATGCTAACTCAAAAAGCCTTCAGATCTCAAATGCTGGCTCTAACTCATACATATTTTTGACTTGTGCCCATCAGTCTGAGAGATCTTTAAAATAAAAAAAACAAATACCAACAAAACAATTATTTCATAGTTTCTTACCTTCAGGCAGGCGTACTAGATGATTTCTTCTTACATTAAAGTCTCTCAAGGCTTCCAGATTACCAATTTGGGAAGGTACAGTTTGAATTTCATTGCAGCTCACATCCTATTTCAAAAGAACACAAAGGTATGATTATTCTAACCACAAACTTGCTTGCTTTAAGATACTTACAAAGTGATATTAGGCAAGATAATAACTACATTCTTTCATGGTAATAATATATATTATAATATTATAGATATATGTATTATCATCCTTCATATAAGAATAATTCAGTTTGTACTCTCATTTAATTATAGACTTTTGAGTAATTCTTCAGTTTTTATATAGGTTTCAGAAAATTCTGAAATTAAAATGATATGGCAAAAATGATATGGCTTAAGATATAAATAGAAGGCCAGAGTATCAGATTCAAAGATGTTGATGAAAAGTTAAAGCAGAAAATGATATATTTTATTTTATACTGTTCTAATTAAAATAAAAAATACAACAATGATAAAAATTAAATGAAAATTACTTCACAGAAAAGCTCTCATTTTTCAAAATATCAGTTTGGCTGGTCAAGAATATAAAATTAAAATGTATACAATGACTCTAACTTTTATCCAACTGAATATAAAGAGAAATAATAAGGTGTACACAAATCAGAGGCCATGGAAAAACAGGCCGCTATTATCCAGTCAGTCTGAGTCTAATACAAACAATATGGAAGGAAGTCTGCTGGTAGCTTGCTTACAAGCTTGAGCCAGTGGGTCCCAAAAAAGTGCCTATCTACAGCTTCCAAGATGAGTAAGTTCAGAATTCCGTAAGTCTGAGGCCAGCCAGAATAACTTATAAAACCATAATTATGTACAGCAGAAGGAAGCTCAAGCTGCACATGAATACTTGAAAGTCCTCCAATGCATGAGTGAAAAAAAGACAGCTCATATACGACTTACAAAGCAGTTTGCTTATCATAAACCTCAATAAGCTTTTGACAGTTTTAAAACTCATTACAATTATTATTTGTTTGTGGACCCGGGGGGCGGGGAGAGGAAATCTTTGTGTGTGGAGGCCAGAGGACAGCAGTCTGTGGATTTGGTTTTCTCTCCTCACCACATGGGTCTCAGGGGACGAACCTGGGTCATCAGGCTTGGCTGCACACTCTTACCTGTTGACCCATCTCGCTGGCCCAGACATTACTTTGTTTTTCTCAAAAAAGAAAAGAATATAATTTTCACCTTTCATTAATGACAGAAGTAGAATAAAGAATTAGACTTTAAATTCAGTGTTCTAGGCAACAAAATTTAAGGGTAGTGAAAGAAGTTTCAGGCAAAAAAAGTGAGTCTGTGGTAAAGGTCTTAGTAATTTGTGATGTGTCTCCCAGAAAACACCTGTGTTGATAAAAAGCCTTTCACTTCCACCCACAAACGACAGTGGAAGGAAAGAGAGAAGGGCACAGAGAACAGCAGCTTTGAAGTTACTCATTCTTTCTCTGTCGGGAATGACGGAGGGCAGGAGGGCACCTTCTGTAGAAAACTAGAAGCATGACTCTATCTTTTGAGTACTTAGGACTGAGTAAGTATTTAAAGTTTCAACAATTTGACAATAGAATTTGGGAAACTAAGGTATGGAGACTGAGTTCAAGACCAATTTAGGCTACAAAGTAAGGCCTTTTCTCAAAAAGAAAAGAAAAAGAATATGATCAAACTGCACTATAAGAAAAAATTTTAGATAAAAAATAAACAGTTATATTCTGTCTATCATGGAAAAAAATAAACAAAAGAACTTAAGAGTATAATTTATGCCTACTTCTTGCTAAGCTAACAAGCCAAGTTCTAAAGAATGCCCCAAGACAAACATTTTGGATTTTATTTCCAAAGTCCGCTAGCTCAAAAACAGTAGCCTAAACTCCCAACTCTATATTGAATGTCTGTGAAGGTTTAACACATAACCTGTTATATTTAAGTCCCTCCCACCAAGGTAATCTAATTTGTCCAATTAGATTTATACCATTTTTTCTGTTTACAACCATCTTTATCAATAAACCACACACAAAAAACTAAATTTCAATGGACACAGTTGCATTTGATTATTTCATGCAATAGGAAACATAGGCTTTAGTTCAAACAGGCTGATTTCCAATCGTTGGGTTATACAATCTCCGGCAGACTGCAACATCTGAGTACTGTTTTTTTTTTTTTTTTAGCTATAAAATGCGGACAATAATGAAATCCAGCTCATAATGATTGTGAGGATATACATAGGATGACTCTTTGTTATTTCATTTATTTATTTTGATTTCTTGAGATAGGGTTTTTCTGTGTAGCTTTGGCTGTCCTAGAACTCACTCTGTAGACCAGGCTGACCTCAAACTCAGAGATCCACCTGTCTCTGCCTCCCAAGTGCTGGGATTAAAGGGGTGCACCACCAACACCCAGCTAGTCTGACTCTTAACTCAAAACATAAATACTTAAGAGATGGTATCTTATATGTTCACAAATAATAGTAGATGAAGTTAAATATATAGTAGAAAATATATAAAAGCAAATTACAGTTGGCTACTATTCCAAGGGTATGGCAAGAAAAAACAAACATACAAAAAAACAAACACTAACTTTTGGAGTGCCCATACACTGATAACGGCTAAGAAAAATCATAAAAATATTGATATTAAAATTTTAATTTGAAAACTCAACTACATTATTAGCTTACATCTTAACAGTTTAGTACCACAGAACTCATTTAATGCTGGTTAGAAAATATCCAATGACATTTCCCCATTTTGTGTGGAGATGTTAAGACTTGTACATTGAAGTATTTTTTAATTATACATCAAGCCAACACTATAAAATTATTTTAAAAACAATCTTAATCATATAGAAGACTGCAGACATGTTGGACAATCAAAAAATAAAATGTTAACTTACAAGTTCCGTCAAATGTCTGAGATGTCCAATTTCTTCAGGAAGTGAGACCAATTTGTTATTACTAGCAATTAAGACTTTCAATGGTAAATTACACAAGTGTACTGGCAATGTCGAGAGTTGGTTCCGACTAAATGAGTAAGTAGAGAAAGAGCAGTCAGACACCACTGATGAAAATGTTTCCACTTTCCTCATTTCAGACACAAAAAGAAGTCTTACAAGGAACAAATAGGATACTAGATTTGAGTTCCTGCCAGTTTAACCATTCCCAGCTAACAAAATTTAAACAGATAACAGGAATTTTTGTTTATTAAAAAAATGAAAATCAGAAACACAAAATAATAAAGCATATCTATCATTAGTATAAAAACAAATTAAAAATTTACTATGTAAATTTAATCCCATAATAATTCTTTAGGGCCAAGTCTTTTCCCATTTTCAAGATCTTTTTCTTGATTAATATAGTTCATGGACCTTTTAAATTTTTAACTCAATAATAATTCTATTCCTATGCATACCGATTAAGAAAAGTTAACATTTACACACAAATTTCTCTAGCTGTGTTTTTTTTTTAACATGATTTTTAAAACTGCTAAATATCTGAATGGAACAGATTCTACTTTTAGTTTTAATTAAGTGTCTATGCGTGTGAGAGAGCGGCATATGCAGCACCCAGAGGCTAGATGAGAGCAGCGGATTTCCTTGTAGCTCCAAGTACAGGCAGTTGTGAGTTGCCTGATGAGGATGCTGGGAACCGAACTCAAGTTCTCCAAAAGAGCATTTTAACTTTTAACTACTAAATCATCTCTCTAGACTCAGGGCATATAAACCGGGCAACAAAATATTTACAAGAAATACATGTCCAAGGTCCAACGAGAAGGCTCAGTACAGGGTAAAGGCACTTCCTGCAAGTACGGCCACCTGAACCCAATCTCTAGAAGCCACATGAAAGTGGAAGTGGACAACCAACTCTAGAGTTGTCCTTTGCCTCTGTACATGCATTCCAGCACACCCAACACTCACATTATGCACACATCAATGCTGTGTGTACGTGTGAACCTAGAGCCTTGTGCATACCAGGCTAGTGCTCTACCAGCTAAACTGTGTCCCAGTCCATTATATCTGGTATTTACTAGAAGCTAATTTGAAAATGTAACTGGAGAAGCACAGTTGAGAGACTTCGACAAGCTACTAGTCTAATGGCTAGTAGGATCTGTTAATTATGCAAAACTAAAAAATAAAAGAAGAAACAAGAGAAACATGGGAGAAACCATTATTATACCCTAAGAACATATAAGAAACTGCTGGTGTGAACAAGTAACATAAATAACCATAAACATCTTAGAGACAGAGAGGAGAAAGTTAAAGATCATATAAAATTACTTTTTCTAAAGCAGTACTAGTCTTACCTAATATTTAAGAATGTCAGGGCTTGTAAGTTTAGAATGGCCTCTGGGATATACCGAATACAATTCTGGTATAGGTTAAGACTTTCCAGAGAGACAAAGTGACATGCTTCCATAGGAATTTCTGAGAGGCGATTCCGTGACAAGTCTGAAACAAAAGAGAAAAGCTTAGGACAATTCTTTGGAACTTGTTTTACTGAAATTCATTAGTATGCTTTATAATAACTTGAATTCTCTAGAATTCCTATTGTGAAAACTGGTTCAGCATAAACTTTAAAATATTAACTGAGCAAGCAAACCACTAAACATTTAAACTGTTGATGGGAAATGGTTCCTTTTTCCTTTCCACACACACTAAAACACTGGCCACTCATTATATCAAAGCTGTATCACTGAATTCCAAATATCATCAGAAACAAATGGATTCCTTCCCCCAAATTCACCTTCCCAAGTAGGTATGAGAGAGAGGGGAGGGAGGGAGAGAGAGAGACAGACAGACAGACTGCCCTGAAGCATTCATGGAGGCCAGAGGACAACTCTCCAGAGTAGGTAGGCCTTGGGACTCAGAGAGCAGCTTGTCAGGGCTGGGCCCCAAGCACCTTTTATTCTTTAAGCCACCTCCTCAGCCCAAAGGCCCTACTCTTTACCAAAGAAGTCAAAGTCCTTTGCTAAAATAGACTCAGGAACCTTCTTTGCTCCCAATGACACAATCTGAACCTCAATAAAAATAGTACTTGAGGGCCTGGAGAAATGGCTCAGTAATTAAAATGTTTGCTGCTTTTCTAGAGGACCACCAGGCAAATCACAACTGCCTTTATCTCCAGCTCTAGGGGATCAGACCTCTTCTGGTCTCTGTAGGCAGGCAGGCAGGTAGGCATGCACATACATTAAAGAAAAAAAACCGTTTTTCTGAGAAAGGGTTTTTCTGTGTATCCTTGGCTGCCCTGGAATTTGATCTGTATACCAAGCTGGCCTTGAAATCACAGAGATCTGTCTGCCTCTGCATCTCATGAGCTGGGATTAATGGCGTATGTCAGCACTGCCCAGCCTAAAATTTGAAAAACTTTTTTTCAAAAAAGGAATTTCAATGAATCAAATCCATCATCCATATTCACATGAGTATAAATGATACATCCTTCAAAGAGACAGAAAACTAATTCATTAGTTTATGAACTAATAAGAATCCACCACTTATCTTGCCTTTCCTATGTAAAAATATCATCGAGTAACCTAGATATTCTATCAAAGAGATGATGAAATAAAAGCATACTAGTTATGGGTGAAAAAACAAACAAACAAAAGACCAGGATATCACTATTTTACAACTCCCAATGAAGTAATGGATATAGACTAGAGCATAAGTGGCTATCAACTTTTTAAATTAACTGTCTGCTTGTGTGTGTGTGTGTGTGTGCGCGCGCGCGCGCACATGCATGTCTGCCACAGCAGCCATATGAAGGCCAGAAGAAAACGTGTAGGCATCAGTGTGCTCCTTCCCCCATGTGGGTCCTGGGGACTGAACTCAGGTGGTCAGGATGGTCATCAAGGGCCTCTGACCTGAAGAGCTATCTCACTGGTCCTCAATGGCTATCAGGTAAAAGGATCAGAACATCTGGGCAGGATGGCACACGTCTGTAACCCTAGCACCCAGGTGCCTGAGACAAAGTTTCTGAGTTTGAGGTTAGCCTGGGCTGTATCTAGAGACCCTATCTTAAAACAACAACAACAAAACAGGAGATTAGGGGCCAGATGCGATGGTTCAGTGGGTAAAAGCACTTTGACACTCTGAGTTCTATCCCTGGAACTCACAGCGGAAGGAAATAGACAACTCCTGGAAATTATCCATTGGCCCACAAGTGTGCCATGGCATGCACATGCATGCTCGCTCTCTGACTCGGACACCTGTGCCCACTCTCCCTACCCCCCCACTAATAAATTTTATTATTTCTAAAATAGGAGGTAAGAGGGGAAACAGGAGAAGGGAGAAAGGCAACCAAACATTGTGCCTCTCACTATAGAAAAAAATTAAAAAAAAAAAAACACCCTGGGTCTGGTCTGCCTAAGCGGTATGCTCAGGAATGCAGGGAACAAAAGGCTGCATTGCCTCCTCACCACCCTACCATATCTATCCAGAGTCAACTAAGTACGCTTCAGGTCTGTGTGCCTGACACTGGAGCTTTCTCTTGAAACAAGGAGACAATACATGAGTCTCTGTTGGGAACTCCTGGTGAGCTCTTGACTGAGAGAACTTCTTGATGGAGGGCTTGAATGACAATCCATTCTGTATCTTGTTTGAACCACAGTAGAAGATGACTTTTTGCATAGGTATAGGCACATTGCTTTTCTCGGAAATTTCTTGATGTTACTTTACTACTTTCTCATCCAAAGTGTCTGATTACTTTCCTTTTGTAACATCTTGCTAGTCTGAAGTCCAAGGCTTGGTAGAGAGTGCACTTGGTAAGCACTTGCTCCCATCTTGCTGCCCTCCAGCTCTTTCAATCCTTCCACCGTTCCCTCTACTCTATCTAGCTGTGTCTCCTTCACTTGCTCTTCTCTGTGCATTTTTTGCTTGATGTACTCTTTTACTAAATCTTCTAAGTCACAACTTTGAGGATTTACAAAATCATCCTCTGTATAAATTATACTTTTGTCTCATTTAAAAATTATTTTATGCTATAAATAGAAGCATGTCATTCTGTTCTCTTGAGAACTGTTCTGCTTGTCAGACTTGACTTTTCCCAGCATTGGTCCTTCTTCTACAGTCAATGTACTCTGGACGATTTCCTCATTCACAGCCTCCTCAGCTGCTCTGAAGTAGACAACTGAACAGTAATAGGAGACTACTTTTCCTTATCTACTAATGGGTCTCCTCTTCCTCAAAGCTCAAGTTCACACTAGAATAACAAAAGCAATGTGTGAAGGTGCTGAGGCATTTCTGATAGCTAAAAGGTTGTGATCATAGTCCAAAGGCCTCTGCTTCTTGTTTCTTCATAGAACCACAGTCACACACTCCCTAAGGAAGGCTCCTGCTTGCCCACCAGGTGGTAATAATTTAAGAAAAAACAGTATATCGCCAAAACGCTTCATGACACTGTGTGCATTTGGGAAAGTCAAAGCCCAAAGTGTCTGTGACTGTAAAATGTTATTTTATAAAAGCAAATTTCATCCGAGGGGCTCCCACCTCTGCTCTGCACCAGCCCGCCTCAGGACCTTCACCGAACCTCTTAAGAAGCCACTAGGCAGCTTTGTAATGCCCTGGAGACCCTCTCCAGTCTTGGACCTAAAAATAAAGCCTTTTGAAACAGCAAAAAAAAAAAAAAAAGCAAATAATTTTGAAGAGAGTATAGCCTTTCCTCTTCCTGAATAATCACTATATAAAATTATTTATAATTTTATGTATTTAAGGAGAAATACTTTATATACAATCACACCGTGAATTTCTTTAATACAAAGTACAACAATAATTATTTTATCAACTGCCATTCAATTCAATTTTAAAAGCTGGAGGAATAAAAGGATTTATTACTGTCAATTATAAAGTGCTTCAACATGAAGCTGGAGAGATGGTTGAGCAATAAAGAGCCTGGCTATTCTTTCAAAGATTTGGGTTCAATTTCCAGTACAAACATGGTGGCTCACAACTATCTGTAACTCCTGTCCCATAGGATCTGATTGGCCTGATCTGATCTGGCCTCCAAAGGCACCAGGCACACACATGCTACACAGACATTCATGCAGATACCCATTTACAAAAGTAGATAAAATACATGCTTCAATATTTAAGTTTGATGCAATAAACTTCAGGTAACAAGTAAAATGAAGCACAGAGCTTACACAGTGGATATTTATTTATAGACTAGTCTTGCTTTTTGACGAAGGCTGGCCTTAAATACAGCATTCTGCCTTAGTCTCTCGAGTGCTGGGATTATAAGCACACTACACTTGCTTAACTGTGAACTTTGCAAAATCTCGGAATGGAAGGCATGGTTTATTAGGTAAAAGTGTTTGCCATCCGAGCATGAGGACCTGAGTGTGAATCTCAGAACACACAAGAAAGCTGGATGCTGCGAGTGAGCAGCTACAACCCTGCATCCCTGCAGGGAAACAAGAAGTGAAGACCAGAGAATCCCTGAAAGCGTGTGGGTCTGGCATATGAAAGGGAAACGAACAAAGAGGTTCTGCATCAAACAAGATGGAAGGGAAGGACAAATGTCCAAGAACCCCTTTTTGAGAGTTTACTGGGAAGAACATCCTCAGCACCGGGCCTTTCACTCTAAAAGCTCGGCTCATTTCCTCAGCAATGGACAGCTTTGACACTTCTAAGAAATGCCTCATCATTTTTCTCAGAGATTCTACAAAAATTCTGGTATATTCCCAGATCCTATTACTTTATGAATAACATACTTCTAACCACTTGTTACTCACACACAGAAGTAACGATCATATGTTAATTTTCTGACAGTCTTGGTAAACTTTTAGCTCAAATAACTTGTCTACAGATCCTTTCAGACATTTACATGGCTCTGTAAATAATGAAACTTTTGTTTCTTCCTCCGTGCTTCTTATTTATTTATGCAATTTCCTCACCCTGTTTGTTAGAACTTCCAGTATAATGTTGAATAAAAGTAAAAGTATATGCCGGCGATGGTGGCACACGCCTTTAATCCCAGCACTCGGGAGGCAGAGGCAGGCGGATCTCTGTGAGTTCGAGACCAGCCTGGTCTACAGAGCTAGTTCCAGGACAGGCTCCAAAGCCACAGAGAAACCCTGTCTCAAAAAACCAAACCAAA